ATATATATATATATATATATATATATATATGTATAAGCGTGTATCGTAGAAAATTAAATTTTTAAGAATTACACTAAAAATTAAGACTAGTTGGATATTCTTAACACTAACAATGACATGAACATATTAATGTGGAAATGATAGTTTTGGGAAGAGAATATCAATAAGACATGTATACTATACTTGTGTAAGATATGATTGCATAAAATATGGACGTCCCTTATCATTGTTAGAAGCAGAGAGCACTATTATCTGTATTGACATGCATATATAATGTAATGTAAGTATTTTTCTTTTTTAACGAACAAGGATACATGCATTAATAGAGATATGGTTTTCTATGATTATGTGATAGTAAATTACAGAGAGAAATCCTGTGTTCTATGTTCTATTCATGTAAGTTTATGAAACATATGTCTCGTCTCACTTGTTCTAAAACACCACACTGCTTCTTATAGAATCCAAAATTTAGTCTTCGATGTAGCGAAAAATAGCGATGGCAAGAATTGATGGAAACTTACCATGGAGATAACTTGGCAGCTACAGTCTTCCCAGCCTTTATAGGATTTAGTTTAGCACGTAATGGCTTATGTCGACTACAAAAGCACAATCAAATCGATATGGATAAACAATATTTTTTTAAAAACCTTTTAACAAAAGAACAACTAAACAAAATGAACAAAATAACAAAGTAAATAAGTGTAAGAAAAATATAAGATAACAAAGAATTCCTAATCATGTACCGAATTACTTTCAACCATTGGAAAAGTCTTATGTGTCTTCGTTAGTTTATTACGATTATTATTTAATTACCAAAACGCGAATTGTGAAATTTGAGTACATAGAACCGAATTTTTAGTTGAATAATTCTATTCTTCCTTATTAGATTCTACTTCTCACTATTCTTATCCATTTTCCATGCAGTTCAGGAACGTTCTACTTTGTAAAATAACAGGAAAGTATATACTGAGAGAAGAGAGAAAGGAACCATAAAAACAAATGTTGCAATACGCACGCTATCGTAATACAATATGTTTAAAAGCATGCATACATTTCAAAGCCACATGCAGAAAGTGTGAATGGAAATACATTAGTTTGAAGGGACGACGAAATCTTGTATTTCCGATTATCATTTTCTGACGTGTCCATTGCCGTGTTTATCTATCACGAGCGTGTAAGATATATTTGCAAAATTATATCTCCCACCACTAGAACTAACAGTTCAACAACGGAAAAAAGTAAAATTCAACGATGTACCAAGCGAATTTATAATCTGTCGACACCATAAAAAATGGATCTGCACTAAGTATCCTTACCTTTAACAAGCTGTCATTTGTTAGACGGCAAGTATACATTCGAGCGTGTCTAAGCCATTAAACTAAGTGAACAAACCTTGTTGACGGTTCTGATGTCGACGGTAGAGCCAATTGCCTTACGTCCGCTCGATTTCTATTGACATTTGGGCTTGAACTTCTACCAATTGCAGAGACAGAGGCAGCACTTCGCGTACGTGTCTCCCACTCTCGATTAAAACTCTCCGCCTCGTCTACAACACACACACACACACACAGATCATGTAAACATGAAGACAAGGTTTTGGTAGTCAAAAGTACCAAGAATAAGATTATTCTTACTGTTTTCACTCTCATATCACTCTGTGGAAATTACCTTCGTCAAGGTTGATAAATTCTTGCCGTTCTTCTGATTCTCCGCTTCTCATATTGTGCTCCCTCTCAAGAATATGTGCCCTGTCGCCAATGTGATGGCCAATGGCCATTTTCTTAGTCCCAGTACGAGAGTCCCTCACAGTCTTTTTGGTCTCCTTTATGCCACCAGGTGCTGTTGTTGTAGACATAGTCTCTTCATAAATTTGAGGACGGCCATCGGGACCACTAGACATAGACACTACAGACTGACGCATGAATGAGTGAGAATTGTTGCCCATGTTGCTCATATTGCTCAAGTTGCTAATGTTGCTCATTGTTGATACAGGAAAATCCTACAAATTATATATAATTCTATAATAGAGTGATTATACTTTTAATTATCATTGATAATGGTCCTAATTGTGTCACTGATTCACAGCTGATCGATTGCAAATTTTACTCACAAAATTCATCATGTCTCTAAAGAAGAGTGGCTGCATTGCACCCATCCGTGGTTGCATCATTGGATGATGCAAAGGCTCCAGCATCCCTCGAGCAAAGGGGAAGCCAAACTGAGGCATCAACTGATCAATCTCATCGAACACGCTGTTAGGCCAACTGTTGTCGGTGATATGCAACATAAAATTAAGAAATTTATATCTCTTTGATTTTATATATTTTAAAATTAACACATGACACATGTCATCGATACATACATAACGTATGATAGTGGCCGCATTCAGCAACTTGTTTATTTTACAATTTTTGAAAGTTTCCTGTAAATCTAAAATAATGACCCAATCTTGAGTCAGAAAACTTCCAACAGTTGTAAAATAAACGTTTTGTTGAGCGTGGTTATGAACAATTTTTATCTTAAGATACGTTGGCGTTTTTTGAGGTTAGGAAGCCTGTCATGTTGTCTATACATATACATATGTACAGCCTAAGCGATTTTAATAATTCATTTCCCTTTCTACAATATCGAAAAATCGCTTGAATTTTTCGGATAATTTTCTACATGTAGAAAAAAATGTCGAACGAGAAATGCCTCCAGCTATTCCGAGCGTTGACATTTTGTGCGTCTGCCAATATTGATTTCTTACTGAAAGTGCGTCACGTATCTTGTGTAATTTTTATAAAAATGCCGTGTATCTCGAAAAATTTTTCGCAATGAAATAGCGATCGAGGCGCGGTGGACTAATTTCGAGTTTCTACACGGCAGAAAATAAGTTCACCTCGACATTGGCGGCGACGTGTCGCACAGAAATTTCGCGAAGTCAAACACGCAAAATGTAGGCGTGCTCGATGTAAAAAAACGTGATGAAACTCACCCGGTCCAGACGTTCATTTTCACCGTTGAATTCCGCGTACTACCAAAGTGGAAAAGCAACTGGAGTTGTCGCGCTCACGATTCGAAAAATTTCCTCGGACGATCAATAGAGCAAACGGACAAGCCTCGATACACCTTCACCGATTTGCTACCATTTACTGCGCGTCACGAAAATGGCCGCTTTTCACGACGGACGACAGCGCCTCTCTTCATTCGCGTAGAAATTTCTACAACTGAATTGCGCAATGGGAGCGAATGACACGAGAGGTCTGCACTTTATAGCTGCACCAAGGTTGCACTGTCTGAACTTAAAGTGTAGCAGATCTATTCAACGCTTGGTGGAAGTGAGAAGACAGAAAAATGAAAGAAGGTTCGAAGAGTACAGATTTAGATCCATAATCCGAAATCACATTTATCTACTGAAGTGCTTTAAATGCGGCTTTTCAGCCAATCAGGTGATGCCATTTTCAGAGGCACTTTTATCGATAAAGGTGAGTTCCGAATACAGACCACAGAGAATAGGCGCGAAAACGGAACGGCGGAATTTTGCCAGCAACCGACCGAGGTCCTCGCCTCGCGCGTTTCCTCAGAGATGTCGCCACCGGCGCTCGGGCCCGAACATGTCGATGTGGAGGCGCCATTACGCATGGTGGCATACGCGCGCGCGTGCTATATATCTCGTAAATTTTATGCTCCCGCAACCCGCACGATCTTGAATTCTACAAAGCGACGAGCGAACATGGCCGCCCGACAAAACATTCTGTGTGGCATCGTTTAACGACCGGACTGATTAGCCGTCGCTCGCACAGCTCAGCCATGTCACACGGTGACTGCGGGACAACGTCATCCTGACCGAGAGTTTCTCGCCGAGAGTGACGCAACGGCCGACGGTCGAGGGGACTGGAGAACTCGATCTTTTTTCGGGGGAAGGTGTGCATATCGGGCGCAAACCCGATTAGCCAAGCTCCGCTGTCCGCTCTCTCTCTCTCTCTTTCGAGGAAATAACAAACAGGCGCGCGACGGTCGTCGCGTTCGCCGATACCCCGTGTGTCGGCGGTGTCGCGGAACGTGGCTCGGCAAGCGGGTCAGCCGAGGAGTCATCGAGTCGGTCGGTCTTGTTGCGACTTGTGTAAGGACAGCAGCAGCCTGTACCGACATAACGAAGTGATTCGTCGCGAGCCACAACGTAACGACACTGACGAGTTACCGTGAACGTACGGACGGACGGACTGCGTAAGGTCACCCAGACCGAGAGTGGAAGATTGATCGTCGGCGATCATGACGATCTTGTCGAAGAAGAAGACGAACGCGTCGAAGGACCGTACGCGCGAGCCAGGTGCAGGCACGGAGGTCGACGTTCATCACAGCGTGGTGCAGAATGAGCACAATTCCGGCAATATTGCGCTGCCGAACAGTCCGTATCAGGTGAGGAGCAACGTGGAATGCGCTCTTTCTCTCTTTCTCTGTCAGGTAGACTCGTCGTCCCTCTTACTTTTCTCTCTCTCTCTCTCTCGTCATGTTTTAACGCGACCTCGTTCGCCAAGTTACACACCGAGACAGGCAGTCAGAGACAGATTTTACCGAAAACGCGCGGCCAGGTGCGCGGAAGCGCTGGAGTCGCCGCACGGCTTGTATGGAGTCTGAGGGTTTGTTTTCTATTCTTGCATCGGGACTGCGGTAGAACTAAACTGGAGCAAGCCTGGAGAACTGACGAGAGTAAGCATATAGCCAAGGAATAAAGAACACTTTAGTGTGGGAACAATGTGGCAGACTATATTATGACTCGGTAGAATTGAACAGTTATTATTTTCAACATCAACAATATGTATTAAAATATGGATATATAAAGTCTTTCAATATCTAGGAAAGGTACTTTTATATTTACTATTTAATTTTTGTTTCGATTAGCTGTACAGTAAATATTTAAGTATAATACTTAAGTGTAAATTTTGAAAATAAAAACGATGTAACTTCAGCTATTTAGATATATTGTTTCTTACGTCAATACATATTGTAAACATTGGAGTAAAAGTACAACAATTTAATTATGTAATGATACTGGTTACTTGATATTTTTTGCACTCTTATTTGGAAGTATTATCCCAACTGTCCTTATATTGTTTACAGTGGCTCCAGATTTAAAGTTTGTTCTTTACAGCTGAATTAGTTTGCAATTTTCATCTTTAGAGTGAAACAAGCATGTAACAGAGTGTTGAAAGGGGAACTATCGAAGTTCCAGTATAGCATTGTCTGGCACTGCTGGAACAGGAAACAATGTCGCTCAGTTTAAGTCAGTTCTGGAGTAGAAAATGCTTCAGTTATGGACAGAAAGGTTGTGACTTTTCTTTTTTTTTTATAAGTCTCGGCGCATCCTGTATCTAATATGGGAATTTGTTTATTAGTTATTCTCAGGAGATTCATTTTTCTCTTAGATACAACATGCTTTGTGAAATTCATAAAAAAAAAGTGTCGCAACTTTTTCATCCACCGCTATATATTTTTTTAACTAGTACAACCAATGCAGGATTGGACAACAAACAAATAAAAAAACTGATTAGGGATTCAAATCCATAGTGCTGACTGCTGTCTCGTATAAAGTATAAATTTTGTGAGAGAAAGAGAAAGAGAGAAAGAAGGAAAACCTTTCCCTTGACGTCATCACTGATATAGGTCCTTTGCTTTCTTTTTTTTTTGTTGCGTTTTTGTATATTAAGTATGATTGTAACCATTAGATGAGACATTTGGGAGATTAACGCAAGGCCAACTTTGGACTTAATGATATGAGAACGATAGTGATATTCGTAATGACAGAGCAATGAGCTGTAACGCAAATACTGACTATCGTGCATGATTAATAATCGCAAATGTTCCATGGAAAAATTTGTGCAAAGATATGTATTTGTTTGTAACATACGGTGCTTTTGTTGCAGGCAAGCGTAGACCGTCGCGAAGAGAAACACTTTGAAGAAAGCGGTCCGAGTCATGGCAAACGTCACCGACAAAGGGTCAGTCCCCACAGGTAATTAAAAGATCACAAAACACGGTGATCTAAAGTCTGAAGTTGCGAAAAACTAATTGAAACTTAGTCAAAGTTAGGTACTTTATTGCAAATTAAATACTTTTGTTTTGGTATTTTTTCTAATATTATAATATGTATGAGATAATATATGACGAGAGTAATATCGCGTTCCTATGATACGTATTTCCGCTTTATATATGTAATAAGGAATCTACTAATCTTTTAGTAGCTATATTGGTAGATCCTCACGCGCCAAACGCGAGCGAGAGAGGGACAGAGGCAGGGAGAGGGAGAGGGAACGGGAACGTGAGAGGCAAGCTACTCCACCTGCTGCCTCTTGCAGTGGTATTCAAGGTAATTCTTCCGTGACATGATTGGAAGATTTACGAAATCAAAAAACTTGCAACAACGGAGCTTGAGTAAACGTCAGTTCCTGATTTCTTCAGGAACAGATACCAGTGTCAATGGGAGAGTGAGCATCGTTGGAAATGCTTCAAATCTGGAGCACGAATTGGCAAATGGTTACAACAGCGGGGATGAATACACAGGGCGTACTGGGAATAATCTCACGTTAGCCGAATGGCAGGAGGTTAGTATGGTTTACTCTCGAATGGTAAGGCGAGGTCAGATTGACCCCCACTGCTTTGTTTATTTTACAGCATGCACGCATGATTTCTTTTCTTAAAAAATATTTTATGTTACTATTTACTTCTTTTATTCATTTTGTGCGTTGATTGCGTGAAAAGTAAATATATAGTATATTTAAATATATTTATCACACTTTACAGAGAGACCGATGGTTCGAAAAACACATGCGGAAAAAGGGTTTTATCGTGAAAAAAATGGACGAGGATGGAGCTTGCTTGTTTCGAGCAGTGGCGGATCAAGTTTACGGCGATCAAGAGATGCACGGGGTTGTGCGGAAGCATTGTATGGATTATATTGTAAGTTACGATACAACGTAATATACTCTTTACTGCACAGTAATTGCAGGTAATTATAAGTTACTTATTATTACTCCGTCACGACTCGGTGTGATGATTAAACGACGTTCACTTTCAGGCTTCCAACAAGGAGTTCTTCCGGAATTTCGTGGCGGCGGAAGATTTCAGTAATTATGTGAATAGGAAGAGGCTGGAGTACGTTCACGGGAACCATATAGAAATGCACGCCATGTCGGAAATGTACAACCGTAGCATCCAATTGTACTGCTATAGCACAGGTACGTGTTGTTCGTTACGTGGATTTTTATTTCGTATTATTTACTATTGTTATATTATCGATCGAACTTCTTGCAGAACCTATCGATATCTTCCACACCACGGTGAAAAGCGACAATGAACCGATCAGGCTGTCGTACCAGCGTGACAGTCACTACAACAGCATAGTCGATCCGTACAAGGCCACCATAGGCGTAGGACTCGGTCTGCCGGCGTACAATCCCGGTGCTGCTGACCGCGCTCTGATATCAGATGCGGTTCGTCAGAGTGAGGAATTGCACATCGAACAGGTAGTTATTATTATATATACATACAATTATAGATAAACACATATAATTATAGATAGTGGACGAGTTGATTTCCGACGCGTTTTGACCTCACGATTTCAACGACAGACAATGCTGGAGGATAAGATCAAAGCCACCGACTGGGAAGCGACTAACGAGGCTATCGAGGAACAGGTGGCGAGAGAGAGCTACCTTCAATGGCTGCGCGACAACGAGATGCGCAAAGCAGTAAGTAGAGACCCGATCTGGTCACGATCGTCGTGCAATTTTACGTACCTCTATTGAAGAAAGACGAAAACTTAGTCTCATGACTTTTGAATCAAGCGATCAGCCAGTAGTAGCAGTACGAGCACAGTTACGAGCGCGCAACATAATCATTCGCACTTTCATTCACATGGAGGTCGTGGACAGCAACGTAGCCATACCTCGTCACCGACCACGACTCAAACTAGCCAAGATAATTTACGTAATTCTCCAAAGGTCCGTCTTGCACCGATATGTGTAATAATTGGCCTGTTCTTTTTGGCCGCACTGCCGAACTGGTGCGGTGAGTTTGAACGAGACGAAATAATATACTTGCCTCGCTCGAACTTGTTGCACCAGTTCAGCGATGCAACTGAAAAGAACAGACCAGTAGTAACTCGGAGCCGAGTCTCGCGGTAGTGTCACGTGTGTAAAGGAGATTGTCCGTTGTGATCATTAGGTCAGCGACGCGGTACGATACAGCAAAAGATCGCCGCAGCATCAATCAGCGACTCAAGGTTCCCACTTGCCGCCGGATTTTGAGGTAAAAGCCACGCCGCAGGAACCTGTGCCAGGAAGCAGCAAGGAGGCGCACGCATCACCGGACATCCCATTGTTCAATCGCCTCCCTCCTGAAGTCTTCGGTGAGAAGATTCCCAGTTAGATGCTTCATTTCGAATGACTAACTCGAGAGGAATTTAATTCCCAGAGTCGATTTTGCGACAAAATGCCTTCCATATCGAGTGTGCAAAGCATATCGACTTGCTTGCAATTGTGTGTATGAAAGTTCCTGGCCTGATACGCTTGTCGTAGGAATACTTGATGAAGAGATAGCTCTAGAGTTCAGAGTTTTATAGAGATTTCTAATAGCTTTCACAGAGAGCAATCTCTCTCTCTCTCTCTCTTTCTAATAATTAACTTTCTAATTTTCCAGGTCTAACCGATTGGGAAGACAGCGATATACTTTCGCAAGTGCTGGCGACGTCGCAACAGGAATATTTGGACAGCTTGAAGCAATCACGCGTATCTGCGTCCGCCGGGAGCGATAGCCCTAATACGATAGAGTCTAATAACAGTTCTAGTAACAATTCTTGAAATGCGGTCGGCAACGACAAAGTTCAAAAGATATCAGAGTAAAGATATATACATTTATATATTGCAGTATCATCTATTCCCGCGTTGTGCCAGGCATAAGGTGGTTTGCTTTCTCATCTCGCGAGTAAATATTGCAATAATCATTGGTTGATTTTTTCTCCGTCTGTTTCTATCACACACACACATACACACATACACAACACGCATAATACATAAATACTTATTCTTCCCTTCCATCTTACTTCTTTTATTCTTTTTTTCTTAGTCCAGAACTAAATAAACTATCTCTTCTGCCGTCCTTCTCCCTTCTCTGTCCATCTATCTATTTATCTCTGTGTTTCTTTCTCTTTCCCAGCAACACGCCGATTCGAAAACGTACATATGGTATTTTCAAGCATACGTACGTCATATAGTCGTTAAGCGCTTTGTTAACACTAAATGAAGTAGCTGTGTATCTCTTTCGTTGTATCTTTGTGTCGTCATATAGAGAATGGTCAAAATAATTTGCATCATTCCGAAATTGTTATTGTTAAATATAAATTTCTTAATTTTCGTAGTTACGCGATATCCGCTGTCACACAATCCATATTAACTCGCCTATTTTGGGGTTCAACATTATTATTATAGGGCATGCAATGCGATTAGACAAGAAAAGAAATATATATATATATATATACATATATATATGTATATATATATAGCATATATACATACATATACACACACATATATATATATATATGTGTGTGTATATGTATGTATGATGCATATATATATGTTTGATAATCGTGATGTTTTTTCTCGATATAGTATAGGTGAAAATGCTTTAGAAAAATCTGCGTTGCATTATTTGTATAAAAAGGAGTAAATAAAAAAAGTATCTAACTGTAAATTTAATTTATCAACATCTTTATACATGGAAACATTCGTCGTCGATTTTCATTATTTGCGAAAAAGATCCAGTGAAATCAACGAAAGCGACGCTGCTGGTCTTGTTCTGTTCAAACGGCATGTGAACTCGCGTTGTGGAAGGATTCATAATATCGATGTTCTCGAGAGTGTCCTACATAGATGGTTCGTCACAACAAAGCGAACAGTCTTTGACGAACAAGAGAGCGAATGTCACTCAGTCGAAAGAACACGTTTTCACATTTGCTTTAGACGAGATTCAATTTTGCTCCAAGATATTCTTTCACCCCCGTCTCTCTGTTTATCTCTCGTGAGAGTGAAAATGTATACGTGCACCGACGACTATAGATTCGAGAGCACACTCGGCAACGGAACGTTCGGGTATTTATTGTCGTTATTCTAAACGAGCCTATGTATATAAATCAACGTTTTATTCTCTCTGCTACAGTGTAAATGTATATTTTTAGAACCGTGTATCTGGTGAGAAGAAAGAAGGACTCGAAGCCGTTTGTCATAAAAGAACAAGATCTAGACTCGGTGAATTATTCGGCCTCCAAGGTACAAGGTGTACGCGCGATGCGATAGTTGTCTCTGTTCGGGCAGAAGTATAACACACTTTCAACGTTTTATAACTCTCAGATAGTGCTTGAGGAGGTGCAATGTCTGCGCAAGATGCGACATCCGAACATAGTGTCTTATCACGGAGCGTGGATAGCGCACAATCACAGTTACATTCTTATGGAATACGCGACTCGATGCACTCTCAAGGACTTGCTGGAGAAACGGAAGATTCCTCTCAAGGAGGAAGTAACTATTCTACGTAGAGGACACGCTTTGAAAACATGAAATACATTGCACGTATATTTTCACAGGACGCTCTGTACCTATTTTCACAAGTCACTCTGGGAGTACATCACATTCACTCGAAAGAGATCCTTCACCGAGACTTGAAGCCAGAGAATATTATGCTGACTGGTAGCCGCGGGGATATCGTTAAAATTGGCGACTTCGGTGTTTCGAAGAGTCTTCACGAGTAGGCATCGATAAGTCAATTTTTGCATATTATCAACTTAAGGATGTATCGCCCATCAGTGTATACTGTCATACCCGTATTTTTACTGAGGGGAACCCCTCCTCCCACTCGTAAATTTCTCATAAATTTCTCTCCTCGTCCGTTGAACTTACCACTTAACTTCTAATTTCTTACCTCATATTTTCTTCTTTCAATAGAAAATGCATCACTTGTCGCGCCGGATCTTACTATTACATGGCCCCGGAAATGCTGACTGCACAGCCGTACGACTTCAAGTGTGACGTATGGAGCATGGGCGTTATATTATACGAGATGATCACGAAGAGGCTTCCATATCCTGCCACGGTGAGTCAAATTACTTAATTACGACATACGAATTTTCCACTTTTCTCGCATTAATTACTGAATAAGTCGACCATTTGATCGCGTGTCCAGTTATAACCAAGATGAATATATATTTCTTATCATCGTTTTAGAGTCTAGTGGAAATTACGAAGTTGGTGTTCGATCAGCCGCCGAAGCCTCTGCCTGAAGGAACACCGGTGCCGATCGTGAACTTGATATCGAAGATGCTGAGGAAGCAAAGCCCGAGTCGACCTCGCACCGATCAACTCGTGCTCTGCCCCTTCCTGGTCCCTTACATCGTCCGAATATATCTGAATGTCGGGCGAATCATTAATCTCGCCGATCGGGAATCCGCCAAGTTCGGCCCGCGCGTTTTCTTGAAATTCCTGAAGCCGCCGAATTTCCGTCAAAACGAAACCGTACAGTAACAAGTTGTAAGGAGTGAACGAATCAGAATCAGATATTTCCGTTGCACGAAGCGCGCGCGTTAGATGATTTTAGTCGAATGTTTTGCATTGAAAATCTCAAAACACTCTTCTTATCAATCGCACGCGCCTTCTCGACAATCTTATTAATTTTATACGAGTGATGGAATCAAATTGGAAGGCATATTTTATAATGTATAAAGTATAAACGCGCACACAGAGCGCGAGCTCCGTTGTCTTCAGTGATGTATTAACCGTGTGCAGTTATCGGAAGGAAATTAAATTAAAGATGATCGGGAACACGTGTGCCATGACTGAAATGCTCACGCGACTGAAAATCCCGTCGCGTTTCGAAAGCGCAACACGCGGAACCGATTTAGCGCCAGTGGAAACAGCCTGATTTTAATCTCTCGTCCGCGGCATTCAGCATCGATGGAATCTCATTGTTCGACGTGTGCACGAGCGCACACGGAAAGCGCGTAACTACCGGAAACCAAGGCCGGAATCGTGCGGATTCGTGCGGATACACCGTTTCGTGCTCGATGACCACGGCCCAGGAAAACCGTACAGTTCGCATCTCGTTGGTACACATATCACGCCGTCGGCCGCGTTACCGTCGTCCGAACGTTTCCTCGTGATCTCGTACGGTACAGGGAAGCCGGCAAGTTGAAGGCTGCAGCGCAAGAATGTGAGTCTGTAAAGTCAGCAGGTCTCCAACAGACGTTGAGCCAATATATTCACTGTAATAACGGGTGAATAATTTTGAACTATATTTTCTCTGGAATATTTTACGTGTATCTAGAATACACCCCAAGTAACAAAGTGACATGAAATGACGTCAAAGTGGACCTTGCGGATTATACGGATTAATCTCACTCTTGCGCTCAATCCCTCATCAGTCCCTTCATCATTTCACGTTCGATCGGTTTAACGTTACCGCAATCGGATTGGCGACGTTAACACGATGTGTGGTGCGATGTAAAAGAGTTCCCGTAAAGGAGTCTCTTCTCGTATGTCGTAAGAAGAAAGGGGATCTCGCCGGACAAACCACATGTCAAGACTATCATTGACGGGCCTCGAGGATCCCGATGAGCGAGTAGCAGCAGCAAACGACACATGACACACGCACGCCAAGTGTAAACCTTGTGAAACATAGGTGAAAACGGAAAAAGAGACCGCGATATGTGGTGGTTTCTGTTGCTGAGCTGCTGGTCGTCCTCCTCGTCCCAGGGCGTGACCCGGTCGACGGTGTTGCACGCGATGCTCGGCGAACAGGTCGACCTCGTGGGCGCCGTGAACGCGAGCTACGCGTCCGACTGGCGGAGAGGCCTCGTGAACAACGGAGTTAATGATGCGATGGGCAACGGGGAGTCTGCCGATTCCATCGATTCGCGGCAGCCTCCCGCCAATACCGTCGATCGCGAACCGTTGGACGAAGTGGAGCGTATCGAGCCCAGGCAGTGGCCAGGCAGACCGGATATCCTGCCGACTCGCAGCACCGCGCCCTTCACCACGGAAACCTCCCTGTCTACCGGGCCTCTGTACCCCACCACGCTCGCCCAAAGGAACCCCTCCTCGCAAAGGTATCTCGACGGTGGCACAGGTAGCCAGATAATGTTAAGACTCCCCAAGATGTTGTAAAGACGTCTTTTAGACAACAAGGTGTCTGAAGGACGTCTCCGAGACGTTTTTTAGATGTACGTGTTGATTGAGTAGCTTTATACTATCTCATCACTCTACCTTTTAAATCTCCATTAATTAGTTGAACCTATATAATAGGTTTACACGCTGTTTTTTGTGTTCACATGCGAGATTCCCGACGATTACGGTGCCACCGCCGACGGTCACCGTCGACGAAGTCTTCTGCGACTTCGGACCGAACCCGTCGATGCCGCTCTGCGAGTGGCAAAATGGTAACGGCGCCTTGGAGTGGATGCCGGGTACCGGATTGGGCACTAACTGGGTGGGTGGACCGGCGGCCGATTTTACGAGCGGCACCATGGAGGGAGGGTAAGCTTGAATGTCGCGTTTATTACTTCATGCGTTCTCCTTCACAGCCAGAAACGTTACAGTGCATCACCTTCCTCTGCATCTTCGCTTTTTGCGTCTCGTTGCACTTAGGTACGCCTTCGTGGAGACGTCGCACGTACCACCGAAGGATCTGAAATTCAAGAGCTCCGGTGGTCTCCTGCACAGTCCACAGTTAGGCAGCACCGGGGTCTCCGGCACTTGCTTCATGTTCAAATACTCCATGGATGGTCTCAGTATCGCAGGGCTGCGGGTATTGCTGCACGTCGGTGTAGACGAGTTCTCGTACAAGAAGGAGCAGCTCGAGGAGGAGCCGCCCACGGAAAATGTCACGGCGCCGGTGCCTTGCGAGCCGGTGGAGGTCTTGGAGGAACGAGTGCTGTGGCACGCGCAGTATTACACGCTCGGAGTATGGCAGCAGACCCAAATACTCTACACTTTCCCCGAATTGCACTCGGTGAGTCGTCGCAATTCAGTCGGCGAAACGTCGAGGTCGATGGTGGATCGAGATTTTTAGATTGAATCAACTTAACGCTGAACCAATCTGACACGAATCAAACTTAAGTCTTGGCGAGCAGGTGATCATCGAAGGTGTGCCGGTGGACTCGACGGACCCGTCGCGTCTGTATCGCGGGTACATCGCCATCGATGACATAGACCTGCAGCCTGGCACGTCGTGCGTTGGCTTCTGCAACTTCGCCAATGGCTTCTGCGACTGGAACAACGACGCGGAGGACGATTTTGATTGGACCATAGTGAGTACACTAGCTTCGTACGACCGTCTATGGGCTGTTACGCGGTTCAGATCACTTGAAAACGAGAAGATATCCGGAGAAATCTCGTTTTCAGAGCCGTGGCAGCGACAATCCCACGACCGGTCCGGCGATGGACAGCTCCAGCGATCGCGCCACAGCGGGCGGTTACGCGTACATCGACTCCAGCTTCCCGCGACGACCCGGCGACACGGCGAAGCTGGTAAGCTCGAGCTTCCCGGCTACCACCGCGGACGCGCCGATGTGCACGCACTTCTGGTTCCACATGTTCGGGTCCGGGATCGGTTACCTCAGGCTCTACCTACGTCACTTTCGCAGCTCGGACAACCAGCTGCAGGAGATCTGGGGACTGTCCGGGAACGCCGGCAACGCCTGGTTCATGTCACAGGTGACGATCAGCTCGCTCGACGACTTCCAGCTGATGTTCGAGGCGTCGGTGGGCATCACCGGCATGGGTGATATCGCCATCGACGATATCTCGTACGCACAAGGCGCCTGCCCTGGTAAGTCCTCGTTGCTTCAGCGCTGTAGTAACAAAAGAAATGGAAAAAACCGGTTTCTCTCCGAGCCTTCGAAACTACAGTTTGCGCTGCTCGAGTTATTCCCGATAATTTTCTCGACTTGGTCCTCTGATTCTTCCTTCTCGAAAGTTTCGCCGCAAGTGGCCGCTCCGATACCGCGAGACTGCACGTTCGAGGTCGACGAGTGCGAGTGGATCAACACGCGCGACCCGGACCGCGTCGAGTGGGAGAGGGTGTCCACGCAGGTGTTGGGCCCGAGAAACCAGAGGAAGCCCTACAGCAATGGGCACACAGTTAATCGACGCAACGAGTACTTCCTGGGGCTCGCTCGTGTACGTGGTGGCTCACGATCGTCCGGAGGCGGTACTGCTCAGCTAGTCAGCCGGGAGATGAAAGGTTCTGAGGAACCGCTGTGTATCACGTTCTGGTACTTCATGTTCGAGCCGTTCATCGACTCCACGGGACCCAGCTTGGGTGAGCAATTATGAGAAATTCAATTTGCGAAGTCAAGTTTTTAAATTTTGCGACCAGGCTATTTTATTTGTTACTTTAGTTGATGGAGATGAATTGCTGTGGATTCCTTTTAAGACGAGCATTGTTACTCCTTGCAAGGATACGACTTGTCCACCAAATGAAAGTAACGCATGTTTGATCTTTCACAGGCGTCTTGCGACTGTACGTGCAAGAAGTGGGCGACACCTCGACGGAAGCCAAGCCGATCTGGCAGTTATACAATAACCAAGGTCCCACGTGGAGCTACGCTCAGGCTAACATCAACGAGAACACGGACTTCAACATCGTATTCGAGGGCACATGGGGCCCGAACAGAGCGAGCGGTAGCATAGGAATCGACGATATCGCGTTTTATACTGGGAATTGCAGCGGTGAATATTAAAATAGGATGGATGCTAGTTGACTATTTTCGGACTATCTTAGCAATTCCTTGAAATTTTACGTTTGCAGTGAAGCCACTGAGTGCGGCCGTGCGCGCGGAGGACTGCAGCTTCGAGAAGGGCCTGTGCGGATGGGAGAACACGACCGCCTCCGACAACGACCGGGCCGTGATGTGGCAACGCGCTTTTCAGACCCACCGGCCGGCTCAACTGTTGGACAGGACGTTCGGTGCAACTGGTGACTTCGTGTTCTTCGACATCTTCACGAACAACAAGCAGTCGACGACGGTGCAGTTGCGATCGCCCGTCATCAGCCCATTGCCCGACGAGGAGTTCGTCTGTTTCACCTTCTGGTTCGCCGCCTTCGGCGTGGAGGAGTCCACCACTCTGCGAGTGATCAAAGCGCCCGCTGAGGAGGATGGGAACGAACAGAACGAAGACGCGCAGGAGCAGGCGGTATGAGGATGTTAAATGCTTGAAATTTGATTCCCAGGAAAAAATTGTCGATATTTAATTAAAAATAATGATATATGATTGTATATAATTATATATAAAATTATATATAAAAATTATATATAAAATATGTCATGTATAAAAATATATAATTATATATGGTCATATTTTATATATATGAGACATTTTTCATGGATGGATTTTTGAGAGTGAATTATATATAGCTCGTTTTGCTTTGGATTCTTTGCTTCATTGTCCTGGTGTTTCGTTGCAGCTGTGGTCACTGACAGCGAAGGGATTGAACAATCCGCGACCGGTGTGGATGGCGGCACAAGTGACGATCGAGGCGCGTACCCCGTATCGACTGATCCTCGAGGGAAGCGCGAGTAACGGTGGCTTCGCCGTGGACGACATAAAGTTTCAGCCCTTGGCTTGTGGAAGTAAGACTAACAGAAATCAATGAAGACCGAAATCAAAGCAGATGCGAGTGAATGGAGAATAAAAACATATTTTTTAGTTCGACCACCCAGCGCCCAACCGATCGAAAGCGAGACGTAAGAGGGACACCGGCAAAATGGACCATGAGATAAAGAAGAAAAAAAACGTAGTAATATTTTTTTTATCAATTAGTTTATTAATTAGCTATTATTTATATGTAAAACTGTAACGCAAGTAGAACACGCAATAAAAAAACTTGGGATATACCCGATACGATCCAGGACTTTTGTATTGTTAATTAAATAACTCTGTGCAACCAAAATAGATGCCGCTTTTACAATAATATAATTTTGATATGCAGATATTATATATATATATCTCAACTTCGTTTCAAGTTAACATTCATCATTCAGGTAGTAAAATTAACATACAGGAACGTAATTTTGCTTGATAAATATTAAATATATAAGCGACCCCCATGACGCACCAGCGAAAATACGGCACTAACGGGCGATGCGTACGGTGCGATTCACAATCGCGCGCAGTCGATCGATATAAATCGAGGGCTCGATAGACCGCGCGCGTTGCGCAGCGGCCGTAAGGCGCGCCGAGTGTGCCGTGCCAGTCGGGCGACCATTTTTGTAAGAGATCCTGGCAGTTCCAGCTCGCCTCACAGGACGTTTCGCGCGGACGAACGATCGCGTCGATGTAGCTCGCGGTGATTTTGCGCGAGCTACACGCAGCAGGGAAGCCGAGGGAGGCAGCGTTCTCTCGCGTTCCATCGTCCGCGTCAGCGAGCCACGTGAGAAACGCCGACGGAGGTGTGACACAACGTCGTTCCGCCAACATGTTGTCGACGTTCCGCCGCCACCGCAAGATCGCACCGTGCGAAGCACGTTCGGCGGATAACAAGTGATACTTGCTCGTGGCCGAGAGAAGTGCGGAGGAACGTGCGAACGGAGTTCCCCCGGGCTTTCCGTGCCAGCGAGCGTGAATCGCGCGACAAACACAACATCTGTGTCACGGTCGGCCGCGATTCGTGTCGCGCATCGCTGCTGCGGTTTTTACTATGCGGGCGTTTCGCCGACGGGCTCTCACTATCGCCGCTGCCCCGTAACACCGTGTTTAATTGATAATTGACGAGGGAAGAAGTTATCGTTTCGCTGCTCTCGGACTGTGCGATCGGGAACAACGGGGCGCGACAATGGCTGCGACCTTCGATCAGTACGACAAGTCGAGGTGCGTGTCACACGAGAAGTTCTCTCGTGTTTTCATTCATCCGGCGATCCGACGCGGCACTCGGCGTGTCACACGTATCGTGTAACGGGCTAATGTTGTTTTGAAATAACGGCTCCCAACGTCACTCGCCGGCATTCTTTGACAGCTGTTCTGTGTAGGATTCTTTGAAACGGGGTTACTGGCTCGCTTGTATTCCGTAAAGCACTGGATAAATCATCTTTGGTCCGTGCGATATGAGTCATGATTCAAAGTGTCATTCGCGAGTAACACAAGGTAGAAATAGAAAACTGATTTAAGAAACTTGGTAATTTTTCTTCAATGTTCTTGGAATACCTCCCATGTTATTCGAGATATTCCGATGTAAACACTTTTTCCAATTATTAATTAAGATTAATTGAAATGTCTCCTTATCTTTTGTATGTTTTGCTCTAGCAGATAGAGAATCAATTCGAGTTTCAATTAACTTTGATCAATTGACTATAATGGCAAACTTCGCTTTGTATGTTTTTCCCCTGAAATTTATTTACTCGATCAATTTGAATTGTATATGTATGTTTCTCCGAGAAATTTAATCAGTTGCGTTATTAAGTTAGACGTGTCTGATTCCCTTTCAGCTGGTACTTTGGTGCCATGTCGCGGCAGGACGCTTCCGACCTGTTAATGGGTGAGAAGGAGGGCGGTGTATTTTTGGTACGGGACAGCACTTCCATACATGGTGACTTTGTGCTGTGTGTGAGGGAGGACAGCAAGGTTAGCCACTATATCATCAACAAGATCCAACAGGGGGATCAAGTCCGGTATCGGATAGGCGATCAGATGTTCCCGGACATTCCCAGCCTTTTGGCCTTTTACAAATTACACTACTTGGACACCACACCATTAATCAGGCCTGCTCTAAAGAAGACGCAGAGGGTAATCGCAAAGTACGACTTTGAGGGCAACGATCCAGACGATCTACCCTTCAGGAAAGGTATGATGATGAGTCCCCTCCCTCCCCCCTCCTGTGGTAGTTCTGATCTCTTCGCACAGTCAATCTGAGTTACCTTAACGAGATGTTTGCAATACAGGTGAAATACTCACTGTGGTGTCGAAGGACGAGGAGCAATGGTGGACGGCTAGAAACAGCCTCGGGCAGATCGGCTCGGTGCCGGTGCCGTACGTGCAGAAGTACGACGAGGACAGCCACATGATAATCGAGAACAATTCACGGCCGGAGAGCGGCGGCAGTTCGGGCTCGAACTCGGGCTCGGCCACTCAGGTGCCGCATGCGGAGACGACGGCCGGCCAGGCGACGGCCGCGACCGTCACGCGAAGATCGAACATTCAGAGAACGCTACCGGCATTCGCGAAAGTGAAACAGGCGAGGGTACCGAACGCGTACGACAAGACCGCGCTGAAGTTGGAAGTAGGTGACATAATAAAAGTGACAAAGACTAATATCAACGGCCAGTGGGAGGGCGAGCTGCACGGTAAGGTCGGCCACTTTCCGTTCACACACGTAGAATTCGTAGACAATGAGACCGGCGAGGACAATCAGGAGATTTAACAGAAGTTCTCCAAGTGCGATGCATCGTGCGTGTGACAAAGGGGAGAGAATGGAGAGAGAGGAAGAGAGAAAGAGAGAGATAGAGAGACTCCTCCTATATTATCAATTTAGGTTACTATAATAACATCTATTATATGTACCATCGCGCAGACCGTGCTTACCACATCGAGGTCCGAACAATCCACGTTACGTTCGATACGTCGCACGCTACAAATGCTGAACAAACCCCAGATTCTTGTGCAATACGTCGAGGCATAGGAGACGCTTAGAGATTCACACGGTTAGTATCCCAGCAGTGTGTTAATAACTTAGTCAACCCCTCTCCCCCCAATATTCTTACGTTACACATCGCTAATTGCCCAAAGCACGAGCATAATTTTTACGAAGTTTTTTTTTATTAGATATAGATATGTAAAGTAAAAGTTATATATATGTTAGCTCGGTCCTTATTGCGAATTTTATTGAAAACCGGGAAAGAAAAAATCATGTCTCAGAGATATAGAGGAAACACCAGGCGCAATGAGATTTTTGTTTTATTACCTTTTTCTCTCTTTAACGCAGTATTTATGTAGAATGTACATTCTAGCGCGGTTCCAGTTTACAATTTTATAACGAGTTTCAAGTTCTGCGTGTATGCTCCCATCCTATACATACACACACACATCATACACACACACACACATGTATTAATATAGCGCACTAGTTTAACGCTCACGCGTAGGTTTTTATTATTATTATTGTTTTATCGAGGGATTTATATCGAACGTTCCAAACCTGTAGCGGTTGAGCGCACGAAGTTCTCTACTCACGCTCGACGAGAGCAACCCACCCACGGACTTGTTGATTTTATGGAGGATTATATTACCGATATATAATATAAAACGTAAATAAGTTATACATACATATATATATATACATATATACATATATATATATATATATATATCTCTTCGCATTTCTCTTATTTATCGCAATGCAAGGAAGGGCATGCTTCTTGTGAAAAGAAACGTCTTGTTAATAGGTGTACACATGTACTCTCCTACGGGCTATATTATTCCTGAGGTTGAAAACAGGTATATTCCGCGCTGAATATACGATAAATGTCTTCTAGTCATACAGTGACTATGATAGAGAAAGCATACTGTGCATACTTGTCATTGTTTCGCCGCTGTGTGTTTTACTGACGCTTCCGCGAGCTATCCGCTTGTCGTTGAGATAGGTACAACAGGTGGAGAACGACGACACAGAGAGAGCTGGTCCCTCCTCCCGCGAGCTATACGCAAAGTGTGTCTCTGTTTCATGGTACATATAATAGTTGTTAGCCATAGGTTGTGCCACAACTGGAGCAACTGATCCGTGCTAGAAATTTGTATTTATATAGAATGATGGAAAGGTTAACTGTGTATCAAAAGCCGATCATAGTCGTACGCAGGACGGCCGTCGCCGGTGGTCGTCGTCGGGGAGCCCGCTCTGACACGGAGCGTCGGATAGAATTAATTAATTTTCACCGGGATGAGAGAGAAGGATGCAATGTCGCCTCCGGTGTGTCCGGTCGGAGAATGTCCCTCCCCGATGCTCGACGATACCAGCCTGTACACTGGGGCTACATACAATAAATTCTCGTACAATATATTGTAGTTATATACTGTAAAACATCCCGAACGAAAAGGAAGCAAGCTTGTACCACATCGAAATCATGTTTTCACGTTGCATCTTCCCATCGTCGTAAGTCACGCGATGTTTCTCGAAATATGTTCAGCCCTCTTTTTTTCGCAGATTCGCGCATTTGACATTTCCATCATCTCGTTCGTCGTCATCTCGGTTGCATAAGTTCTCCGCAATCTTCCTAGAAAAACACGCAGTATTACGATATAGGCGAAATTGCTGGTGTGGCTCCATATCAGTGAAATCTCATGTCCTCTTCGCTTTTCGATAACTGTGTGAAAACCAAGGATAAAATGCAGAATGGTCCAATTTCGTACGTATTCCTTTTTTTCTCACGCTCGTTTCGGTAATCGCGAGGGTATGGATAAGCTGGATCGACCGACAACAGGCAGTTCTTCGGCAGCATTACGAGAATCTAGCCGTGTAGTTTGTATAAAATGAGACGAGGTCTGTGGAAAAATGTGCCATTATGTATATTTTATCTTTAATTACCGATATTCCAATGACATGGTGCTTGAATAAATTTTCATCGTAAGACACTACATGTATAGTGATAACAGCATGCAAATGTCTAAATATTAATTTATAAGCAATTTACATATATATATTATATATATAAAATTGTTACACACATATTCATTCAGAGAAATTCTCCACCGTGAATTAAATCATCGTCAGTCATCATAGCAGCGATATCGTGATATAAGTCATACGGCTACGTCAAAACAATTGCTTCGATCGTCACTTCTGCGACGTGTACGCATCGGCCGACAGAGCGACTTCGTTTTGTATACGTTCACAGGACATATACGCGCGACAAATTTGAATACGGCAAGATGTAATAACGTATATTTTTCTATAAGCATACGCACACACATACACACACATACAAAGACACATGTACACTTGGTTTCTCACGAAGGCGAAGATCCGATTTTCATAGGTAAAACGATAGAATTGATAATCTTTTAGGTAAACATGTATTTGTGTTGTAATTTATAATAGAACGTGGTAATGTAACATTCAATTATAGCATTCAATAATAAACGATTATTATGTATGTAGATGTATAACACCGCTCCTCGTGTGGATCTTCATGCAACACATCGTCAGAGGTATTTCGTTTTTCTCAGCCGCGCAGCTATGCTATCTCGGAGAAGTCCGATTAAGAAATAAATCCAGCTCGAAAAATATATAGCTTTTATTGGAGCTTAGAGCTTGTAGAGGTAAGGCTCACGATGTGTTTTACAATGCTCTGCGTTTATTTCGTAACTATACAACTTGAAAAGAACAGGATGTACCAGGTTTCAACCGACGAGGGGGTAGGCGCGCTATCGTGCTAATTGCGTGATTAATGCCGCACACATCTCGAAGAATTCCATTGTGTGGTGGCCGGTCGCTTGCGGAGGCGGTAACGTCGGATCTGCAAGAATGCACGTATGCTTTCATCACACATACGCGAATCACGCTTCGTAATTATCCGTGAGTTGTGTTATCCGGCACCGGCTTACCGCGTCCGATGTCCTCCGTTTCTTCGCTCGACAACGACTTAAAATCCAACAGGTAGCTCTTATAGTCGACTTGGTACAGCTGCAGCGACATTTTGCTGTACCTGTCGGTCAACTTGTTTTTGTGCCGTACTCGGACGCTGTACGCGTTTATGATTTTCCATTCCTGAAAAGACACGACGACGTCGTGCGTTCAGATGTTAGTGTGAGACGATCTTTGACTCCGTGCGATATGTAAGCAGGAGGAACATCCCGGTGGATCTTACAAAGTTGAGCGCCTTCATAGCGCGATAGACTTCGTTCATGATGTCGTTCGGCTTCGACTGCGATCTGATCCCTAAATGCCACTTCGCCCTTTTCACAGGTGTGCCACGGTTGCCGCCCTGTGTCTGTGCTTGCGTCGTGCTGCCCTGCGAGCCTTGACGTTCACGATACGCTGCAACGGCGTAAGAGACCGATGCTTACATCGGTTGTAATAAGCTCGATGGAGGATGACTAAATAATGCACTTTACATACGTGCGATTCTCTCAGGATGAGGTCGCAACGGACTGCTGTTGGCGTCGTTCGGGCTGAATGCCACCGGTGGAGGACTGGACGCCACGTAGAAGTCCTTGAGCTCCGCCTTGGCAGCCTCGTCGGCGATTCTCTTATTGTCTATGATCAAGTGATACGCGATCGCCAACTGATCGTGCGGATCGCCGCCCAACAACGCGGAATGCACCTCCGGTTCTTTCACGTTGAACTTCTCGCACACCTCGTTCACGGCGTCTATATCGATGACTGACGAGTCTTGCTCGACGGGCGACGGGAACAAGTACGACGGTAAATCCTTCTGGAACCACTCGTGTTTCCTGAAATTGACCGAGAACGCGTTAGGTAAGCGTAATGGCAACGTGTCAATAAATCGCACGTGTTTTGGATTATTTACGGATCAATACATCTCATAAGTGTGATATATTAAGTGTGGTAATTATGAATTTTCTGGTTGCTCGATCATTAGGCCGAGATTTAGGCCTAAAGTGAGTGATTTAGAGAAAAAGCTACTTTCAAAGTGTCTTAAAAGATTCGAGTCAAATCTCGGAGTCCAGCTTTCTTTGCAAGAAAGTACTAGTACGTATGTACTTTCGAAAACTAACTGACGAAAAAAAGAGATTATTTTTAATGACTCAGCAACCTGTGTTATACCACTTGAGATTGATTCTTACTTAATATCTTCGATAGTCGCTCTCCTCATCGGGTCGACTTGCAACATATGGCACAAGAGACTGATGACACTCTTGTTCAGATATTCCGGGATAGGAAAGATACCAGCTAAAACACAGTCGGAGATATTACACGGAGCCCGAGACTTCTCGCGTTCGACCTCTCACGTCGACTTACATTTAATCTTACGGAAGAGGGTAGGAACATGCTCGTCGTCGAATGGCAAGGTACCGCAGAGTAGCGCATACAGAATAACACCACATGACCAAATGTCTACCTCGGGACCGGCGTACAGCTTGCCGGATATCACTTCCGGTGCGGCGTAATTCGGGGAACCGCACGAGGTGCGCAGGAACTCGCCGTCCATCATCATATTTGACAGACCTGCATTTTCGTGGGAGAATATTTTCACGATCTACACTCGTAACACACGTGTGTAACGCGATATTCCGTGTGACATAATTTTATATATATATATGTATATATATATATCCAAGTACCAAAATCCGCGATCTTCACGTGGAGATTGTGATCCAACAAAAGATTCTCTGGCTTTAGATCTCGATGGACTATCATGTGTCGATGACAGTAATCAACGCCTGATATGATCTGCTGAAAAAATCGTCGCGCCTCGTATTCCTTCAGCTTCCCGTGCTTGACGATATAATCGAATAATTCCCCGCCAGAGACGTACTCCATTATCATGAATATATCCGTAGGAGTACTTATGACCTGGTATCTGTGTAGAAGAAACAAACATCAAGACCTGTATGTACTGGATACAAGATATTTTCTTTAAAAAACTGACACGAATTATTTACACACATGAAGATTTTATAACAGAGATACACTATATATTAAGGTTCTTAACTCACTTTTAATAATAAAAGTGCCTTAAATGTGCCTTCTCAGCCAAGCAGGTGGTTTCCAGGTCACTTTTGGATGCACTTTTACCAGTAAAAGTGAGTTGAGAGAGTATAGATTAAAGTCACAATCTCGACAGGAGATTCTCCATGAAAAAGCTCTATGATACTTACAACTTGATGATATGCGGATGCCTGAAAAGCTTGAGGTTCTGTATCTCTCTGCGGATCTTGCCGACAACGTCCAGGCTTTTGATTTTCTGGCGATTCAAGATCTTCACTGCGACTTTGTGTTTCGTCAGAACATGTTCCCCGACTGGAAATGATATTACATGAAAGATACATGTAGTAGAAGTTTTCCTTCTCCTTCTATTGTACATACATATATATATACATACTTTTTACTTTGCCAAATGTGCCCACCCCTAGAGTCTGGCCTAAGGTGTAATGGCCTATCTTGACGATAGGCTGCGGTTGACTACTCGGAAGTTTCTCGGACATTGCTATGTTATTGCTGTATAATTATTATAATTGCCAAAATTAATATCATCTATCATTCAACATGTCTCAGAATGATACCGATTGGTTACTGTCAAAAATATAGATTGAGAAAACCAACGTCAATGTCAAGTAGCCAACATACAGTATTATTCTGAGTAAGGAAATGTTGATTTCATTATGTCTGACGAATCGTCAAATAACAGATTTTGGAAAATTTGCTGCGAAATGTACATAGCATAATATTATTATTATTATTCCCTTTTGTCTCGGGCGACACGGGTCGCGTTGACTCGACGTACACGCGAGACCGAAGGGAAACAACGAGAGCCGTGCATGTGCGCGTTGTCATTATTTCTAAGCGCTTCCGATGCTCACGAAATTGTTTGTAACGAGCCAAGGGAGCCAATGAGCCGGATAATTTACGATCGTTACGTACACAAGAAACCACTTGTCACGTGAGATCGTAATACGATCTCGAAATTACTCACCCGTGCAGTTCCGAATTTCGCGAAAACGAGCCTGCTTACGGACGACACGCCGCGATTGGGCAACAAACCGAGGAGGAGAACGATATAAACATAAATCCCCGATTGCGATAATGCGCAGCCAAAATGGCACACGGATCGTCCCGGAGACCACCTGACGCTATTTACATGTTTCTAGGTAGGAGCCTCTTATCAGGCAGCTGTGGTACCGTCAATTTCACTCGATCGACCGTCTGTGTTCCATCGTTCGCGTGTCGCCGCGGACGAGGCGCTTCTTTCACGTCGTAAACGTGAACTACACGGAGATGGATCATCGAGAAGTAATCGCGTCATCGCCGCAATCATCGATTATGATATATCGCGGGATCGTTGCTCGTCGATCAGAATGCAGACACGAGTTTCCCTCGGCAGCGCGTTTGCTGCACCGCCTCGCGCGAATTTGCCGTCCTTCTTTCCGCGAGATTTTAAATGTGTACGCCTGTTTCATTTTTTAGAAGACAACGAAATGTCGCGTGGTGTAGCCGAAAGAAATACACCACGACGATTGTTCCCGCTCTCCTCGGGCGACAAATTCGAACCGACATCATTTTGGCGAACACTTCGATAAAAAAAAATGTCACTCGAACCATTTCTCGTTACCATTGTCAATTATCGACGAAGGAGCAGTGCGTTTTCGCTAAGAAATCGCGCACGATCTCGACGACAGATGGCGGCGCATGCGTGAAAACGATCTCTCTTCGTTGCCATTTTGAAATGCGTGTTGTGCAACCTGCGTAAACATGGTTCACGAGTTCGTATGTGTTTCTCTCAGCGTGGAGGACCACGTTGTCTATTTATAGATTTTCGGCACTAGCGTATGTATACGTATGTACTATTATCAATGTTCAATATTTATGCAGTATCACGATATTTTTATCCTATGACGTTCGCGCGCGGTGTGAATGCTTCAAAAATAATCAGTGGACGCGGCCTCCACCGGCTCCACTCGCGATTTCCAATTTTTCACGTGTAAAATTACGCCTCGAAAATGATTCTCGCGCTTTTAAGAGGTTTCAGGTATTTTCATCTTTCATTTCCTCGACGAGAGGCAAGAATGAAGCGTTCTTGAAAGCGAATCGATAATAATCGTCGAGATCCGCTTTTTGTCGCCAATTGAAAGTTCGAGAGATCACGATCGATATTATTTAAGTTGCAGAGCCGGAGAGCCGCAATTTCAATTGCAAAATAACAACCATAAAAAAAAAATTTCTGCGGAATCACCTCTGTTATTACATAATAATTGGTGATACGTCGTGTTAGCGATGTTGCTGGCTAAGCAAAGAGCAAGAGAGAAAAAAATTACGCCATTCTTTCCGTTTTTAGACGAGACGTAGAAAAACAGGAAGACATGTACGATTCTCGCGTGTTGCAGGCAGTCGTTTATTGAGCAAATTAATGTTTGCCTCTAAGACATGCAGCCTCCGCAAGATTAAAACGCACGTACGTGACATATCGTTCCTGCCAATCCGGCGCATTGGCGATCTATGATTTGCAAGTCACTTTGCGACGCGGCGTTTGCAAGTGTTACCCCTGCATCCCATTTTGTATCGTCACGAGGAAAAGTGAGACGCACTCGGGATCAAATGACTTCTCCTTGTCGACGATTTAAGGTAGCAGTAGCATAAAATGACCTAAACAGCACAATATTCGAAATCGGGACATAAGACGTACTTTAGACATCTTTAATTGAAATATGACCTAATTATTGGCGCAATTAAAAAAAAAACAATTGACCATTCGAAACTGAGATATTTAATTTAAAATGACACTTTTTATACGCGTTCCTTGAAGTTGATGTCGTATTTTTAATTTCTTCTAAACCACCTTTAGGATTTTAATGAAAAACTACTGTGATGTTACTGCGGACGATTTCGGTGTTCTATTCAAATAAAGGATAGCATCTTTGTACTTTACCGAATGTCCTAAACGAGAAAAGAAATGATTAATTAATCATTAGAATCCGGAAGCTCACCGTTCACTGGCAGGAATTTTAATTTGTGAAAAATAAATGTATAGGAACGTAATTTTGCTTGATAAATACTATTGTATAAATATTAATACAATACTACAGTATTATAATATGTTACGTAAATTTATGTAAACAGTCCCCTTGATGTGCCACTGAAAATGTGGCTCACCTTATTACTGCTACTTTAAAGTCGGCTACTACTACTTTAAAATCAATGTGAAACATCCACCTAGTGTCCGACATTCAAATTTCGGGGTTATTCTCTCTTTCTTGTCTCTTTTTGTTTTTTTTCTTAAGAAATCTCGCAGCCAATGAAATTTATATGACGAGTCGCGTTTAATCTTTCGTTGCAAGTTCTGTTCTTGACCGTGTGTATTTACGACCGCGTTGTTTTATTTGCGAATGCACGCCGATGCTTCGAGCACCTTCTTCGTGCATCTTCGTCAATACATCTTTATTTAGACACAATTTGAAACCAGTTGGCAGTTGATTAACGCGTTTGATATATAGGTACCTTCATCTCGGCTGCTCTTCTATGTTTCTCGCGATTGGAGCGGTGCTTCGTCCTGAGAAGGATAAAAACGCCGAGGAATGTAGAAAGTCTCATTAGCGAGAACGGACGGATAGGTAAGTACGCGTTTGCACATTCCGTTCCGCTCAGGTGCGTTTTCTCTTAAAGGAGCGTGCCGAGCGGAATTGAGAAAGGAAAGAAAAATCAGAGAAACAGAAATCTCATTTATTTTCACGTGTGACATCTTTCTAATAATCTCTGATGATAGCAGGAGTGATTGAAATTCGCGAGGATGTCGTTGTAATTGCAAATTTCTCTTTCAGGGGCCGAAGGAGGGGGCTCGCAATCAGCAGAGAGATGATAATTACGACGAGAGGACCGCTTCAACGCTCCGATGGCCGGCCGCGGATCAAAGGAAGAGATCCGTCCATTCGCAGCTGAAAGCGATCATTCCGCAAACAAGCGGATTGGACAATCAATTTGGCGCAAATAGACGATACGCTCGCGCGCGCACCGACGATATTTCCGGTGTTTGCGAAGGACCCGTATAACTGGCGTGTTACGCGAGTGGCGCACATGTTTTCATTGACGATTTAACGAGCACGTTGGAAATAAACATTCGCTTGAATTGATAGTCAGCGTGATTAGCAAGCGGCCGGATTGCCATCAATATTAACGCGTCTTATTTGTGACACACGCTCGTGTTTTTCTAACGCATGTTCTCTACGTTCGTAGAGTAGAGAAGAAGAAATAAAGGCGGAGAGAGAGAGAGAGAGAGAGTGAGAACGACAAACGTGGTTTAACGCCACGTCCTAAGTCCACCTAATTTTAGCTTTGCTATTTACTTTCCTTCGGAGAATTAATTAATGGCAACAGCAAACATACACGTGGCGTCGTGTGTATGTTTTCGTGTCTGTAATAAGATGCTTCCGGCTCGAACGTTTACAAAGGATAACATTTGAATGAAGAGACGAGTCGACTTACAATTCTAAAAGTCTAAAAACATTTTCTCGTGAAGAGAGGTAAAGAATATAAATTCTTCTTACTCTTCCCATGGGCTTAAATTGTATCTTACGTAGTAGGATGAAATTTTTTTGCCGTTTCTGTGGTCGTGAAACACATATGTGTGTTACGGGAATGATATTATCGTGAAACATTTAAATTCAGCGTCGAGCCGACGACAAGATATACAGACTCATCGAGATTCCTGCTAAATTTTCACGGTTATTTGAATTATTTATATTGTCGGGTTAGATATACAATTCATGAGCGCGCTGTTTCTCCCACTTTCGGCCGATCGAAACGTTTGTGTGACCCCGAGAATCCCGTACTTGAACGTTAGTATTTTTACGTTAGATTTTATAATCATAGTAGTGTTTCGACTTCGACATGCTCGGCCGCTCACGTAACAGTTGACCCATCTTATCGATCGACTTCTATAGTCGTATCGAAATTTTAACAAGTATGCGCTCGCGTCAACTTTAAATCAAACTGTACTATCTTGCGTTCGTGCGATGGCAAAAAAAGAGATAGACGAATTCTATTTATTCGGAAAAATATCTGAATAAAAATACGTATGCGATTATTGGCTTCATCTACATAATGTCGATCGCCGATTGCAACGCGGATTGCTCCGAAGCGACACTTTGATAAGATAATATTTATTACATTGCACTGTAGACACTTACGGATTACCATGCGTACCTTGCATTAGGTTCCTCGATCGAGAAGCATGAAAGCAAGGTGTGAGTACAGTTGTTGATCATTTCTGACGCGTCGCGCATTTCTGTCCCGTGACTCAATTCCGTAAAATATTTGTTTGTGCTCCAGGAATATCACAGAGATTGTAAACAAATATACTGACCGCGCTCTTTCTCTTTCTAGCGGTAAAAATACAGTCTTTTTAAAAATTAAACGAATCAAAGAAGGGGGAGAAATTCTTTCTCGCTCTGTTTCGAGGAAGACCGAATCTTCCGGTTTGTCTGTTTTTACATCTTTATGTAAAGATATTGATTGAATTCCACGATGAAACCAGTATTTCAAAGTATCTTGTTATCTTCTCTTATATTGAGACGATGACTCATTTTTTAGTCACCATGCTATAAATATTCAAAATCGGCAGATAAGAGAAACAGGAAATAAGCAATCTTTAAAAACAATGTCTGGTTTTTCTAATTAAAAGCAAAACGTTCCTCTTCTAAATTCGAACTACTTACTTCTAATCTATTTGTCGTATATACATATATATATGTGTATTCAAGCGGTTTATTTTAAAAGCGGTGTAGATTGGCATATTTGGAAAGGTTCATAAATCCGAACGTCACGAATCTTAGAAACTCCGACTACGTGGCCGATTACGAACGAATTATGTCACTCGCCTCGTTTCTTTGAATTCTTCGCGTTTTTCTTTTATCAGTCGTCATACTGATACGACTCATTGAGTCCATATGCCAACTTACAAACACCGCCGCACGTGTATTCGGCGCTGTCCAATTTCGTTTGGCAGCGCAGCGAAGAATAAAAAAATAAAGAGAGAGAGAGAGAGAGACACGACTCGTCGAGAGATGAGGGCGATTAATATTAATATCGCGTTGCGCGTAAACATTATATTCGTAAACACTGCGCCCGACGATGCGCAGATTATCCTTTTCGCGATCGTGTAGGTGCTGATCAAGTCGGAGACTGTTCACGGAACACATCGGTGACGGAGAAAAAGAGAGAAAAAAATAGAGAGAGACGCACGCGTCGTTTTACATTGCGCGTGCAATTTACGATTCAAATGACTGCGGGTTGCCGCGTCGCGCCGATTGGCGGCGATAACGACCGAGCGTCGGCGATCAGTACCGAGCGCGGCCGATTGGCGCCAAGTGGCGTTCCGAGCGTCGCGCAGCGGTGGGAGTCCAGTTGGTGACGCACCAGCGAACGACGATAAACGGCAGTCAAACGACGCGGTCGATCAGAGGTCGTTCGTGAGACGCAAAAGCGCGAGAACTGTGTTGTCGCTGTCTCACGAGTGTCTCAGACTCAACTTTACATCAGCCACCGCGCGATGGTGAAGATCGTTCTGTGATACGCGTCGCGCAACCGAACGTATCCGTGCGGTCGGAAAGGAGGTTAAGTGCTCGTCGAGCGGGAAAGATCAGCAAGTTCCGGGCGTGACGTGCAGGTAACGTCGAAGGGTAACGCAACGTCGCTCGCGATGCATAATAGGACTAATGTAACGACGACGACGTGTCGTCGCCGGAGGACTTTGACGGGCGTGATCGTGACACCCGGTGTTCTCGGGCTGCTTCTGCTGACCTTGTCCAGCCTAGCGAGTTCGGTGAGTGACGTATATCTTGCTGTATGTATATCACGGAAACTGTGCTGACGGTGGTGGTAAGGCGTTACGCGTCCTTCCTGCGACGCTCGTGTTTGTGTGCAGGTGTGACTATGTGTCATGTATTCGCGCGTTACCCTCTTTCTCCGAACTGTCTCCCTCAGACTCGTACGCGATTTACACATCCTTCTATCGTCGTCCACACCCCAAGCGAGCGAGAAGCAGAAGGAAGGCGGTGCTCGCGCGCGCGTACCGTCTCGCGTCGCGTGACGTCATCTCGGCCGATCGCCGCGAAGGCCTATCGTCGTCGTCCACCGTCCTCCCGACGGATTTATGAAATTTAATTATATACTTTCCCTCTCTTTCTCCTGAGTTGCACCGACGCGTCCGAAGGCGAATTCCTCGTCGTCGACATCGACGTCGTCCGTTCTCGAAAGACACCGAACGGTGTTTTGCTGACGGTCGGCTCGAGGCCGACGGGAATCGTATCACGGACGCGATTTTTCCTATTTACCGGCGTCCTCGTGTCTGAATTCCACCGATACATATAACGGAAAATGCTCCGGTGTACCTTGGACCGATTACCGGCTCGACAACTCGGATAACTTGCCTCTAGCGCGATTATTTCGTCCCGTCACCGACGAGGTGATATCAGAGACCTTTATTCCCAGCTGAATTTTTTTCTGGGTAAAGGGGCCTCTGGATAGCCGAAAAAGGATGGCATTATTGACCGTTTTCGGTCATTCGATATAAAATATACACGGGGATTCATCGTGTAAAATATTAATTTTATGTTTTGTTCGGCTCGGTGTTTTATCGCTATACAAGGTGTTCCAGTATAAGAAGAACACCTAAATGTCTCTGGGACTTTAAAGACAATCGAAAAAAATTTTCACTCCATGGTATTTCTCCTTCGAAATCATTCAAATTGTGATCTAAACATTTCTCGTATCATTGAAAATAAAGGGAAATATTTAGGCGTTCTCCTGCTGGGACACCTTATATACAGACCTACAATGAAGTACATTGGATTTTTGCGAAATTGTATTTCTGCAGCTATTATTTAGGGTGATTTAACATGAATTAATCAGCTGGAGGTTGTGAAACAGAGGTTTTCCTGTATGCTAAATCTTGTAAGGCCAATGTCTCTTCAATGTTGCACCTTCGTAGGTGGTTCCGTCCCCTCGCTTCCCGCGCTCGGAATCGTCTCGTGTGTAACCTGACGTGAATACGGGAGGAGAATTGAATTAGCCACGATTGATTCAATACTAAACGATGTTAGCGATGCGTCGCGGGCAGGCTGGTGGCTGGCTGGGTTATTCTCCGTCGAACAAAGAACGCGCGCTGTCTCGCGGACTGTGCCCCTACATCATTCAACAGCTCCCCCAACCCCCCTCTCTCTCTCACACATCGTTCTTCTCAGCTGTACTCTCCTCACTTCCAGCACTCTGAATGAGACGAGAGTATGTTCGTATTTTGTGAACCGAGGAAAGAAAGGGGAGAGGAAAAGGTAGAAAGTACAAACTGCTGTCCTCTTTCGCATGCTCTTTTACCTTGAACGGGACAAGCGTGAGATTTTGTTAACTCGAATATTTTATGCTATTCTGGAAAATTTATTCGTTTTTTTTTCTCTCGTATATTTTCGAACCCAATAGATCTGTTTTGTAATTTTTAACATGTTGTTTTATTATTATTATCATTCTTCTCGGAACATCGATTACAAGTAGTGATTCAATACATAATTTTAAGAGATGAAAAGAAAGGAGAAGATATAAAAGTTTATATTAAAAAAAATATTGTAAATTATAAGTTTCTTATAATAATCGCCTTAAATGAAGATAATTACAAATGATGAAAATCGATGATATTACTAAATAAATTTGCAAGTGAACATAAACGATTTATGGGTTCAAATTTGTAATATAAGGTGGAATGGAAATTATGTTGTTTTTGCGCACGTATAATATGTGGCAGGAAAGTTACGCATCGAAAAGTTAACCATAATAACAGTAAAAGCTACAGAACAGGGCCACAAGTCTGTCTCATTGAAATGTTACGAAATGCGTGTCTACGTGATGGCAATCGCTGCCGGTCAACAAAGTTCAATGAATTTCTTACCCGGTTAATGAGCTCAGCTTGAAAACTAATGCTCGTGTGTTTAAAATTAGCTAATATCATACAAGCGGCTTTATCAAAGTTCCGCAGAATTCGATGTAACCGTTGTCAGCCGGGATACTTGAAACCACCGGATGTAGTAACAACGTAGCAAGTAAAACCGCAATTTTGCCACACATACAATTTTGCCACACATACAAATTTGGCAGATTCTTTCAGACATTATTTCTATTCATTCGAGAATGCAAAAGAGGAGCGAAAAACTGCAAATACAGTTTCAAAATTTCGGAAAGAACCGTTTTTTCCCAATTTTTCCACGCATTTTTTGATTTCTTACCTTCTTTACGGAAAAAAATTAATTTGGCAGGTTTTTGCCGAACACGCGTGAATTTTTGTAAACGAATTGTACTCTCGAGACGGAAATTGACGAAATTCGCGGGAAAATTGAGAGGAAACGGTTTTTTCCGAAACTTAAAACACTATAACTGCAAAATCTCTGCGACAAATGTCAGGTTCGTGTCTTGTTCGTTAAAATCGATATCGAAATGTAAACGTTGTACTTTTTTTTTTTTTTTCGTTGCTCGTATGTGCAATTCGAAGTCGTTCGCTTCGGAATGATCGAAAACGCTTATTTTTGTTTCGGGGAGGTTCGTGCCAGACACGATCGAAAGTAGTAAGTATAACGCCCATTGCGTGACTTACGATTCTTTCTAAAACGGATGACTCACACGAGAGCTGATACGGAGTGTCGTCGTTATCCCTGTGTAATACGAACGAGCGTGTGTGTTGTTTTTATATTTCGTCACAATCACGCCTGTTTTATCTTTCTGAGTTCACAATGCTTTTATACCTCCGATGGAACACCTGTTTCGTCGTAAAGATACAAAAAAGTGTAGAGGAAAATAGGCCTAAAAGCAGATTAAGCAACGAGTTCACCGGATAGACACTGTCCAAAATCCATTAATATAAACAATATATCGACAGACATGTAAACGTCGAAGAATTCTATTCCGATATCACGATATAAATCCGTTTTTTCCTCTTCTGCTCGAATCTCATTGACGAATAATTTGCTTATTATTTTTAACTTGCATCATGTCTCCCGTGGGAGTTTCTCCTCGTTCGCGGCTCGGCGCCACAAAGTAGACGAATTAAATCATTAATTCAGCTCATTGCGTCAAATAAATCTTATATCAGGCTTTAATGCGGGGGTCATGAAGAACTCAATTAGGAGACGCCTTATGCAATATTCTTCTTTGTATGCGCCTCGAGCACGACCGGTGAAACTCATCGCGCGTCAAACGATGTTATTTAAGTCGTTCTATATGCGACTGCAGTGTTCAGCAATAAACATTAAATGTACACTGGATCTGTATGGGGAAGAAGTATCTTTCGATACTACCTGATACACACAGAAAAATACTGTGTACGAGCAAATGTTACTTGTTCCAAGCATTTCGTAAGTTTACATATCCGCAAATATATAGAAAAAAGTGCTAGAATCAGGTAAACGTAATTATCTGTTTTTCCGATTCTTAAATCAAGTAATATTTTTATCAATTTAAATATATTTTAAGTTTATGTAGTAAATACTTTTTACAATACTTACAAATTTTTGTCGAGCATATTTTGAGACTATTATCAAGAAAATATTCTTTGTCGAAGATAACCATTACTGAAAAGAAGGCAAATAAACTGTAAATCTGTGTAAAATCGTGTAATCGCTATTCTTAATAGTGGAGTGATATTTTTCCGTCTGTACTACCGCCGTGCGCACAAAGTCGATCTATAAATAATAAATCGTAATAAAAACGCTGAATTTATTAGATATGCAAAATAATATTCATTATTTATGATTCTTTAACGTAATTGTTCGAAAAAAAAAAACAGGTTTCTGGCGACGATGGCGGCCACTGTGTATGGTACGGGGAATGTCACACGGAAATTCAGCACAAGAAGAATTGCCCGTACGACGGGCCGGCGAAGCCGCTGGTGTCCGAAGGGCAGGAGTTGCTGGCCAAGCGTTGTCCGCACTTGCTGGTGGACGACGGCAAGGGAATTCACACCTGCTGCGACTTGAACCAACTCAAGACGCTGGACGCAAACATCAATATCGCGTCGAACTTTCTCAAGAGATGCCCAAGCTGCTTGGATAATTTAGTCAAGCATATTTGTGATTTCACGTGCGGCGTTAACCAAAGCAAATTTATGAATATCACGGAGAAGGGTCAAGCGGGCGGTAATTATCTGTACTTGACGGCAAGAAAATCCTATAATTTCATTCGAGTGACAAGACACCGGCTGATATGTAATTCTAATGCTGTAATTCTAATTACGCGCTTACAACAATATTAGCGTGCCGATAAGTCAAGAGATGCAAGCATTCTCAGCACCGCTTATATCCTAAATTCGTGTGATAGCAGTGCTCCGTTAGAAAAAAATTGATGATCACATGTGTTTATAGTACAATTCCTATTCAAAGCTACTGATAAGTCGACTTGTTTAGGGCGCTAACGTCGTAAGCGCGCTCAGAATACGAGCCAAAGCGTCTTGTTACTGAAATGACGCGCGAAAGATTTTTTTGTCCGACTCCTTTCTCGATTTTTCTCACCAATTAACATCTCGATGTCTATGTGAAGTAAACGGTTTTTACTTTTTCTCTATTGTTGCAGCTGTGAGTTACATTAACGGGGTCGATGTGTACATAACGAACAAATATCTCGAAGGAACGTTTAATTCGTGTAATAAGGTGTCACTACCGAGCACCGGGTTATTAGCGTTGGATTTGATGTGCGGCGAATGGGGAGCGAGCAGATGCACCGCGCAGAAATGGTTCTACTATATGGGTGACGCGGCGAACAACGTTTACGTGCCGTTTCAAATCACGTATGTGAACACGGACGTACCCGTCAAGTCGTTCGTGCCGCTGGATCCACAGATCACACCGTGCAGCAAAGCGCTAAACGTAAGTAATCGTTCATGTAGAGAAGAACAGCCCACAAGGTACATATGTGCCCTGAAAATGTTGCACGGTTGCTCTCTTAAGACCATTAGACTCGTTAGCGGTACGAAGTCGTTAATGAACGCAGTCTCTCTACGGTCGATGTTCTGAGAACTCGCTCTTATCGATAAAAGTACCCATAAAAGTCATTCTAAAAGTGATTTAGCCACCTGATTGACTGAAAAGCTATATTTAAGATACTTTTATCGATAAAAGTGAGTTCGGAATGTGGACCTGCGTCTTTTTTAACGCTAAAAATATCGAGCTGTTATTTATGACTGTTTCTATGTTTTAGATTATGGTAGTTGTATAGTTGATAGTTGTATGATAGTAGCGTAAAATTTTTGGAGAAATTTGTTGAAACTCTCGCATTATATATAGATTTAAATATGATCTAATTACTAGAAAACGATTCGGACCGGAAACTGAAATATTCGCTACTAAAAATGATACTTCTAACACATATTTTTTGAGGTTAATGTCCTATTTTTAATTTCTTTTAAACCATATTTAGGATCTTGATGAAGAACCAGTGTGACATTAAGGACTAATAGAGATATTGTAGAAAAATTTCAGAAAATTTCAGAATTATTGATTTTGCTTTGAAAATATAGGAAATATAAATTTATAATTGATAATAATACTCGCGATATATGCACATACTTAAATACTTATCACTTTCTATTATGCATGCACATGTATTGGTTCAATTAACGTATAAATAAAGTATAAGAAAAAAAATAATAAAAAAATAATAAAAAAAATAATACCTCCGTATTTGTAATGCTTGGTGTATATTTCTTTCGATTTTGCTCAAAATTAATATTTATTACTTAGATAGTTAAGTAAAATTGTAGGAAAATATTTTCTTAACAGGTAATAGTAAAAATAGTAAAAATAGTATTTGGAAGTTTTATGACTTTTCAATAATCATTTAACGAAAGATAAAATTGACGAAAAGTCATAAAATTTCAAAATCCCTTATTTTACAAAAGAAATAAGGTATTAATCTAAGAAATATAGAAACAATTAGAAATGACCGCTCGATATTTCTAGTATAAACACGTCTATTAAGAGCGAGCCTTTGCTCTATAGAACAGGTTTCATGATGACTATTGCTTGTGAGCGCTGTAAACAAGATTTATTGGACTGTAAATTTTTATTTTAAACTACTCCGGGTGACGATTATGTAATTCCATGTGACATTAAGGACTTTGCATATGCGTCAGAAAAAAGAAAGACAAAAAAACGGCGATAAGGACGTGACAAGAAGAACAACAATATTTCATGTTTATTCATTCGAATCTACGGAGCTACCTACTAGTTAGGAAAATATATTATTCGCTGAACGTTGAGTATCATGTATCTCGCGTATCTCGATGATATTATTATCGTCGCAAAGTTGCATATTACCATATTTCGCTCCGGTAGCGATGAGATAATAACATAATAAAATTCTAACGACGTGTGTAACGCACGATAATTAAGATGTATTTATGCGAAGTTATTCATTCACGGAGATTGCGGGCTCTTATTTCCTGTCAAATGTAACACTGAGAAGCCGCGTGTGTCATTTGGACTATCTTTTTCTCCAAGATTACACGGGATGTGTAGAAGACCGCGCACGGGCGATCCGATCAGCGGATTAATGAGTTGGGTTTTTTTCTCCTCTTCTTTTGCAGAAAATTACTCCAGCTTGCAGCTGCGTCGACTGCGAGCAGAGTTGCCCGGTACCACCACCGGCGCCTCCACTGCCACAGCCGTTCTCGATATTCGGATATGATGGCTATGAGGTTACGATGACAATTATCTTCGTCTGCGGATCCTGCCTATTTCTCCTCTTGGTGATGTGTTTCAGTCAGAGGAAGCGTATAGGTAAGAGACTCTCAGCTCTTCGTGCTACATTAAAGGTATATATACTTTTACGTGAAATAGACAATGGGGAAACAGAAGCAACCCCTGCTGAACTTTTTCCTACGGCACAAATTGTGGAAATGGAAAATGCAGTGTGTATCTCTCTCTCTCTTTCTCTCTCTTTCTCTCGATGGAGACTATTCTTTCTTTTTTGTTCGCTACATTTTGCACAGTTTAATTTGGATAATTTCTTGGATACATTGGTGACTAATTTTACTTCATTTGTGTGTGACTATTATTAATCTTTCTCAAATGACGTAAAATAAGTGGAGATAATATGGAGGTACAAGTTGATTTCGGTCGATCGCTATGTCGTTGATTTTTCTTTTAGTTTTGTACATAATTTCTCGTTGCTACTTATTCTTCGATTGCGGCTAGACTCTTTACTCTGCACTTATTTTACTTTCTACCTGAAGCGCCAGAAAGTACATAATAACACTTTGGGATACGTCGAAGAGAGGAAACATTGTTTTTGTGAGAGATATTGGGAAAACGTATTTTTTTACAAGTAATTAAGTACACTGTGATTTACTTAACATATGTCATAATTGGTACAATTGCACTCGTGAATAGACGCAGGGTAATGTCTGCATTCAAAGCTATGTAGAAATTACAGCATACACACATCGTGCTCATATTATCAATAACAAGTAACACAAATTCCAAGATCGTTCGAAAATTCGTTCCACGGTGATCAATTTTGTTGCATTCTCGCGATGGATGTAGCATCTTCGACTTGTTGAACGCGCTCGATACAGCAGTATATAGCACGAAGAAGTTTGTTTTTTTCTCGAGTTATTAATGTTGCGATTGTTAATATTTTTGTACTAACTCCTTAGCTATCTCTGTCACACTAAGCGAACTAAAGACATGCGTAACTCTACATAGTTTCGATCTTGATGAGTGTAAGTTAACAACTTCATCTCTGTATGGAGTCTCTCTATCTACGATCTATCGTCATTATGTTAATAATACTTGATATACGTATTTAATTACCAAATGATATATGTATAGCGAATGCAACGAGTATAATAACGACTATAAGTTGGTATGTATGGTGTGCGCATATGTATAGTTGCACGAGGGGAGGAAGTAGGAAGGCAGGTGGGTAGACGGCTAGCTGCCGGATTACACCACCCAGGAGATGGTGCTCGTATTGCCCTCGCCGCTGACCAAGAAGACAGCCCACTTCAGTCTAAGCGTTCTAGTAGGTTCTCCCGATTCTAAAAGTATAGTCGATGTTTGTAACTGTGTGTGACCGTTGTTGTTCACCCTTCTCGATTTCGTACCTTTTTTCGTTCACCGCTTCCTTGCGAATTTCTCGCTTTAATTTAGCATCGCCGATTCATCCCCCTCGAATCGTCATCTTCAAATATGACCAGTTTTTTTTTTTTCGACCATTTGCATTTGGATTTATGACGGCCATCTCTCTCTCTCTCTTTCTCTTTCTCTTTCTATTTTTCTTTTTCTTTCTTTTCATTCTATGTTCTCCTCGTTTAATGATGATATAATAATTTTTTGTATCTTACGTATTACGACTTGTACGATATTGCATTCATACCACGAATTATGATAATAACTGCTCGATGGCATTCGAGACGGCTTAAAAGCGACGCTTGGCCGGCGACGTTTGACGCATTCTTACACGATTGGCAGCAAAAAGATGGACAAAAAGCATGCGTTGATGAGATCATGTTTTAATCCAATACATTGCGCTGCATAACAATCTCCTTCGCATCGGAGTATGCATGAAGCGACGCTCGTTTTCTCAGACCCAGGTGGCTTTGATTCAGTCGAAGAAACAATGAACGGTATCAAATTTCGGACGAAGGAACACATGCGACTTTTTCTATGCTCTCTCAAGTAGGAATGTCGTGTGTGCGTACTTACTGTTCACAAAAATTGTGTTGTGCGAGTCTCTCTTTCCTCGTATTTTTCGTATCGACTAGTTCTGCTATCTCACGTTTTGCATGTTTGGTTACGACGTCTTGCGCGACACTGCTAGACACTGCTTCAAGTATTTAATTAAATGATAGATAAGTGACGTGTGCTGCCGAAGAAAGAAATCCTCGTGACAGCATTGGAGAGAAACGTTTTTAGGAGAAGTAAGTAAATGAAATGACAATAAATTTTCTTTACGTCCAGTAAAGAATGTCGCAACACGCAATTCACACAAGAGAGATGCAGGTAAAAAGGCCTAAGCTCACACACACACACACACACACACACACACACACACATTATATCTTTTCGATTGTTATCAGCGAAACGGAATCTCTAATGTTGTTAGAAGGACTTCTTCGAATTTTGACACTTGAGTAGTTCGATTAGTGTCGGCTATCATATGTCCGTATATCCGATATCAAGTCGCTCTCTCACATCTCAGCGAAATGATTGTTTCCGATAATTCAGAGTTATCAATTTGTCCTTAATCTTTATGACACACGTTAACCTCGCGAAGATCACTTATTTTAGGAGTCGGTGTGCTTTTCCTATGATAGATATCTCTCCTTTTAAGTTAGTGCGCTTTAGTAAGTCTGTAACTCATCGTCTAACGTTGTCGCATTAATCGTAAATTATAAATTATTAGTTATTTGCAGCACTCGAGATTGTACTGCGTAACGGTGCTCGATCGGCCGTACTCGAGTCGAAACGCAGAGATTTGTTGTGCTCTATACTGCAAACGTTTTCTAGGTGTCATATCTACGGACGACATACCGAGTGGATTCGACGAGGAACGATCCACCTTTATCGAGAAGCTTGGCGCAGGCACGGACAAACTGTTGCAGGAATTCTTCTGCAAGTGGGGAACGGGTAAGCGGAAATGCCACTTTGCGTATTGTGTAATTATAAAAGCGACGTAACTTCGACGTGATATAACGTAAATTTCCTGTTAGATTACAGCATTTCCCTGTGTTCTCAGACACGCCGCTAATGTCTCTTTGCAGTTTGCGCTTCTCGACCTTGGGCGATACTTTTCCTTGGCTTCCTATTGATTGTCGGCCTGGGACACGGCATTAAATACATGCACGTGACCACAGATCCCGTGGAATTGTGGGCGTCACCGCACTCCCGGTCGCGTGTCGAGAGGGAATATTTCGACCAGCATTTCGAGCCTTTCTATCGAAATGAACAGATCATCATAACTTCTGTTGGCTTGCCGAATGTAAGTGATCGTCGCAGTACGTCACATTTTTTCGCGTGGAGAACACAATTGCACAGGATTTCAATGGGAACCGTAGAATATCTTGAATATGAGGCGATTGACAAGAAATGGCTCAGACAAAAGTTTATTTACTGAAAAAAAATACTCTCTCGTAACTTTACTTAACTCTCCAAGTAATAAGTGTTAATTTTGAGCGAAATTAAAAAAAATATACACACAATATTATAAATACAAGTATTTCATTTTTTTTATGCTTTATTTTAAGTTGTAGAATTTGGAGGGAGACTTAAGTTGGTAACCTTAACTTCGTTGTATAGTTAATAACTCAAAGTCAACTTTATTTTTTTTTTTATGGGATCATCGTTTCTTTTTAATACAAAAAATATTTCTTTATTCTGACATGCTTTTTAAAATATGAAATATCTCATAGTTTTTAAAAATATGCCGTTGTTTCTATTCTAATGAGTCATCCTGTAGAATAATTCTTGATATAAACGCTTGGATGGTTTATTTTTTGTCATCGATTTACCGCATACAATTCGATATCGATTATAGATTGTACATAACACGACGAATGGCCCCATTGTCTTTGGTCCGGTGTTTGATGCCACCTTCCTGAAAACGATATATGAATTACAAGAAGGAATCAAGCGCATAGTAACTCCTAACGGCTACACGTTAGCCGACATATGCTTCGCTCCTCTAACTTCACCGTTCACTGGGCCAACGACGATATCGCAGTGCGCCATCCAGAGCATTTGGGGTTATTGGCAAGATAACTTATCGGAATTCGAAGATGAGCACGAGGAAGGCAACTATACGATCAACTATCTGGACCACTTCCGAGCTTGCTCGCAGTAAGTACTTGCAAACAGGAATGTATAAAAATATAAGGGAAGGCGCACTTTGGACCCATGTCGATCTCAGCGCTATCTAAATGTAGAACTCGTACTTATGGCGGTAAACACAATGAATTATCACATTAAGAAAGCGAAAAATCCCCGGATAACGCTGAAATCTACGTGGATCCAGGGTAAAATACGATCCAAGATGGAGTATATAATTGCTTGCTTCCCCTATAATCGCTTACTTGTTTGTGAAAATATAAATTGTACATTCATTCGACAGACTTATATATTTATCTCCACGCGTTTCTTTCTTCAGGAATGCCTATAACCCTTCTTGTCTCGCTCTCTACGGCGGCCCGGTGGAGCCGGCGATCGCGGTAGGCGGCTTCCTGGCTCCGGGTCAAGATCTTCACAATCCGCCGTACGAAAAGGCCACCGCCATCATTATCTCCATCCTTGTCAACAATTATCACAACAAGGCTAAATTACTGCCCGCCATGGAGTGGGAAGAGAGGTGAGGTCGTCTTTCATTAGTCAATAAATTCGATTCGAAAGATCGCTATCGGGCTGATCGCGCGTCCTGGTTCCAGCTTCATCAATTTCATGAAGAACTGGACGGCAACGAGGAAGCCGGCGTACATGGACATCGCCTTCACGTCGGAACGCTCGATCGAGGATGAGCTGAATCGCGAGTCCCAGTCGGATATCCTGACCATCCTGGTGTCGTACGTCATCATGTTCGCGTACATCGCGATCTCGCTCGGCCAGATTCGAACCTGCGGCCGACTCTTGGTGAGTAGTATCCGCGTCATTCGCGGCGCTCGTTGCTTTCTCATCGCCTGCGTTTACACGTTGCTACGTGATGGGTGTTCCAGCACGATTCCAAGATCACTCTGGGCCTCGGAGGTGTGCTCATAGTGTTGGCGTCCGTGATTTGCTCGGTCGGACTGTTCGGCTTTATCGGTGTACCGGCCACGCTCATCATCATCGAGGTTATTCCTTTCCTGGTACTGGCAGTTGGAGTGGACAACATCTTTATTCTCGTTCAGACTCATCAGAGGGAAGGCAGACGGCCGAACGAGTCGATACCGGAACACATCGGTCGTACTTTGGGCCAGGTCGGACCCAGCATGTTACTCACCAGTGTATCGGAAAGCTGCTGCTTCTTCCTTGGTACGTATCGATGTCACACGGCAAATTATGCGGTGCGGATAACTTGTACGTATGAGAAACGGCTTTTTGTAATCGACATTCTATTCGCTTCCGATAGGTAGTCTGTCCGATATGCCTGCCGTGAGGGCGTTCGCTCTCTACGCTGGAATGGCGTTATTGGTAGACTTTATACTGCAAATTACGTGCTTCGTCAGTCTCCTGGCGCTCGACACGATTCGACAAGCGGTACGTTGCACGGTGAAACTTAATTTGCATACATCGGGAACCGAGATATCTGATGATTAAATTCACAAGCAAATTTTACCCACGATGCGAAAGTCTGATGCACATGTCTTCTGTATGTGACTTTCAGAACAATAGGTTAGATGTCTGCTGCTTCATCCGTGGTTCCAAGAAAGATAACGGAGAAGAGGTAGTGGACGGAATATTGTACAAAATCTTCAAGGTCGCGTACGTGCCGTTACTGTTGAAGAAATGGGTTCGCGTGGTTGTGATGATCGTGTTCTTCGGTTGGCTGTGCAGCAGCATCGCCGTGGTGCCGCACATTGAAATCGGCCTAGATCAGGAACTTTCCATGCCGGAGGATAGTTATGTGCTCAAGTATTTCAAGGTATGTCCGCAGCAACTAGATTTGTCATCTACCTGAACCAAACACCGGAGCAATCGACATTTTTCACTTTTCCTAACTTCAAAATCTCTCGCTCTTTCTCACTTTTAAGAAGAAAATTTACTTTCTTCTCACTCGACTTGAGTTTTTTTTTTTTTTCAAATGAAATCTCGGTCACAAGAAATTATGTTCAATATATCTGACTACTTTAAAGACGAGACAAAAGATTCGGTTAAAATAAAAAGCAACAATGACTTTGACGACACTGTGTGTTCATAAAGTGAGAGTTTTATCTTTAAACTTTTTTTATCAGGTTTGTTAAGAAAACAGAATGATCGTCATGAGCGCGTCTGACTTTTTTTTTTAATTATGTAGTGGAGTCGATTGTTTACGATGTACTCACGTTTGTTCGTTCATCATTCTTATTTGTCTACTGTTGTTTGTCACCAAGTCAAAACGAGTTCTTAACAAAGGAACCCAAAAAAACCGATAATGACTGTCTAGAGTACAATTGTTTTTTTTTTTTTAATTGGATATTATTGAATAATATGTTTTGAACATTACTCTTAAGAAGTTGACTAATTGATTACTTTCAACGGAAAAACCCCGTGATTTGATATTTTCTTTTTTATTTCTTAAAATGTTTGTTTCAAGAAAAGATCTAGAATATCTCGATATCCTGGAAATATATTGCAATGTAGTTTAACTAAACTCAAGTATCGCTTTTATTTTATTAAATGTGTTTGAAAAAGCAAAAAATTTAATTTGTTTTTATGAAGAATTTTTTTATATCTGAATATATATCTAAGATTATGTTTAAAGTGAATTTTAAGTGTCATGTAACTTTTTGTTCCTCAAAATTCAATTTTTGCTCTTCATTGACTTTCACTACAAAGGTCTGTGTTTTTAATTTTTGAAAGGAATAGTATAATTAAACAATGCAATTTTAAACGTACAATTATTTAGAATATATTTGCTTTTTACAGACTTCTTTTAAAGCTGATGTTACTTTCTTACTTTATCAGTCATAAAATTTATTCTTGTCACTATTTTCGATAGTCATAAACCATTGTCATGCCTGCTGAGTGCAAAATCGCAAAACACAAGAACGGTCTGCGTTTTTTGCTTTCAGTTCTTAAACAGTTATTTATCGATCGGGCCGCCGATGTATTTCGTCGTTAAGGACGGCCTAAATTACTCGGACATGAGGGCGCAGAATTTGGTGTGTGGTGGTCAGTATTGCAACAGCGACTCGATATCGACGCAGATTTTCATCGCGTCCAAACAACCAAATAGGTACGTTACAAAAGAGCCAGAGAACGGTCGGGAGGAACGACTTCGTGAATAATGCATGCGCGAATAACTCAAGCCACTCTCACATTCAGATGTTATCGAGAGCATTTTTTTCTCCTTTCTGTTTTCGTCAGGACGTACATCGCTAAGCCTGCTTCGTCGTGGATGGACGACTACTTCGATTGGGTGAGCTTGAGCAACTGCTGCAAATATTTTCCTGGAAACAATTCGTTCTGCCCGCACACCGGTACGTATGTTTGTCGCGTATTTAATAGCACTGCTATACAAATCGATGGCGGAATTTTCATGAAACGTTGATGAGGAAACATTGATTTTAAACTTTCATGAATTTGTGCGACATTTTGCCGAGAAACGTACTATCGATCAAATCGATAAAATTTTTATGTCGTCTGACGTTTGCGTTCTTATCATTTCGACCGTGCTTATTCTTCGACAGAATACAAATGTCTCTCTTGCAACGTCTCGCTGGACCATTACAACAGGCCGGTGCCCGCGGACTTCGACAGGTACGTGTCGTTCTTCCTGCAAGACAATCCCGACGACAAGTGCGCGAAGGGTGGTCACGCGGCTTACGGGCACGGTGTGAATTACGTCACGGATCCGCAAACGAGCGTGTCGACGGTGGGCGCCTCGTACTTCATGGCTTATCACACGATCCTGAAGTCATCGTCGGACTACTTCGAGTCCATGAGAGCGGCCCGAGTCGTGGCGGCGAACATCACGAACATGATCAACAGCAACACGAAGACGTTCGGGCAGAACACCACGGTAGAGGTGTTCCCCTACAGCGTTTTCTACGTATTTTACGAGCAGTATCTCACCATGTGGCCCGACACGCTGCAGAGCATCGGAATTTCCTTGCTGGCCATATTTGTAGTCACCTTCCTGTTGATGGGCCTGGACATCTTCTCGTCGTTGGTCGTTCTCATCACGATCACGATGATCGTTGTCAACATCGGCGGCCTCATGTATTGGTGGCACATCACCTTGAACGCGGTGTCCCTGGTGAACCTCGTTATGGTAAGTGAACTTTCGCAGATGACGCATCCTCAACACTACTTCGCTGCTCGCCAACGATATAACGATGTCGCGATTGTGAGAACATTAATATTAATGATGCATACATACGTCCATGATTCAGGGATTGTGTGGGGGGAAAGCAAAAGTAAAGCGTGCTTAAGAACGTTAAAAGAAATTATAAACATTAGAAAAGATCGAGCGTTATAAAGTGATAAATATAATTATATACGGCATAATTGAAGTAAAAACGACAGCGCAAAAATATTAATCGCTATGTTTCGAATCGTAAAAAGAAAGAAAAAATTATAATATAACATCGTTATGCTCATTCTCGGTCTTTATTTCCTTCGCTGAGTATGAAGTAAATATTCTTGGGAGGAAGGAGGGGAAGAGGAAGGGGTCAGGTTTAGAGAATGCGACTGTGCGAAGAATAGTGCCATTGAGAAATTCATCGTACTGATCGATCTTACCTCGTTGCAGGCTGTCGGCATAGCTGTCGAGTTCTGCAGTCACTTAGTGCACTCCTTCTCGGTGTCGGTCCAAGCGACTAGAGTGGACAGAGTCGCGGACGCGTTGACGAATATGGGAAGCTCCGTGTTCAGCGGTATCACTCTAACGAAGTTCGGCGGTATCATAGTCCTCGGCTTCGCGAAGAGCCAGATTTTCCAGGTTGGTCTTGCCTTCCGCATCGATGCGTAACATAGAACGTTAATTTCGGACTCGGTTTGTCGCGATCAAAAGGTAACAAATTCAGTTTCACCACACTCAGAAATTGTTGACTTGACGATTCACTTGTTCTTCGCATATTGAATTTGCTTGGAATTTTTCAATTCATCGTTCTCTTGTGCACGATGAAAAGTAATATGACAAATTTTCCTCCTTTACGAATCAACATTCTACAATGTTCAACTTTAATTGTTTAACATTAATTCTGTAAAGTGGACGTTACTCAAACAAAGGGGGGTGTTTTTACAGGTGTTTTACTTCAGGATGTATCTGGGCATCGTACTGTTCGGAGCAGCGCATGGTCTCATCTTCTTACCAGTATTGCTAAGTTATATAGGTGAGGAGACGTTTTTTTTTTTTTATGTCGTTCCCTTTATCATCTCGACGCATCGATATTATCCACTCTAGCCTAAAGTTTGTGTTACATTCCTTGGTGACGCAAATCTTTATCGAGTTCGCACATACCTATCACCTTAGCTGTCGTTCCGTTTGAATCTCTTATAAAAGCTTATGGCTCATACACACGTGTACAAACATACATACACACACATATACATACACCTACATTACGGCAAGGAAAGTATGATGATAAGCAGGAATTATGTGGGACACTGTATACACACAAGCAGTTTCTCAGATCACGGATCGTCTTGTATCCGATGTTCATTCAATGGGGAACGAGATGTTCCATGGTGATGCTTTATATCGCATGTGAAACGTTTCTCGCACAACCGTTTCGGGTTTCTTCGTGCATGCTTGAGACAACACGATTACTGATTGCTTCTGGGGATGGGGGGGGGGAGAAAAAGAAGTGTCGCATTTCGCAGATTCGCTCGGCAAGAATGAAGAAGTCCGGGCTACTTCTTTCTTCTTGCGAGACACACCAGTGTTTAGTCGAGATCTTATTTTCATATCCCTACAAGCGCACCGCAAAAACGTGCGGAAGAAGGGCGCTCCTCGAGAGCACCTTTCTCACGATACGATACAAGCAGCTTTTTACGAATTCGGTGGAAGTCGCGATGTCGTCGCCGTGGTAGTACTAGTACTAGTAGTAGTAGTAGTAGTAACTTACGCCCGGATGTTTTCCACCAAATGTCTCGTCCTCCCCCGCTAATACGCCTGAGCTTACTCACCCTAGGAGGATATCGGTTATGTAAGACGCAAGATTGTGAGTAATGTGCGTGACTGGGCGTCATGGCTGCTGGTGATTCTAGGCTCGCCCATGAACAGGGAGAAGTTGGCCAATCACAAGAGAGCGTTGCGCGGCAACCTGGACAACGTGCAAGAGACGTCCTTGAATCATCGTGTAAGCAAACACAATTCTCCTCCCACACCCACCACAACCACACCTACGTTCAAAGTGCTCGAATGTGACAGATAGATAGGTATGCAGAGCGTTTGAAAATCTCTCAACAGTGAAAACCAAAAAAAAGATTACACTCACGTGTTGTAACGTGTGGTAAAGTCCTCTCACCCCGGCTTTTCCCTCTCAAGTGTGTCATACTTTCCACGTGCTATTCGTGCAGCGCACACACACACGCACGTGTACATAGTTTGAACTATTCATACCGGTGTCGCCGGTATTGTATTTCACGTTATTGTCATAGTTCCGGGCGCCCGTTCTTGAAATGGTTGCATGTATAAAGCGTGTGAAAGCGTCGTTGCGCAGCGCCATTTTATGATACGATTGTAGTGCGCAATGACGCGGGTATACGCAAATATTTTAAGAATAGGGCTTCTTACACTCGTCGATGCATCCAGGAAGTGCAATTTTCCTTGACGAAGAACATCGAGTCTTTCATTTCACCCGTTCGGGGATCCGTGGATTGCAATAACGACTTGTCCTCAAATTTTCAATTCATTCGCAATTTGAGCTTTTCACATCACTTCTTTTCGACATGTGATTATCTTCTTTTCAGACGAAAAGATATTCGAGCATATACTTGTTAGAAGAAAATATAATTACACTTGGTTTTGTCGTGACAATGTCTGGTGGGTTTGTGAGATAAGAATTGACAAACTTGAAAATGCCAAAATATATAATTGCACTTTTTGAATGCATTAGTGCGGTGTTTCCCGAATGAAGATCGGAATAATTCGCGCGAAGTTCTCATTGAGACGCAAGTCAAGCTCTGCGAAGATGCTTTTGTATTTTTTTTTTATTTTTATTTTGCTTCAGGTCACCTCTTATTTATATTTTTATCTCTGTATGAATGAACGAGAGATCGAGGCGGCGTATGTTCTGATCAAGTTCAAAAACATATATAGATAAGATAAAAATTGAGTACGGGAAAATACTGTACTAGTGCACATATACGAGGACTTAATAGTAGCAAAATACGAATGAAGATAATATCGATAACACGGTAAAATGCGCGGCGTGTTTAATTTAATCTAAGTTATTACGGCAGTTAACTAAGTTATTACCGCGTTAAAAATCTGCTCAATTTTAATTCCATTAGATAAATTGACATGTTATTTTGATGCTCAGTTGATTACCGTGAAAATTGCAGAGGTAGCGATTTTCACGGTACAGTCTGACGCTTTTTTTTCCTCGTACGTGCAACGTGCAATACACTGCTTTCTGTTTCCAGTAGATACATGTAAATATACACATTGAATTGCGTGATGTATCTATTAGTTTGTACATTGGTTAATAGCGATCGTTAAGATTTCTCTAGCGATATCGGCCTATCTAAAATCCCTATTCGAGATCTTCTCAATTATCTCGATGAGCGTAATTGGACGAAAAGGCTTTGTAGAAATTTGCTTTTGTATATGTGTGTGTAATTATTGCCGTATATATGCGCTGTTATTCAGCTCGTATTGTCCCCTCTCTCTTCACCCCCTTTTTTTTTACGTAATTCTGTGTGTTCTCGTTATTGCTTGGTTCAGCGGATAAGATACGCTGAATTATCTAACGTGTTTCCTGGGTGACCTTGTATACGCATAATGATTAATCGTTATTATCATGCGTATATATGTTGCAACATACGAGACTTCCGGGATTACGAACTCTCTTCAGCGATCGGTTTCAAATTCCTCGTCGAGTGTTGCGACAAGTTTCGAGAAAACGCAGATCTCTTGTGTGCTGCTGTAAAGTGGACGATGGTACAACAGGGATATGGAAACATAAAGAAATATAATCACTGGTGGAAAGAAATTTACAAAAGAAGTAGCATCATCTCATATTACAATTATATTTTCTGTTCCGCAGCATGTTTCCAAATTCCACATTTAAGCTTACCCGTAGTTTTGAAAGTAACCACATAACATATCATGTGTTTTCGATGTCTCGTTTGCATTTTGAATTCTGTGTCTATAACAATATGTTCAACAAGACATATATTTATCGTAATGCGTTATAAGGAATTGATCGTAATGATCGACGTGATTTTATATCACGATTAAACGCCTTAATTATTTAATCGTTTAAGTTCATGATGAAATGACAATCATTTAATTATTATACGTCATTTATAATCATTATATAATGATTAAATGACGACCATTTAATCATATAAAATCACCTTAATCGTTACAATTATCACGATCAAGTATGTTAATCATTCTATTCACCACGAATACACCGTCTGTGGTTCCAAGACATATCTAATTTCGCGAAAGCGAACGCGTGTGTTTTTTCATTCACTGTTCGAAACATTGCGTTCGATACTGTTGGCTTGTAAGTTGAGAATATTCTGTACGCAGACCAAATACCGTAGAACTAATATCGTTCAATTAGTCGCTCGTCTCTGTCAATGTATATACGATCAAGCATGTTGTAGCAACGACCAATCACGCGAGAATGTGTCCGAGTGTGCCCAAGTAACTAACTGTTTGATGTCTGCTTTCAGGCGTGATGTCGAGCCGAGGGCGTAGACAAGCCCGTGAGCTCACGAGCGGGCCGAGAAGTGAAACTAGGCGTCACCAACGTGACGAGCCGGATTCTCCTTTACTCCAAAACGACAACCGTCAACACCCGACCACTTCCTACGCCAGTGTGAACTCCATCGATGCGACTAATCACCACGCCGTATTGTTCTAAAGCCGATAAATCCAATCGTCTACTCGTCGGACTCGCAACGTCTGATGACGCGAGATCTTTTGTACTTAGAGAGACTGAAGAGGAAGAAGTAGAAAAAAAAGATTACGTACACCGTGTAAGCGTCAATAGTGTGTTTTTTAACTGTTTGACCCGGCGGCTTGTGAAGCCGCGGCAGAGCCAGCAACGAGCTCTCACATATTCATCGGAGATATTCTGTAGAAAGTTTCACGCGAATTGTATGTCCGAACAAATTCTATGAGAGAGAGACTGGTGAAAGATGTCCATCTACGTTCATATCTGGCATTATTCTCTTTAGCGTCAAGAAAATTTCTTCGGTATATAATTGCGTATATGCATTCTCGTTATCATTAGCGTATTTANCATGTTTTTTTTCCTTCTTTTTTTTTTTTTTTTTTTTTTTTAATTTAGCATTAATTGTCATAGACTGTATATTCTCAAATCAAGTGTCGGTCGCTGCGATCGTGGCCGACCGATCATACGGTCGACTTTAGGTGATATAATAATTTAACTAGGACGAGGAATTAATTTTTCTTTCACAGCCGCATGTGATCACGATAATCCGTAGAGATCGATCGATCGGACCGCTGTGATCGCGATGCACGTAACAGAACACGTGTGACAGATATAAAATGCATTTTCTTTTTCACCGTGAGGCGAGTCCTTTCTGATATTGATATCCGGTTGTTGCTGTCGATAGTTCGAAACATTCTATAAACGCGACGTGTCCAGATGTCGGTAATTAACTAAAAGAGAAACACGACATCGACGCGAATGTTGTTGATCCTCCGAAACTCTCGACGAGAAAAGTATTCTCTATCGGATCGGGCGGCATTTTTTTAATCCGCCCGTAGCGCGTCGCGCGTGCCCGAAACTTCGTGCAACCAAATTCAAATCGTTCGCACTTACATGCCGTCCACAGATGAAATACGCTACAAAAAAGACAAAGAAAAAGAAGAAGCAAAAAACGAACGATAAACGAGATACGTAGAATTGATCGAGGTTAAATGAGACGAACCGCGGTGTGACCGATCTGTGTATTCGAGAAAATGATATCCGTATCAGGATCCAGGCTTTCGAGTTTCACGTTAAATTGTCGTCGCGGAATACGTGGGAGGCATCAGTATTGTCGTGTGTCAGCGTACGTTTTGTCTATTCTTTCTAAACGAGTGTCGTTCCGCCGAGCAATTTGAACAATTATCAAAATTTGCGATTTGTGTCGTTAAGATATTAAGTCGCGGCCAGACAGAGAGAGAGAGAGAGAGAGAGAGAGATTCTTTTCTACTTTCCCTCGTCGCCAGCTCGCTATTTACTGAGAAATCTTCACGAAACTCTCGGTTACGATTATTATTTAATTCAGTCCAGGAGGAGAAAAAGAACATAACGTTAAGTAATTATGATAAGAATTTGATTTGCGAGTGAGAGCGGGAGTGTGACTACGTTTACACGGCAACGTCAATCCGGTTTAGTAACAAACGTAGTTGGTGAACTCGCATTCGATCGGTAAGTTATATCAAATATATTCCAATTAAATGCAACAGTTCATTAACCACGGTCGTTACTATAAACCGAATTAACGTGTAAACAAAGTCACAGGGACAAGAGAAGCTTCGTCGGTTCCTTTTACTCGCGCGCGCGCGAATTCTCCCTACGATCTGGCCGAAGAGAACATTTAGGTGGTAAGATTTTTTGTCAAGCGGAACCCCAATACGTTAGCTTATGCTGTGATCGCTCGTTTTCCCCCCTCGTTGTCGTGGTGTAGTCGTCTGTTTCATTTTCTCGTGCGCTTCGTCGATGTTTCTTTTTTCTTCTCCCCGTGAGAGGTGCGACGCTTCCGCTCGATACATGTGACGAGTCTGTTATCCGAATGAGCACGGTTTTGATTTTTCGGATATCAAAGCCGATTTCGGGTGACCAGATATCCAAGTGTAAAACGTGGCCTACAATGAACGGTAGGAGTAAGTTTATGAAAAGTAAAAGTAAAAAATTAACCAATCGTAGTCGATTATTCTCCTTACACTCGAACATGATTGATCAATTTCTTATTCTTCTTGTGAACACACTCCTATTGCCCATTGTAGACTATGCTTAATATAGGCGCGATGTGCCCTACTGTAGTGCTCTAACGTAGTGATAAGCGTCGCAGTAACTCTCGCAGACATCTCTCGTTCTCGTGTGCAATACAGGTAAGCCACGCTCTCTGGCTTATATCCGGTATCGAGACGCTAACGCATTCCTCAACGCGTACGTTCTGTTGCCCACCTGTGCCGATTCGGGCAAAGCCCTCCCGGAGTCACGAATTCGGATGTAACGAAGTTTTATACGAAACATGATGAACTTTTATATGAACGTCGAACAGTACCTAAAGCGATACGTGCGACTATTATCATTGAGGTATTGGTTACTGTTGCATACAAAATGTGCCACCGTATGTCCTTAACTATATTTAGATTTATTACATTATATTTGTACAAAGATTTTCAAAGAAATCCATCTTCACCGTGACGATCACCGATCATGTTGTTATAGCGCGGGTAGTGTCGGTCGTACGATTGGACGATTTTAGTCGCTTATAATTTCAAAATTTTAAACTCACCATTTTCATATTTGAGAACTTTCGTTTTAGAAAGTTGTGTCCTAAAGAATCGGGCATGCAAAGGAATTAAGTGATTGTGGACGGATGGTGAGACGGAGGCGTTGCGTTAGAGTTGAGATTTGTTTAAGAATTAACGGGCAAGCTTGCCAGTTGTTAGTTGGTTATATGGTAAGTTTTACAATAAAAACATTGATCAGAGAGTGAGATTATTTCTTCTAAAAGGCGTGATAGTCGATAAAGTGACTGTTCGATCATAAACATGTGGTAAAGACATACGGTGGTTTTGAACACCCTATATAATTAAGTATTAGTATTCCAAATCAGTGCACGATATCAGAGTCACGTCGTCAAAGGGCGAGGCGAGAGCTAACGCCAAGCTGAGAACAGAAAAAGGACAATGTAGAGAAACGCGATAAACCGCAAATAAGGATTTACACGATAAAAAGAAGGAAATTCTGTATCCAGATTGTTTTTTTCAAATTGGCATTGTGTTATCGTAGTGCGTGCGGATGAATGCGTAAAAGAGAGAGAGAGAGAGAGAGAGGAACGACGATGGATCGTTTATGCGTTAAATATTTTGTAAGTCCATGTAAACGAAAACGCGTCATAAACGATATAAGTTTAATTTATCAGCTGGCAGAAATGTGTATGTGTGTTCGATATGATACGAGCGATATTTAATTTCGCTGGATCTAATGTATACAGAGAGCGGAACGTTCAAAGAGCAAGTCACCGGAATAATTTTTATGCTTGAACACAAAGAGTATTTTAAAGGAAAATATGTGTATACACACACACACACACCTCATGTGCTGTTCTATTAAAAGAGATTTGACGAACTTTATATGTTTATCCGGAGGAATATTGTTTACTTGAAAATATTATATTCCTAATTTTCGAACATAAAAAAACTAATATTCGAGGTGATGCGCCTTCCGAACGGCTCGCTCTGCGTCAACACCGGTCCGCTCGAAGAGAAAGAGAGAGTACGTGTAATTGACGTTTCTTCGATTTATACTGCACCGTGTATATACACTATTATGGCGAACTGCATATCAATAGAAGCTTCGGTATAAAAATAATGAAGTATCGCGCGGTGGACAGAAGAAGTCGTAGGCGTTAAAACGATTCGACGTTATGACGGACACTCGAGAGGAAAAAGCAAAGAAAAAGAAGAAAAAGGAGCCCGAGGAAGAGAAGCATCCGAGGGAATAACGCGCAGAGCTGTGTTGTCACGTGAATACGAATAAATTTCTCCTGTTTGTACCATACACCGACCGCAGCCATGTGTTTGTGTCACTCTCTTCCGTTAAAACATGCCTCAGAAAGGTGACGGGTTACCGAAATGGATGATCAACCTGTCCCGTAAATCACGCGCGCTCCCGCGAGTCATCGTTGATTCGCTGAGAATTAGCGTGCTCCCCCCCCCCTCTAACTATCGAAAACGCCTCTGGGTGAATAACGAGAAAGCGAATAACGCTCCGGTCGATGTCGCGTCTATATTGTGCAAATCCACCCATTGTGCGAGAAGACGAAAATCACGTCGTCTCGCGCCAATAAGCGCGGGACATTATCGGCGTCCACGTCGTGTCCGCGTCGTTACGGATGTCGCGTTATGGGCTTAAGATAAAATATTCGATTTATTACAACAGCTTTCTTTACAAGATTTAATACGGACGTTAAATTAAATACATTATGTTATGTATACGTGTATGTCTTTTGTACAAAGTGTGAGGATTTATATCGCGATTCGTGAGAATCGACGGCCGCTCGTCGATTACGATTCCAGGCCTATCGGCCCGAAGAGGTAGATCGCCGGGCAGTTGTCGTCGGGATTGCCGAGAAACTGCGCGTATAGTTCCTGGTAACGCGACAAGGTCAGTCCGCCGCGCCTCCTGTCGTCGTCCTGCAAACAGGACGACTCGTTAATTGCCTGCGTTGCGGGTAACTTTTTCCCTCCGTTTCTTTGTTTCCACCCCGATTATATTACAAACGTTTCTCAGTCGGATTTCGTAAACTGTCGATCGCTTCGCTTACATTCAGGAGACTCTGATAAGCTTTATCCAAGACGTCTATGTTATCCACGGCAATCCTCGAGACGCAGTCGTATCGAAACTCCTCGGCGCCGATCACTCCGTCCTCTGGAATCAGCATTGCAAAATACGATGAAGAAATTCAGAGATCGATTTGATTTCGGCATTTAAACTTGGTTTTGAAACTCGAAAGTTCCGCTTAATTTTCCTCAAATCTAATCTTCGCGAGAATATTGTAGAGGATATTGTAAAGACTATCAATATAATAATTTTCTAGTGACATCGAAAATTTCCATATGCATCAATTCTGAATATTCGTGCATCACAATTGCTGCTTTGGAGCACCGTTGCCTATTCGCTGAATAATCAACAGTCACGATGCACGAATCTTCAAAGCTGATGCTGCGCATGATTGAATGTTTTCGACACCACTATGTCTTAAGGAGTGGGAACGCATTGATGGAGTCTTGTGCACGATACCGTTCATGTCGAGTATCTTGAAGTGGCTGTCGATGAACATCTTCATGGCCTGGGGGAAATCGTTGTAGGATCGACCGACGCAACTGTTTTGCACGGCTTTCTTGAACTCTTCTATCGTTACAAGGCCGTCCTGGACACAAAAGAGAGTAATATAACGCATAAATTATCCCCTCCCCAGTGCATTTTCCTGCGAAGAATTTCATTCGAAGACAATCGGTCTGATCTTTTCAGCCGAACTGGCTGCATTAGTTTGAAAAATGTATACACACATCGAAGCGTATGAAGCATAGCGAGAATTTCATGCGTAAATTTCTCGAATTGGCGCAGTTCAGTTAAAAAGAACATACCAAGTGTTCTCTCGAGTCTCCGTATTTTCACCTTACTGTTAAACGCGACGTACACTTGTCGGGGCGAAGATCCGCGAAAATTCGCCAAGGAAACAAGCGCGACATTTCGCGTCGCCCAAGTGAGATAGCGATCGCGGCGAATAAATCGTTTTGTAATGTTAGAAAGATTGCAACAATGATCGTAATATCGAGTTACGTTTGTCGGGAGAGTCCGAAGAATTCGGGGAATTCGAGACTGGTGCAAGATCCGAGTCGTGCCAAGAGAGAAAGAGAGACGTTTGTCGGACGCGGAAACAATACGTATTGTAACGTGCCTTATCGAAGTCCGCCAGGTCAGCTATCTCCTCCCATAAGGAGAGCATGATGTGCAAGTTTTCCTGGTACCGGTTGAAGTTGAAGTCACCCTTACCCTCGATCAACGTCATTCTCAGCGCCATGCACTCGAAGTCGTGCTTGTCCAGTTGCCCGTTGTTGTCTATGTCTGCAAATGATATATCGCACGTGCGATTTTAATTATTTCTTCCTCATTTCGCGATGCTTGGATATTCTCTCGGTACGTGGGTAATAAAATTACAAAGTAATCGCGTTCCCGGCATCACCGAATAATCCTAGCACGTAGATATTTCGAATGTTTCGTCGGATAAATATTGTCTATTATTTGTCGGCAAATTTTTACTTCTAACTGTTCATCGAAGTCGAATAATTTCGCACGACGAGAGTGAAATCTGCAAAATCACGTCTCACACGTCTCGTCGAAACCGGGAGAGCTTTCAATCATTGTACGTGATGAGAGGATTGTGATACGAATCTTTTTACTCGGGGAAAGAGACGCGTAAGCACTTGGAACCGTGAAATTAATTCGAAATTTAGTGATTTGATCTAACGATCTTGCATCAACAAGTGGCCTGTGTGCTATGTGTGTATGCGTTAAATAAGCCAGCGTGTTGAGTCACTCTCTCCGACACGGCCTCACTGGTAATGACAGACGTTACAGTAGAAACACGATGCAGGAATGGGGCCAGCCAGACTTTTTCAGTTCAAATGAAGATGCATTTAAATCAGCTTCTAACTTGAACATGCGTATGTATAAAGATGTATCACGAGACATAATTAGATGTAATTCATGTTTCAAGAACGCACGAGGGAGGTGGGAATTGTATATTTGGAAGTCGATTTTGCATGAATTCGCGTTCCCATCTGGTCGGAGGAAAGTGTGTTAACCGCGAAGAAAACGCGGAGAACGCGTCGATGTAGCTTATGGAAAGTGGACTTCCACTACGTTACTGTTCCGCGAAAGATTCCTCGGTAAACTTCGGCTTGTGAACTTTCCCCGTCTTCTTAGCGAAGATGTGTTGACGGTTACGGCAATTTGCATGCGAGAGCACTTATTAAGCTGGGTATATACTGAGCGAATGAACAACGAATCCGAACAGAACATTTCGAACTAATTTGCTCATAAGGTACTCAGACAGTTGACACGATGTCCCAAAATCATCCAGAATGTATCCAGAATGTCTTGAGGAGCGCCTTAGGACCCAGATAGAACAGAAAATGACGATGACATCAAAATAACAAAAAAGTGACTACGAAAACTCATTTTTCGTTCATTTTCTCATCATTTTCATGTAAACTTTACTTGGTATTCTACCAGGGAACGTTTTGGGTACATCCAGGACGACTTTAGGACATTTTGTGCTGTCTGGGGGATGGTTCATCGGGTTTATCAAGGAAAGTTCGCGCGCGTTTAAACTCGAATATACACATTCATATTCCATATTCCTTGTGCCTTCGCTCAGCGCATACCCACCTCCAGTGGCATCTCGATTACCCCCTTACGGGGTACCCTCCGCGTCTACTGACCGTAGAGGAACTTCACTATGAAATTAACGCGATTGTCCCAGCTGTACGCCATCGTGAGGTCTCCTCCGTACACCCCCTCTCTCTTTCTCTGTGTCTCTTCTCGCCTTCTGCGGAGTGCTGAACTCTCGCACGTGTTCCTCCACTCCGCTTCCGAGCTCTTCTCTCGCCTCCTGAAGCGACACGACGGGACTCCGATCACACGAGGTGACGAGCTCGTCCGACGCGGAGAAAGTGCCCCGAGAGGATGATGGTCTCGCACTGAACTCGGCGGCCGGAGTCTCGTCGCCGGGTCTAAACTTAGGTTACCCCCTCTGAGCGAAGGACACGAAGACGGGGAAGAGAGGCTCAGGTGGTGGTAGTGGTAGTCGGCGATGACGGAGGTGTCACCCGCGTCCACCGAACTCGTCCCACGAAACTCTGGACCGCACGTCTACGCTCTGTCTCTTGTATCCTCGTCTTCCTTCTCCTCCTCCCTTCCGGATGCGCACCTGTCATGTCTCAAATGCGGAAAGCGCGAGCAGTGAATATGTTTGTTCTATTCCAAAAGACAAATCTGTCTCAATTAAAGGGATTTCATTAAACTCAAGGAAATCTTTCCTCCGTGTGTATGAAAGAGAGAAAATTCCACACGAATTCGCTCTTTTCTATTCAGACGGAGAAGAGTATGTTGTCCTAGAAACTGTAAGAATCGATTGATTACAAAAACGGAACATCCGGCGGATGTATCTTCGAAGAGTCCCCGACATGTCGCAGTTGGCGGTTTCTCCATTATCGCAGGATGTGCGCGAGCAGGATCGCATCCTGCCTCGTTAGCCGTCGGACGCGCGCACAGGAAGGAAACACCGGTACATCTTCAAAGCGTCATTAAGGCCTGCGCGGGATCCTGCTGATTGTGCGTCTGTATTTCTATCTCATCCGACATCAGGTAGCGTTCAACGTTTCCGGCGGAATCCTCACGTTTTATTTATGTCGTGCCAACCGAGGTAGAATAGAAAATAACGATGACGTCAGAATGGCGAGAAAATGACTGTAAAACTCATTTTTCGGTTTTTTTTTTTCATCCTTTTGACGTCATTATACGTCACCGTCATTTTCTGTTCCACCTGGGGTTGATCACATACAGCTCAGTAGGCAAGAAACATTAAATCAACTTCTCGAAACATTGATTTTATGTGGATATTACAAACATTTGACCCTAATATTTCATAAATGTTTTTAAATTGTTACTTGATAAAATATTATTTTTAAATATTAAAATTATAATGTAGAAATATTATTTTTAATATTTTGGTCAAATGTACTATACCTTTGCTTGCACAGAATGCCGAGATCGTCGGCAGAAATGTTTAACTTTATAGTTGAATGCGCGCGCTCGCACTTCGTCGATTATAGAGATCTTCCGGGCACTCGATTTCAACAAACTATTTTTTTTTCTAACGAATATTGTTTCACGAAGTGTAAAACTACTGTCATTTGTTTGCACGAGCCACCGGTGTCCGGTGCACCGGCAGTTGCAGGTAGACCCATTACCGACGTCTCGAATTCGATCTATTCGGGCCTTCGACTCGAGGGGGGTATCGTGCGCGGAAGCTGTGCGGAAGTTCGCTGCTTAACAGTGACCCTCCTGGAAGTATTCCAATGACATAACACGCGCGCGCGCTTCAGGGAGCGAGAGGGAGAGAACAAACATCGATCCATCAACGTTCGTCGGACGTGTGTACGCCGCGCGTTTAGCGCGCAGAGCGAAATATTTAGAATAGCTCTATTTCCGCCTTTCTAATTCCCGTTGACGGTTGCGGACCTAAATTCTAATTGAGCCGGTGTGCGCTTGAAAGAGAGAGAGAGAGAGTGTGCGTGTGTATAGAGGAGCGAGAGAGCGCGCGAATCGGAGCAGGCGGGTCCGAATTTAACCGAAGCCTCCGCGTGGTCGGACAGCCGACCGAGAACTTTCTTTGTGCGGTACGTTGCCGACGGTGACACACGTGTGCGCGCGCGCGAGTGCACCGGTGCTGTCGCTTTTTCGACAAGCCCGGCAATTATTTCCGCGAATGTGTAATCTCGGGCGAGAAACGACGACGACGACGCGCGTTCACACGAGCGGCACCGATGGTGGCGGTCGTTCTTCCCCGCTTCGTTGTTCTCTTTCGCGGATTATTCTAATTTGAACGGAGGTCACGTTCGCGAAGCGCAAGCGACGACTCGACCACCTCGATTTATCTCGCCGCCGTGCGCGCGTAAATGTATTTTCGTACGGAGTCTGTCCTCGGTGGACACGGACGTAGATCGTCGTCAGCGGGACACGCGTGATCACGCTTTTGCGTTCTCTTTCTTCCTCTCCTTCTCTCTCTTTCTCTCTCTCTACTTCTTCCTCTCTTTTTTCCGGGCGTTCCTTTTGTTATCGCGGAAATGAGTTCGCGCCGACGAGCTCATCTGCGAACTGTCCTCGGAGAATCGAAGAGAGAACGCTCTTGACAGACCGTGGAAATATAGATTCCCCGGACTCGTTTTTCACAGTCATCGAGACATCGAAGATATGAAAGATTAACTATCGGCACATAGAGATGTATTGTGTCATCAAACTTTCTATGAAAGTGAATACGGCGAGCGTATGGAATAGCGTAAGCGGTTACAGGGCTTTCTATAACTGTCGCGATTGCTTCCGTTCCCTCAATCTCGAAAGACCATAATTGATCGATTAAATAATTGCAAGGCTCTTGGATTAAAATAAAAAAAAATATATAAAAGCGACGGACCGCAATTTGGCTCTTATTGTCCGTTGCTTTTATATATATATATATATATATATACAAAATATTATTTGTTTACAATAAATATGTAAAATGAAGCAAATAATTTCTTTCTAAGAAAAAATTATCTTTCGTTTCAAAGAAATATTTTATTTAAGATTAAAGATACACATTCGTTGAAAAGTCTAACAATCAACTACTTATTAATTGCAACATTAATTTCTTCGGAACATGCCAATGATGAAATTTGTTTGGATGCGATAAAATTTACTAAATCCGAAGAAATCTTTTTCTCAGTGTTTGAAGTATAATTTTTAACGCCGGATTGCAGATACGATCTTTTAACGAGCTCCAATGAGAAACTTCCGCCAAAGTGAAACCGTCTCTCTACGCTCGAGGAAGAGCCCGTCTCTAATCTCGACGATTAGACGATAATTAGCGTCGAGAACGAACGCATTTGCGCGATAACGCGGACGATCGAAGTGCTTCTGATCGGGCACACGTGTGCGCCGTCTCAAAGTTGCGACGCGCGGCGATACGTCGGGATTAACTCGCACGGAAAATTGGAGCGAGACACCGAAGCCAGACGTCGGAATCGTGATGGATCTTCCGCGGCATGGGCTTACGCTTGCTTGGCTGCCGGCCCGATCAGCTCGTAATTCATCCGCGGTAGGATCGTACGAGGATTCCGCGTCCAACTGTGTAAGCGCGCGAGTGACGGACGCGCGCGATTCATCTCCCGCGGAATTGTAATTAATTGGCGCGAGCGCGTCGTCGCTTTTCGTCGCGCACGAATTCACGACGCGATTTGTGCCTTCATTCTTCGCGCAATTCGGTGCGAATTTATGCGCCGATCGAGGGGAGCCGAATTACTCATAGTGCGTTGAAACAGCGAGTTGTTGAGTGAGAAATTATAACATTGATGTAATGTTATCGTTGGTTAGTGGGGAGCTAAATAATTTAATCTATCTTGTATTAGCTACTAACTTTTGACTCACGCCTGTCTCCACTGTCGTGGTTTAAATCTATCGACGATTAACACAATGGTATTGAGCCAATTGCACTGGCCAATTATCTGAACCGATCAATGCGATTGTCGATCCCGTTGAGTTAATCGTCGATTAGATTGAAACCATCCCAGCGAGAAATGACTTTGACGACGTCGATTCGATGTAATTTCTATGTTGTTTCAACGTTGATTTAACGTCAATTTGACATTTCTCGCTGGGACGGTAGTAGAAATGGGCGTAAGATCGACTAGACCACGTTTTTATTTGGATAGCAATCCATGAGAGTCTACATCGCGAATTTATCCTTCCTTCCTCGCAACTCGATCGAATTCGGCTCTTCGTACCGTACAAAATTCGCGAGAGACGAGAGACTAGCGAAAGATTCTTCCACTCCCGCAGGGAAGAGCCGAAAAATCGCGGTCTTGGTCGCCGTCCATCAGTCAAATCAACGGGCCATTATTGTTTACACGTTGCGGCTCGACGTCGCTTTCGCACTCGCTGAGAGACAACGAGAGCTCCAAAAATAATGTTCAATGATTCCGCTGACGATGCACGTCCCGGATTAAGTGATCAAATGCCTTTGATCTGCTCCCATCGGCCGCCAGGTGTCGACCTTGAAATTTGGAATACGCCGGGAATTGCGATCGGTTGCAAAGCTAAGAGAGCAAAGAAATAAAGAAAAGGAAACCAATCGACGTCCAAGTAAGCAAGAAATTAATATAACGTTATTACAATGATATTTTATACCATGTAACGTTTTCGAATATATAGTTTTTAATGCTGCATACATCATTGTTAGCAATATTTTACCTAAACGTAAAAAAATAATATTTCTACATCGTTTTAGTGTTTGAAAATATTACGTTATCGAATAACAGTTTAAATATATTTATAAAATATTACGTCAAAATTTGTAAAATCCATATCAAATCAATGTTTCAGAACAGACAACATAACATCTATCTAAATCGGGATATAAGACGTCTAAAAGATATCTTTAAGTCTTCTTTATGTTCTTATGTCTCGACTTTAGATTTTATGTTGCCCGGGACGTCTTTCGCTTACTGGAGTGGATAACGTGCCGTTATATCGATTCCTCCGATCTAACGTCTCTCGTGCGTCTCGCGCGCAGGTAATTATCTCCCGCAGCCTTCGTCGTTAAACTCGATAATCGAGTTTCACGGTTGCCGCTTGAGACTCGCGTCTCGGTATTGAAAGTCTCCCAAGTGCTCGTGATCCGACAGCCCGAAAGTTTGCCCGATAAATTATAAATACACGACAATTAGCTGCCGCTGGCTACGACGCGTTCCGATTATTCGATCTTCCTCGAGATCTCCGCGCGATGATTTCTTATCTCACCCGCCCCTCTTCGTCGCAGACACGCATCACCGATCTGTAGAGAAATGTGGAGTAAGACGAGACTGAAGCAAAAAAAAAGCTTTGGTAAAAGCGAAACTACTGACTCTTTGCTGCATACATTTTTCTGCCGAATATATTTTGCTAGATTTTGGTAGACTTATATTCTCATTCGGCATCATTCGGCCCGTTAGATCAATCGAGGATCTAATCGATCGTGGGTAATGACGGCTCTCCTCGCCGAACGATCGGCGTCGCGATTAAACAGCGTCGAATCGTACGGGCGCGGCGGCAACGTCTTCCCGATCGGAGACGAGTGAAAATAGCCGATCCGCAGGAGATCGGCGCGGCCACCGGCTCGTCATATAAGGCATGTTTTCGCCGGTATACCGTCAGTTCGAAAGTACAAGCTGTCGCGCGTGGAGGAGAGCCGCGTAGACGCGCGCGTCCGTCGCGCGAGGTACATCGAACATGAGGTCGCGTCTCGCGCTGATCGCGCTGCTCGCCGTTTCCGGTGAGTTCGCGGCGAATCGAAGGAGAAGACTGCCTTGGATTCTCGTTCTCTGTTTTCTTTAGCACAAACCGCGAATCTTGGGAGAAGTATGGAAACTCGGCGTCGTCGAACGTTGGCGGTTTTATTGACTCGCGGTGTGACGTCGCGCGATGAGTTGTATATATTTATCACACGGAGGAGAAAGTATCAAGTTCGAGTGAATAATTACTCATTGGCAAATCTTTACTCGGATTAAGTAAATTTTACTTGGATCGGGTGAATATTTTACTCGGTTAATTTACTTTAATCAAGTATTACTTGATCCAAATAAAGATTTGCTCGAAGGAGTAATTATTTATTTGAATTTAACATTTTTTTTAATTTAACGTTATTTCTGTTGTTTTTTAACGGACTACAGAATCGAGCAAATAGCGATTTTATAACTATCTTTGACATATTTGAAATCTCTGCTTGCTCGATTCTGTATTCTGTTAGAAAATAACAAAAATAATCGATTAGCCAACTTGCCCCAGCCTCCCCTATGTGTAAACTGAGTAATAGGTTTGTCAGATTTTTCATGTCGACAGTGTCTCCTCAGTGAAAGACGACAATTACTGAAAGAGATTGGCCATAACACACTTACATTCTTGTAAGATGCAAACTTCAAAGTCAGATTCTTTTGTTCTTTCGCCGACGCTGAAAACGATATGATCTGGATGAGTTCATCGCTTCGCGATGCTGTAAGAAAGAAAATGACGCATCGTTCTCATTTACTGTAATGTCCGATTGAAACTTCTGGTATCATCTCTGTCATTAATTAAAGAAAAACAAACAATATATTGCAGCACCGATACTTCACGTCGACGGAATTATATCGAGCCGGTCGGCTCGTTCGTCGGGTTTTTTTTGCGAGGGAGCGAGTAAAAGCGAAAGGGGGAAGAAAGTGAAAATTGCAAATTTGGGAATTGGTTTTGAGCGTCGCCGGAAGTTTCACTTCCGTTTTTGCGTGCGGGTGAAAACGATGGCGCTAATAGCCAGGCTGAGGTTTCTCTTTCCAACGGGTGTGCGCCGGCACGCTACAGATATCCGTTTCCGAACGACCGGACGAATCGTGAAAGTATCGTCGCGCGCCTGAAAATAATCTCCGTAGCCAGTGAGTTATTGTAATCGTTTCGATCTCTGAGCACGTTCACCTAATGAAAGCCTTTCCTACCAGCCCATCTCAGCAGTATAATGCACATTCCGCTCGTTCCAAATACAAGCGCAAATGATGCATTTTCCTCACATCCTGTGGAAGCCTGTTTTCGCTCTTCCATTTGGAAATATTGAAATTCGTCTCCTTCCGTCAAAAATAGCGAAACGTACGCTCAGATAATACAAATGTCCAAAATCGGGACGTAAGACATCTTTCAGAGATCTTCAAGTTGTCTCTAAGATATCGTGATATAAAACGTCTTTAAGTCGTTTTTGAGACGTCTGAAAGACATTTGTCGTGTCCCGGATTTTGGACATTGTGCTGTCTGGAGTACTTGGTCTGAATTCTGTACGAAAGAACGCTGCTGAGATATACTTGGAAGCGACGAAAATCTGACTCGGACGAATGGTTTTTCAGGCAACGCCACGACGGAGAAAGGAAAATCCGGGGGGGTTCCTTGCATTGACGACAATAAGTTCTACCGAAATCCCGAGGCACCGTCGCACAGCATCTGGTCGCCCGCGGAGTGCGCCAAGTATTTCCTCTGCCTAGGTAACTGCGCGAAAATCGCGCAAAAAATTCACTCAAAAACAAACTTTAACCGTTATATGTAAATGTGTACACGCGAGTATTCCTGCGTTCGTTCCCGCGTTCGAAAGACAAATTACATCGCAAGTTACAATTACTTGCCGCTTCTTTGCTCGTGAGAGAAATGATATATATTGAAAGGATTCGAAAAAAAAAAGAAAAAAACGCCTCACGCCTCATCGTTGTGCTTCAGACAACGAGGTGTTCGAATTCAAGTGCTCGCAGGGCCTCCTCTTCGACGTCTCCAGGCAGATCTGCGACTTCAAGGCGAACGTCGACAACTGCGATGTAACCTCAGGTATACGCAGATTTACACGCGGATTTACTTGAGCGTGAACGCGCGAGCCGCGTGACGGTAAGAGCGTAAACGAGCGTAAACGCCGGCCATTTAACCTGACGTCGATTTCTACCTGTAAGAAGGCGATCGAGTGTTACACACGCAATCTCGTACTTTCTCCCGGAAAATCCATACGTAGTGACGAGTTAATGTTATTCCCGTGTTTGGCCATTGAATCTTTAATTAGAAACGCGTCTACAGCGATGTCTCTCGACAGTCCGCGTGACCCGGTCTCGATGAATGAATTCATCTTTATCCGCGTGAATCGATCGTTCCGTAGTTCTGTAGATTCTCTTCGATCTGCAGAGTGAAGTTCGGCGAAGATTAAATGTCGAATCCCGAGTCGAAATTCTGATATCATGTTAAACCTTTAATTCTACGACACGGTAAAGAGCACTTGGAAAGTTAGGGATATACACGGAGTGGAAAATACATAAGCGAGTTTCTGGCGGATCTGGCAAGAAAGAGGCGGGAACTCGTCGGGGAATTTCGCCGAATTCTCGCGTTTCGCGCATCGGCTTTTGTCGAATATTAATTGTAGCCGACGGCTCCGGGCGCGGGATCAGTCATGCAGGAATTTTACGACGTTTACGTCGTCGATTCCGCCGGCTTATCAGAATCAACAAACTCGTCGCTCCGAGGATTTCGTCGAATCTCGTGTTTTACGAGCTTCCTACGTGCGCAAGACTCGTTGAACTTTACGGCCTCCGCGCGTCGACTTGGCCAAACAAATAGCGGATCTTACATGATCTCGTCGTAAACGAAAGCGAAATTGCGAACGTGCACACGGATTTCCCGCGGTAGAGATTCTCATTTCCCGATCTCGTAGCAAGTATCATCACTGTATACCGAATGGTGATTTGAAATCTTAAAAGCTTCTCGTAGATGTCCAACCGGCGAGGCCGTTGCTGGAGAACGGCCAGTGCGAGGAGAAGAGTCTGGCCTGCGGCGACGGCACGTGCCTCCCGGCCCTCTACTTCTGCGACGGCAGCGTCGATTGTCCCGACGGCTCTGACGAAGGATGGTGCGGTAAGAAGCATGAATAATTCAACTCGGAATGGCTCATGTGAATCAAAGGGAAAGAGATATTGTCGCAAACGTTGCTTCCTCTCGACTATATCGCAAACGAGAACGATGTTTTCTGATAGATTTCCATTGTTGCGCGTCTTAAAGATATTAAATTACCATTAGATTCAAAGTGACGATTACTCACGGCAGATTTACGGTAAGATGGCAATTTATTGTTGATTTTGGTAAAATTCGTCGTTTTTTATAGTTTCACGCACAAATAAGCTGTATTGGTGTGTTTTCCATATTAATGCACGAGATGAAACAACATTCTCATTAAATCTGTGATAATTTTTGAAACTTTCAGATGAAAGAGAGGAAATTATTTATAGTCCTCCGAGAGCATAAAAGTTTCAAGTATTTTTGTTTTTGTTCCTTATAAAAATTTTCAATTATGTACCGCAATTTTGTTCAGAAAATCCTAATAAAAACTTTTTTTTAGTTTATCTAATTTACTATGTATCTGGTTCCCTAATTACTATGTGCTATATATATATATATCAATATCAATATTAAAATATTTTATGGAAAATACGAGTTAAATAAAATGCTTTACTCATTTTAAAGCTTTACATCAAAATTTTTGATTTCCCATAATTTTGTTCTAAATTACCATTTTTGCCGGCTTTCCAAAATTACCGGCTGGTTTACCGTAATTTACCGAGTAAGTTGCCGTCAAATTGGATTATTTTCATTCCCAGTTGTGTCTTGTGAAATCATTTCAAAAAACTTCAAATCACGCGAGGTGCCCGAGTACTCCTTTTCGGCCCGGCGCTTTTTTCCATTCCACTTTCACCATGGAGGCATTATTCCGCTGACGTGACGTCTCTGACGTGACTGGGAAAAGTCGCGCTCTTCGTTGCACGTGATAATTACGACGACGCAACGACGGCGTGAAAAGTGATATCAATCTGTTGCAGACGCGCTGCACGACACGAACGCCGCGCCGGTTTGCAAGCCGCAGAAATGCCGGCCACCGGATTGTTGGTGTTCCGAGGACGGAGCCGGAATCCCGGGGAATCTCACCGCTCTCGCGGTGCCGCAGATGATAACGATCACCTTCGACGACGCCGTGAATGCTGAAAATTTCGAGCTCTACTCGAGTAAGTTGACGAAAGACCAGATTTCACTTCCACTACGTTGTTGAAATCACACACGTCTTCCGTCTTCCTTTTCTTTTTTCGATTTCTGGACAGATCTATGTATGCACGTGGACTTGAATAAATCGTTACATTACATTGACGTGATTCGACACATTCGCGCATTATGATACTAATAATTTTATAGTTTATGATATTATAATTCGGGCGCGTTGTTGCAGAGATTTTCACGGACGACAGGAAGAATCCCAACGGCTGCCCCATAAGAGGTACCTTCTACATCAGTCATCAGTACACGAATTACAGGGACGTGCAGTATCTGTGGAACGTCGGCCACGAGATAGCCGCGCATTCCATCACGTAAGTATTTCGTACGGGTTCTAATCTCAATAGAAATCAATAGAACCGAGAGGTTCCCCCTTGGAGAACCCGGTTTTATTCGTCGTAAAACGAGAATTATCGCTCAGGCATCGCGGACCGGAAGAATGGTGGTCGAGGAACGCGACGATCGAGGACTGGTTCGACGAGATGGTCGGGATGGCGAACATCATCAAGAAGTACGCGGCAGTCCGTATCGGCGATATCAAAGGTATAACAGTACTTTCAATTCTACGTTTTATCGAGACCAAATCGGATCGGAATGAAAGGATTCACCAATTAAAGGAAGTATAGATATAAGTACATAAATATCATTACATTCCAATAAATTCAAATTGCTGATGTAAAATTTAAGTGAAGATAAATTTTAATTGTAATTTGACTTAGAAAAATTAATATCGCACGACAACTTGAATAATTATATGTTCAATATAATAAAGATAAATATAATAAAAATATAAAAATAAATAAATATAATAAATAAATTTTATAATAAAAATCATAAATTATATAGATAAGTTAATAGGTAAGGTATAAGTGTAAATATAAGTAAATTATAAATAAATCATAAAATAGTCATTCACAGAAATCAAATTCATTTGTTTCGTAGGGGTAAGAGCGCCGTTCCTGCAAGTCGGATGGAATCGCCAGTACCTGATGATGTCGGAGTTTGGCTTCGTTCACGACTCCTCGATCGTCGCACCGTTCTCCGATCCGCCTCTGTGGCCGTACACGCTCGATTACAGGCCGTCGCATCCGTGCGTCCGCGTGGGGCAGCTCTGCCCGACCCGCTCCTACCCGGGCATCTGGGAGTTGCCGTTAAATCAACTCTTGGCAGGTGTAAGTGATCACCGCGCGACAGATGGGACACGCTCTCGATTAACCGCCGGATCTTTTGTCCGCTTTTGTGACTCTGTACCTGGCGAAAACCGAAGCTGCCGTTTTCACTCGCGGGCAGTTAGCGAGCAGGTGAGCCAATGTGCGAGCATACTAACTTTCGGAACCTTTACGCAGGATTATACTTGCACCACTGTGGACTCGTGCCCTTCCGATTTATCCGGCGAGGAGATTTACAAGATGCTCATGCTGAATTTCAAGCGGCACTATCTCACCAATCGTGCACCGCTGGGCCTACACTTTCACGCGTCGTGGTTCCAAAACCCGATGTACTTCTACGCGTTTAACGTAAGAGGGTAGAACTGAAAGCACATTCGTGTATAATTATCTCATTCTTCGACTTTTCTAAAGAGAGACATCGCATCTTGCCACGTCTGACTATTGTTATTAATTAGATATCATATACTTGTTTAATTTTTCTACTAGTTTGAGAAATTTCGACGTTTCTACTTTGGTCATAATCAGTAATATTGTGTCACTAGAAATTCGTCGACGATTTGCTACGACTGGATGATGTGTTCTTCGTCACGAGTCACCAGGTCGTAGAATGGATGCGTAGACCAACGTCTCTCAGCGAAATCGAAAAATTCACATCCTGGCAGTGTGAGAAACGGCGTCTCGAGTCGTTTGAGGTCGCCTGCGACTTGCCAAATAGTTGTAAACTACCGAGTAGAGTGCTCAAGTCATACAGGTATTTGCACACGTGCTTCGAATGCCCAAAACAATATCCATGGTTAAGAAATGAATTCGGAGCAGAGTGAAGGTGATAAATATGTAGGAATTCTCTCTATAAGTTTACAAACACGAACACACACACACACACACACACACACACACACAACCACACGCGCCCGCGCGCGTTTTAAAAATAATAACTATTTATTGTAAACACAGATATGACACGTGTACTTTCATAAGAAAATCGCATTTATTTCCTATGTTTAATCCACTTTTCCTTCATTTTTTAATGCGAAATAAATTATATTCATTTTGTTAGAAAAATGAAAGATGGTGTTTAAAGCTAAAGTGATATCGTCATTCAAAAAACAAAAAAATAGGATATAATTATAAAGGCATATAAGCCTTGTATGTGCTTATCCCTCCTGTTGTATAAAAGGATTTTGAATAGATTCCATGCCATCTACAGGACAAATAAGTACTACTGATGTTCCTCTACATACCACCAGACCCAACATACGAGTGTCCTGGATCAACTTATATGGATCATCAGGATCTGTACAATAGAAAGTGTAATATTAAAAGCCTGTAAAAATTATAGTTGATATACACATGGAGAAGAATATTTAATAAACAGGTAACAATGACTGCATTCAGCAGAAAAAGTGATCAGTGAGCAGTCATTGATAATTGGATATTTTTACTGTTAGATTCTTAAATTTAAACCAATTATGTTGACGAATTACTCAGCTGTTGGACAAGCATTGTGTTTGCTGAACGCAACCAATATATACTTTTTAATAGGTGTACTTCTTAGATATTTTACACATGTCACAGTTACCTCTGAGGTATTCTGTCGTATTATCGAGTACTAAGTTGAGTAAGGGATCATAACCCTTGAGTATGCCTGCAGCTTCTCTGCCACCAGCAAACTTGACCCTTATATTCTTCTCGAGATACTTGGAAAGATCAAGAATACTCTCTTTCCTTTTCTTCTCCTTGTGCTCCACGTTCTGTTGCTACAAATACAAATAATTGACTTAGCACTATGATGACTCTGGTGTTTCTTCGGTGTATTCTGACATGTTACCTGTTTTGGCGCCTGTAAAAAGAATAGAGTGAGGTTAAAGTCGTGAATGAAAACGTTAAATCAGTTGCGAACATAAGAAAATATTCAGTTTCGCACTTACGGACATTTTTGCGTAGTTACAGGGAAAAAGATAATTTAATCACAATAGCAGAAAGTCGGTTTTACCAGTGAAAGGAAATACAACGCATTTTGAACATTCAGGTTATGTCGTTTACTTGAATATTCGATAAGTCGATACGTACCAATATCGACCTTTCTCGTAGTTGAAGTCCAGCATATCGAATCGATTTGAGGACACTCGATACTTTAAGCGAAAATGTGAATCGCAACCATTTGTTACAAAAAAAAAGAAAACAGGTTTAATATTTAATTTCGCGTTTTTTAGACGAGTAAATTATATACGTACTAAACACGGAAATTATACGTTTATTCTTGTCGAATTTATATATAACCGATCTTAGAAGAAGTATTAAATGAATAAACTTAATTTAAACATTTCTATTGTATGTACACGCACACATTCCAAGAGCTGACGTTCCAAAATTGAATTGCAGGTTAGGAAAATTAACCTGGCAAATTTCGATGCATCGTATATATAAGTACGAAGTACATATTAAAGGATAATTTAAAGATAAAAACACGTCATAAAAGCTTGAATTTATTCGTATCTGACTTTATAAAAAAATACATGTCAGTACATGATGTGTACGTGAACAATGTGGTACGATTAAAGTATATGCGTTATGTGTGTGTGTGTGTGTGTGTGTGTATGTAGTGTGTGTATGACTGCCTTACATCTTAGAATTAAAATTTGTAATTACACCGTCAAATGATCTTCAACAACTTCTACACGATTGCGAGTATCTCGCTCGTGAATGCGATGTGAATTTCAATGTAAAAAGTATAGTTTACGCGACACTTATCCGAAGTTCTACGTTGTGTGGAATCACACTTGTACAATGTTCCAATGCAAGCCACCTAAGGCTACTCGAAGAGTGCTCAAGTAAGTAACAGCGAATATACAAAAACCATACATCAAATGTAAATTCCTTGGAATTTCCTTTCGGAAAGTGGGGTTTAAATAAAAAAAAAGGTAAAGTAATAAATAAAATAAATAAATAAAGTTTTTTTATTTAAATTTAAATGAAATGAAATGTCTTTAAATATTTTCCGATTCATAATTTAAATGTTGAAAGAATAATTTGTATTTTACGTGGGTACAATTGTATCGAGTAAGAAGCGAATCGTCGAACAAAGAAGAGAGCTAAATAACGTACGTGTAATTCGGTAAAGAACATGTAAACTACACCTCAGCTGGTGTGTCTCTCTTACTGCCGCTAAGATCGCACTTTGTATCCATTATCCCGGCATCCTCGTTTGCGTTCGGAACACGAGGATTAAACGGAATCGTAAACGTCAGCCGTTCTATGCGCTACGAACTCTTGTGCTTGTCTATTAGTCTCTGCATAGTCTCTAACGGGCGCTGGCTACCTCTTGACGGAATCTGCATTGTACGTTGGCTCATGTGTTCATTTGTATGTATGTTTATGCATGATGTGTGTGTGTATGTCGCATCGTTGCACACATTCACGTTCCTGCGCGTTACATTACGCGGTTTGTGTGTTCGTGTGTGTATTGTCCTACACTCCTTCTCTCTCCGGTGACCAGTTCCCTCGAATGGACGACGCATTTCGTTTCGTTATATCGATAAAACTTATAGGTATACGCGAGATATATATATAATAAAAAGTTCGTCTTCGCTCATTAACTGCTAACTGCTGCCGACGGCTGCCCGAAACTTTCGTTCCATCTAATCCGCTCTTATTGCGATGAATTTCGATGTATCGAATGCGCCCCGCGTGCGCGTTGATCTGGTTTCTTTTTTATTTTACCTTACGGTTCGAGATTAAAAATATTCACCCTTCGACGCGCGCGTGTAGCTTCGTAAATAAGTAAGTAAGAGAAAGAGAGAAAGAGATATAGTAACGCGAAACGTTCGTTTGAAAAAGACGTCGCATTTTACCACCGTAGCCGCTTCACACTGGGAAAAATGTACGTAAAAATTTATCTATGACAGATATAAGATCCATTTCTGTGAATTTCTATGAAATAAATGTTATATCGTACAAATAAATTTTTTAATACTTTTTCCCCTCAGCATTTTTCTCACTCGGGTTATTTCCCACACGGCACATTTTTATCCAAGGGACATCTCGTAGACGTTCTTAAGATACAGGGTCGTCGTCTGGGGACATCTCTGGGATGCGAGGTCTGTGCTGTATGGGTTCGCGCCACGTGGGAAAACGCGACGTTGCCCATAATCATCGCCGTCGTCGTCGTCGTGAATCCAAGAGATCTATTGGGAGGAAGTGAAGCTTACTTTAGCTGTAAGGCGACAAGAAGTTGTAAAACCGTGTCACAGTTCGACCTCGGTTGCTCACCGCAGAATCGGAAGGGACCATGAGATTTTTTTTCTTTTTTTTACATCGTTATATCTTTATCAACGTTATCCTCTACGTTCCTCCAGGAAAGCGCAAAACGTGTTCTACTCGCAGCGATTCTCCGTTCTCTCTTCATGTCTAGATCCGTGATTGAGACGACACTCAACTACAAGGAACAACAACGGCGGATTCGAACTCTAGGAAGGGAACATACGCGGGAACAAGGCCTCGAGTTGCTTCGTCCGAAGCAGCGGCCCTTCCGATTGCGCGGGATATCGCGTTTAGAAAAGTAGGCTGCTTGTCCTTCGGTAAAGAGAATCACCCTCGACGGCGCCTCGTGTGTCTCCGTACTGCGGAAAAACTGTGACTATCGTGTGTGTACTAGCCGTAGTTTTAGAAGCCTCATCATGCGTACCAGAGCCGTATTAAAAAATATTTAGATTCGCCGGATGTAAGGATCAGCGCGGATCGTGGCCGGTGGTGGCGTCGTGCGCGAGAACGGTTCGGCGGGTAGAGCTGTCCGACGACGTCTTTTCTTCTCTCACGTCGAAGGAGGAAAAAGACGGGCGCACAGGGAGGTAGTCTTGCGTAAACGCCAGCTTGAAACGTCAAGAAGTAACACGAGGACGCTCGGAATCGTCGGGTAGCCGGTAGCCTCGAATTGAGCCGAAAGGTAAAGACCGACTCGGGACCCTGACAGTTTTCCGCGACACATTCGACAAGCCTCAGGATCCCCCGTTCCTTCGCGAGAATTGGATAAGCACGAGCCACGGCTAATCGCGATTTCGGGATCCGGAGGTCTTTCTTCGTGCTTTCATCGATAAAACGAAGACCGACGTCAGACAGCTCTGGCTAAAGATTATGTAACTTTTTTCTGAGGGCGGGAACGCGCAGGGTGGACTTTAGGGCGGTCGTGTAGCTCTTCGAACAATGGGAACATTTCGCGTTTCCGCTCTTAGGGAAAAGTCACACGGTCCGTGGGTCGATCGTAAATCTTCTCCCGAGGGTCGATCATGAATCTTCTCTTTTAGCATAAACTCCCGAGAAGTAAAAATGCTCCGACTTGAGAGCATTTGGAAACGTACCACTTATCACGAGTTCACACCAGGAAGGCGATCATGAATCTTTTTCCCCAGTGTGAACTCATGAAAAGTGAACGTTTCCAGATGCTTCCAAATTCGAAAATTTTCGCGGATTCACGCTAGAGGAGAGATTCATAATTGACTCTCGGAGGAAAGCTTCACGATTGTACCACTGATCTAATATTTAAACCGTTCTCAATGTTGGATTGTGCGTCATGTCGCCGGTCGGTCCTCCTCTTGCTCGACGAGCAACGGCACGCCCGCCTGCGGCTGATCCGCGTTATTGTTCTCGTTCTCGTCCTGCTCGGCGAGCAGCGGCACCGCCTGTTGATTGTTGTTGTCCGTTTCCGACGGTCTCCTGCTCTGCCCCGGCAGGAACGACATCGGTATCGTTCCCGAGGGCGTCGTCGGCGCCGAGCGCGACAACCACCGCTTCGGTTTGTTGCGCGAATTCGGCAGGCCCAGCGGCATGTACAGTTTGCCCCGGGTCCTCCGCACCCTGTATGAGCCGATATCACCGGGGCTCAGAGGCCGTTGTTGCGTGCAACCGTCGCTGCTCGTCACGTACAAGACCGGAGCATTGTTTGCTTGTTGCTGCTGCTGCTGCTGTTGCTGGCAAGGCAAGGCGGTGGAGGAGGTGGTGCTACTGGTGCTAATAGTGTGTCCGTTAGACAGGTGCGGAAGCTGCTGTATCTTGTCCAACAATTCTCGTAACTGGAGAAAGGACAGGGATAAACATAATATTTAATTATATATAAAGTATAATTAATTAGTCCTATTATTAAAGTCTCAATACTGTTTGATCCTTTGATTTTCATGATTATCGATTGACTCATCCGAGAGATAAGACAACTGCACAGTTAAAATGTTTATTTTCAAGGTCGCAGCAACATACCTCTATCGTCGGGCTGGTAGCCCTCGGCGGGGAGCAAGGCGATTGAGCAGCTAAGCTTGATATGTCAGAGGTTGTCCTGTGATTTGTCAAGGAGACGACCGAGCCGACGTCGCCGGCCTCTCTGCGCTCGCACTCCGCCGCAGAGAGCTCGTCGACGCTGTTGTTGCAAGAGTACGGCGGCGGAATGATGGTGTTCGCCTCGTTCACCATGTTGCACATGAAGCTGGAGCTCAGCGAGTCCAGCGTGCTCGCGTGGGAGAGCGATCTGAAATAGCGCATCACGAAGCCGGAGGTCCCCTTGCCCGTAGTCTCGTCGAAGCCGATCACCAGCGGATAAAGGTCTGGTTTCGCGGTGACCTGGGTAGAGAAAGGAAGGTGACGATGATTTCTGATGTGTCCTCCTGTCTCTCCGATAAATCCCTTCGATTTCTCTCGATCGTTACCTCATTGTAAGGCGGTGGTAAGGCCTGAACGAAGGAACTACATCGGCTATAGTGAGGAGGCGGATACCACGGGCCCGTGGAGGTTCTCTCCGAGGACACGCAGTCCTCCGACAGCATTGAACGTCGACGCTTCCATAGCCAGAAGCCGCACGCCGCGGCTATGGCCAAGGCTGTGAGCACCGCCGCCCTGAAAGCCGAAACACTTCGTTGCTCTACGTTGCCCGAAATAATATTTACTTCTTCCGAATAAAATATTTTCCAAGCGAATTATCCATACGAAATACTTATTTGATTCAAGTAAAATTTACCTGATCGAAGTAAATATTCGTTAAGGAGTATTGAAATAATGATTTACTTGAATCTAGCACTTTTTTCTGTGCAGGATTTTGTCCCTTCGATTCTTTAGAATCTTCGAGTCCACTTATACTTCATATGCGTAACATTTTCTTTTCTGACTCTATTATTACGTAATGATACGACTTGAGATGCACTAACCACAAATACCAGTAAGTCCAAATCAAGAAATTGAACATCTCTGAGACATGGGGATGCACCGGCGTGAAGACACTGTAACAACAGCTGTGAGAACAGCACTCTTTCGGAGGAGAGCAGCTGAAAGGTAAGAAAGGTGCGTCTTTTTAATTAATCGTCTTGCTTCCTCGTTTCGTATTTAACGGTTCTGTACTCTCATTTAAATAATGTGTACATAAAATGAGGAACTTACACGTGTCCTCCATCGCACAGCCTAGAAGACACCTTAAAAGATAAAATCCTTAAGTAGGATGAAAAATTAGATATTGCTTTCATAATAATAAAGATACATAGTAAATCCATTGTAGCTTAATTAAGTCGAAAAATATAGTGACCGAATTGAATATTGTTCGATTAAATGACTCTTACTCGATTTATATATTGGGTATGGGAATAAGTTTCCACCCTTTCTTAATGAAAAAGAGATATTTATTTAAACAAGACAATACAAAGTGAGTTCATTCAAAGTATGTTCCATCGGAAGCGACAACTTTCTCCCATCTTTTAGATAATAAACGGATTTCTCGAAGGAAGAAATCTTGTTCTTTTGACGCGATCTATATATATATATAAACGACAAATATATATACGTAATATATAATATATAAACGTAAAATATAAATCAGCACTCCGATCTAAGGGGATAGAGAATGCTCTTCAGAATACAAAAACATCGAAACGGTAGAGTTAAAAAATTATGAAACGAAAAAAATAAAGAAAAAAAATTTCTCTGAATTTTTATATCAATAATTTTGTATCAATTCTCTTTTTCTTTTGTCCCAAGGAATTAATAACGACAATACCCTGATGGGAATATTTTACTGGAAATATAACGAAAATCTGTTGAAATGCATTTGAAAATCTCAATTGACTCCATTTCATCCATATTTCAGTAAAAAATTATATCGATATTTCGACAATCTTCCTCGAGAAGGTCATGCAGTTTCCAATTAATATATTTGGTAAATTTTATATCCAATATTTACAACTTTTCTATTACTTTCCAATTTCACAGTATTGCATTGCATTTCATACGGAAAATTATGGTTAATTTTCATACATATGCTTAGTAATTTTTCGATAACATTCAATTCACTCTCCCTCAACCTCACGGTATCAGCTTTCGGCAAAATATTTCCACTAGGGTAGCTTAATGATTCCTCTCGGGCACGACGACGTTCACTCGAAGGACGCGGTTCTTGCGGCAGCTCCCGTGTCGGCGGCGAGTCTGCCGGAGTCGCGAAACGCTTCACGGCCAGCGTGTGACCCGACCAAGGCCGCCGCAACGTGATGACACGACGACGGCTGTCAGGTGAGTTATAAACGATCCCTCTACTCTAAGACGCGAGATAAGACGCTCCGTAACGAAGATTTTTACCGTTCTCGTGTCCGAGAAATCGCGTCCCGCACTATCGGGGCCATTATCTTCCCGCAGGACCTGCATGCGCTCGGCGTCGGCCGTCGTGGAGTTCGCGAGTGGATCACTTATTATCAGAACCATTTTCTCAATTTCGAGATACTCCCAGTAAGCGGAACACTGGCCGACGTAGTTACGGTGGAGCACGGGGGTAAGACTTACGCATGAACGGCGAGCACGGCGGCGGCGGGCGCGTATTGATCGCGAGCGGACATAAGGGCAGACACGGATAAGGGTAGAAGCGGAACGTGTTCTCTCACTCTCGCGGGAGACGCGTCTCTCCCCGTAGGGGATAATAATACTACACCGACAAAGCGGGTGAGCGGCTACACCGCGTTCTTCCCTTTCGTCGTCGTTCTTACTTGATCGACCAGCAGCAGCAGCGTTAACGTCAGCGTGCCCGCCACCACGAGCGGCGGTGCATCGTACGCGCGGCCCTTAGCAGCTTGCACCACCATAATTCTCTCACCAGCACCAGCGACGAGCGCCGCCGACGACGACGAATGTGCACGCCGTCGTCCCTGCGCCGCTCCGTGCCACCCTCTCCGTTTTCATACGCGCGCACGACGGCACTCGTGTCCAAGAGTATTTCTCTCTCTCTCTCTTTCTCGCCACCTTCGCCTTCTCACCCTCCTAGTGCGCAGCCCCTGCGCCCTCCACAGCCACGAGGCCATGCGCGCCGAGAGGGTTGCCTCGATACAGGCGCGCGCTTCCTCGCGTTGCGCGACACGTGGAAGGGCACACACGTCACACGGCGGTGTTATTTTGGTAGTGCGGTATTTCCGATAACGCTGAGTCGAGCGTTATTAATAAGTCAGTGTAAAGAATATCATCGAGAACGTCCCACGCGGGATATCCGCCAGAGTAATTAATTTTTAATTATACGCGTTTTCGAGAGTTCGTTGTCGCGTACGTTGTTGCGTTGACAAAATTCCGAGAGGTTATGATGCGGTACGGTTAGGCGCGTTATTACTCATTGAACGCCAATTTTTCATTTATACGATCGTCGGCGTGTGTCGACTCGAATCGTATAAATGGAAAGCACCGAGTCCTGCTCATCTTTCAGCAAAAACTGAGCCGATCAAGATCTCGTGTCACCGGTACGAGAACATTAATTAAACGGAGAGCGGAGAGACTTTTGCTGAGTGAAAAAAAACATCTGCTTTTTAATATCGTAATGCGTGATTATCATATTATATATTGGTAAATTTTTGATTCACAACGACTTTGCTCGTGACACGTTGATTACGTCTCAAGCAAAGCTTCACACCTGTTATCTGATGATTCAAATACAGGTTAGGTTAGGTTAGGCGCGAAATAAGGAGAAAAGGCAATTCCTGCGGAATTATTTCTGTACAACTTAGGGAAAGAGACCGTATTAACATTTGCACTGTCATTCCCACAGACAAAATGTCAACAGAGAAGAAAGAGGAAGACCTGAAGGCAACGATCGCCGAATTGCGTGCAGCATTGCGCGCGAAGGAGGCCGAGCTGGCCGATTTGCGGCGCGAGAAGCAAGTCGTGCAGGAGTACGGCTTGAGCAATGACGAGATCCTCAGATACAGCCGACAGCTCTTCCTGCGGGAAATCAATGTGCGAGGTACGTTGCTTTTGTATGATATTTTCCTTGTAGAATATAGGAAGGCAAGTCGGTCGTTCCTGACAATTGTCTTGTGTAATCTTAGGCCAGAAGAGGATAAAGGACAGTTCTGTACTTGTTGTGGGAGTCGGTGGTCTCGGTTGTCCCGCTACTTTGTACTTAGCATGCAGTGGAGTTGGTCACATTGGCATGGTAGATTATGATAATATTGAGTTAAACAATCTTCATAGACAAGTATTGTTTGCGGAATCTAACATCGGTACTGCCAAAGTAACAGCAGCGGCAGAAACCATTAATCGGTATAATAACATTCAGTAAACAAAAAATCATTAACACAACGTTATTACAATGATATTTTACAATATGTAATGTTTTCACATATGTAGCTTCTTCTGTTGTATAAACGTAATTGTTAACAATATTTGACTCAAACATTTTAAAACTAATTTTTATACTATAATTTTAATATTTCGGAATATTACGTTATCAAATAACAGTTTAAAAACATTTCTAAGATATTATGTCAGAATGTTTATTAAATTCACATCAAATCAGCGTTTTGAAAGATTGATTTAACGTTTCTTGCTTACTGGGTAACAGTTTGCTCTTCTACTTTTGTCACTTACAAATTGTCATTTGATATTTTACTTATTTTACATATAATTGTAATAATTATGTGTATAGTACATTTTACATGTAGTTATAATAATTACGCTTGTCGTTTTACTTATATGTAATGTTTCGTTCTCAGGCTGAATAGCAATGTTAAGGTCACTCCATATAAAGTCCAGCTGGACAGCAAGAATGCTCTGGACATCATAAAGGATTATGACATTGTGTTGGATGCCACGGATAACGTAGCTACGCGTTACTTACTGAACGACGCTTGTGTCTTGAGCGGGAAGCCGCTGGTTTCCGGGTCGGCGCTGAGGTTCGAGGGGCACTTGACGGTGTTTAATTACAACGGCCCTTGCTACAGGTGCATATTTTCCGAGCCTCCACCGCCAGAAACTGTGACCAACTGTGGAGATGGAGGCATTCTCGGTCCAGGTAAGAGCAACCTGTGCATTTCGCAGTTATTACAATTTTGTGCCTTCATTTGAGGTCTTTATATCTATCTGATTTAATATTATCGCACATTCCACAGCTGTGGGAACAATTGGAGTATTGCAAGCACTGGAGGCGCTAAAAATCATGCTCGACCTACCGGACGTAATGTCCGGGCGAATGTTACTGTTCGACGCGATGGAAACCAAGTTCATGAACGTACGGCTGCGCCCGAAGAACCCGGACTGCGCCGTCTGCGGGGAACACCCTGCGATACGCGAGTTGATAGACTACGAACAGTTCTGTGGCGCGAAGGCGAACGACAAGGATCCCAATTTGAACTTGCTCGAGAAGGAAGAGAGGGTAACGGTCGAGGAATTCGATCGAATCGTGAAGGACGATTCGGAGCCTCGCGTGCTGATCGACGTGCGTTCACCTGAGGAATATCAGATCTGCCGTCTAGAGGACTCCATCAATATTCCATTCACGGAAATCGACAAGGACCGTAACTTGCAGCGGATAAGAGACAGCATAAAGAAGGTGCAGGAGGAGGAGCATTCAGTAAATTGTAAGGATCATACACAGTATCATGGTTCATCATAGGACATTTATTTTTGTGTGCGTGCCATACGTGGCAATAAAATTCGTCGTACGTTCTTTCTTTTCTTTTCCAGTGTATCTTCTATGTAGACGTGGCAATGACTCGCAAAGGGCTGTACGGTGTCTGAAAAAGGTATTTGCCGAAAATGCTCGAAGCATAAAGGACATCATCGGAGGCATTCACGCTTGGAGCAATAAGATCGATTCCAGTTTTCCAAAATATTAAATAGAAATAGACAGAAGATAAGAGACTCGATACAATTGCATCTTGTGATACAAGGAAACGCCGCTTTCCGAAGAATTCCGAAGAATCCGACACATTTTGGAATTATATATACACACATTCATATCACGTTTAAAGGTGTATTACATTAGTCCGTAAGTTCCTTCCTTTCTCTCTCTCTTTCTCTCCACATCTATCGTTCCCAAAAATAAACATATATTCACATTCTACATATTCTATTTGCAGACGTTGCACATTTAAATCGAGTATTTTCCTATTTCTTCCGCAGTCAGACTAGTTTCCGGGTGCTTGTAATGAGAATCCGGTAAGCTTCTCAATTTCGCTGCCGCTTGCTCCGGCGTCAGATCTCTCTGGGCTTGGGCCAGAAGCTCATAGCCGACCATGTGCTTCTTTATGGTAGCGGATCGCAGCAAAGGCGGCAGATATATTCCGTGGAGGGTCCAGTACGGATAATCGCTGTTGAGATGCGGACCAGTTGGTGCGCCTACAATCGTGGAACCCATTTGTAACAGAGATACGATAACGTGAACTACGTGAAACGTAGCACGCGACAGCGTGGCTGAATATAATTATCGTTTACCGTGCCATCCCATCGAATACGGGAAAGAGCACTGAAAGAGATTGTCGTATTTGGTGCACAGTCTCTTCATGATGACCGACAGAGATTCCTGCTGGCTGTCCGACAAGTCCTGCATCCTGACGACCTGTTTCTTCGGCAGCACCATGGTTTCGTACGGCCAAACCGCCCAGAACGGCACCACGACTATCCAGTCGCGATTTTCGATCACGACGCGATCCTGCAAGTTGTTCAAGCCATACAGACAAACGAAGGCCAGCGAACAAACTGAACGCAGAGAGAACGCAAAGCGTTGCCATTTCCCAGGCTAACGGGGAAATAACGTTTCATCTACCGCCGTAAACCCCCACACCTTCTTCAAGATTTCCTTCTGCACGTAGTCGATGAGAAGAGGCTTCCTGTTGCGCCTGTAGTAATCACTGAGATATCCGTCTTTGATTCTAGCTTCATTCGGCAAAAACGAGCTGGCCCATATCTGACAGTGGGGATGGGCGTTGCTGCAGCCCATCAGAGCGCCTCTGTTCTCGAATATCTGCACCCAGAGCCACTTCTCGCCCAGCTCCAGCATCTCGAAGATCCACCTGTCGCATTCGGCAATGTATTCCATTCCCCGAAGAGTGCGAACACTCGACACGAGACCGCGCACTCCAGCTGGTTACTAACCGTTTCACCACCTCCTTGATCTCGCGAACCTTCATCAGAGCTAGCGTCACGTTCGACTTTGGATGAAAGCACATGACCTTGCAGATGCCTTTGGCGGAGCCCATCTGAAACAGCTCGTCGTCCGCCTCCGGCGGATCCGGCACCGATTTCAGCAAAGCTGGGAAATCGTTGACGAACGAGTACGTGTTCTGGTATATCGGGGTCACCTGTGACACAGGGATTAGTGATCACAAATAGTGGAATTGTCATGGGAGTGATCAAGCAAAGCTTCATTCGCATTCATCGCGTGCGCAAGTTAAACGCGATTCAACCGACTTCTCCACTGGCTCTGACGTTCCCTGGACAGAGTGGATTGTCAGGATTGTAATCGGGCAGCTCCTCGTCGCTGCTGGCTTCAATCTGGCCTCCCCAAGGTCGTTTCATACGGTGAGGCGACACCAGCACCCATTCTCCTCTCAACGGATTGTACCTTATGTGTTGATGTTCTGTGAAATTGCACGTAAGTGCGATATTTCGATGATGTAGCAAGTAAGTAAATTGGAAACGGGGGTAGGACTGAAATATATTTTGATATGTATCCTCTAACCAGCTGGATCGAATTCTGGTGAAGAACTGCTTGTCCTCTTGCCTGTTCCATGATTGGACTGGTCCTGCGATCCGTCACCTATTGAAAGTCCATAAATAATTTATAAATTGTTGTAGAAGGTAGATTTTCAAGGAACTTATCAGGTTTACACGTCACTGCGCATTGGTATTGCAAAGTTATGTAACGTAAATTAGAACCTGTTTATCTCGACACAACATTGTGTGAGTTGCATTACATAATTTTTTTGCTCTTCCTCTCATGAGATAATGTACGTACGTTTAAACCGGGTGAGAGGTACGAGTATATTATTACAACGTTAATTTTCTCTCACATATAAGCCACATCGTCATGTTACATGTGTAAGTAAGTATATAGAAAGTGTATTTATTCTTTCAAGAAAAGGGAAAATCATGAAGAAATGTTACATCTTATATTGCACAGCTATTAAAATTCCAATCGAAGTGCTCAGTGACGCTGAGTGTTGTAGGTCTAATACTAATGTTGTTAATCGCGCCTACCTTTGTTCGACATTTGCGCGTGACGGCTGCGAACAACTGCTTCAACGTCACTTCAGAACAATTCTACGATAACTGATAATCAACGGAGCGTGCGAGGTCTCTTCCTTTCAGTTCACGTGCACCGTATTTTTGTGCAGATAAAGAGCGTATGTAACCTTACGTCGGTCGGGCGGATAAAAATCGAAGCGGTTACGAAAGCGAAGTACTGTAACAATACCATCTATAAAACCAGTGATTCACAATTTACGCAACTGTTCGTTTTAACGATAGATCTATAAGGGGCTTCAGTTTTTAATGTTTCTTTAAAAATACAAAAACTTTTGTCATTTTCAGGTTATGAACCGTGACGAGGAAGAATCTCTTTCAAATTCTATTTCTGAAGAAGACAAATAAATAAATGTTATTTTTCATAATATTTCAGATTGATTTCGTTTTAACAGGATTTTAATCAATGCTTAGCCACAGAAGTATATAATATCGAAAATTGAAAAGTTGTAATATGTAATGTCATTTTTCTCAAAAGAAGATCGGTTTCTCATTAGTTCAAGAATTTGTTATTAAAGTTAAGTTCGTGAACTGCGAGACTCCCTGTGCACAAATTGCAACATATATAAGTTGCAACAGGAAACCAACAATGAGAACAATTGAATGTAAATATGAACCGTTTTCGTGGACACACATCATTCATTGACTAACATTTCACTTAAGTATACTGTTTTTATTAAATATTAACATATATTAAATGCGTGTGTGTGCGCGCGTAACACAAGAAAATATTTTTCTAATTGTTATTAGATTTCGCGCTTTTATTTGAAAATAATGGTTTATAGTTCTTTTTTATGTGGGACGCGGCACTGCTAGGGAATTATGTTTCTGATTCGTCTCTAGTGAGCGTCTGCAGCACTTGACAGAAGCGGCAAGTGAAGAGTTACTCGTGATCGTTCTTTCTCCCTCTCTCTCTTTGTGTAATATTATTAGGAAATTATTATTGCAAAATGTAAGTATCCGTTTCCGATTTGTCGCATTAAATTTTGATTCATTCTTGACGCTAATCCACCACGATTTACCGCGTTTCAGACACAGCTTTGATGTGCACATAACCTTAATTTCTATGTTATTCTTTAATTATATGCAATTTAAACATATATACGTGATATATTAATAAACAGATTGCATGCGTTTCAGGAATCTTTATGTTACTTACGACATAACTGTTTTCGATTTAGGTCTTCTCTCACGAAACCGAAGTCTGAGATGACGCCGGAGGAGTTAGCGAAGAGAGAAGAAGAGGAATTCAACACCGGGCCTCTCTCAGTTCTCACGCAGTCCGTGAAGAACAACACACAGGTCCTGATCAATTGCAGGAACAACAAGAAGCTCTTGGGACGTGTCAAGGCATTTGACAGGCACTGCAATATGGTATTGGAAAATGTAAAAGAGATGTGGACAGAACTTCCACGCACGGGAAAAGGCAAAAAAAAGGTATTTTGTCGATATTTACATACATATTTTTAAAGAATTTAAAGCTCCTTTCAATTGGATAGTTCATAAGAATTTTAAACATATTGCTTTGATAATTGTTATTCAGATCTGTTAGTAATATTTTTTGGCTGTATTCTTATCGTTTGAAGATTATTTTCAACTTAATGGCTCAAGATATTATTCTCATTCTGTTATTGCTAGCTAAATACTAACGTCCTCAAATATTGGGTAATATTATTAATGTAGACATCTTGAACAGGCAAAACCAGTAAACAAAGACAGATTTATCCCAAAGATGTTCCTGCGTGGGGATTCCGTCATCCTGGTCTTAAGGAATCCACTAGCGACTGCGGCAGGAAAGTAATCACTTAAGGCTCTTCTATATCGAATAAATTAAGGATAACTTTAAAGCGCTATGAGACTAAGGTTATATTGATAATTAACGCTATGCTTGAAATAAAGATTTTAAGTACAATCGCGGGAGCGTGTTATTTATTAACGCGTTGTGTCCTCTTCACTCATGTATATCCTTTACATCAATATGCGTAACATCTTAAATATTAAGTAGAAAAATGTGTTAAGCAGAACGTTTTGTGATTTATTGCGAACTGTATACAAGATTATCAATCCTTCTCCGCGATCGCGGTTAAATGCTTATCTATCTCTTGCTCGGTCAGGACACTGCAATAGAGAAATCCTTCGATGAAAAAAACTTCGACGTAAATACATAATATCGATATATGTAAGGATACAATAGGTGTAGGTAGTAAACTTTAAGCTATAAGAAAGTGACTAATCACAATCGAATTATAAAAGAATGATCAATTGTGATTGGTCAATCTTTTAAGGCTTGAAATACTCGTTGACTTAGCCTTAATCCTTAAGAAGTTGACCAATCATAGCCGAATGTGAGAAGAATAGTTGAAGAATAGTCGATTATGAATGGTCAATTTCTTACGGTTTACTGCCCCCATTATGGACACAGTTCAAGAGAAGCATTAAAAGGATTAAAGTTGTGTGTAAATTACCGGAATTTAGGGTTATCCTTGGCTACTACTCCAACCTCGATCTCGGTCGGTTTAAAATCTACGGACAAGACGGTAGATAGGCAAGTGATTGCCAATTGTATGGTTTCGTCAAAATCGTAATTCTGCTTCTTCTTCAACTTCTTCTCAAGGTAGGAATTCGCCTCCGTTTGTTTCGCGCCCACGGAGATAGCTCTGTAGCCACAGAAGTATCCGGCTGGATCGGCCTTGTAGATACACGGGCCCTTCTCTTTGTCGTACGCAATGAGCATCATGGAGCATCCTAGCGGCCGCATCTCCGCGTTCTGTGTGTACACCTGACTGATGTCGGCGACGCGCTGGCACAAGGCGTCCACAGGTATCTCATAGCCGTACTTGTACTTGAAGTGAGCAGCTTCATAGCGAGCACGTTGAACTTGGGATCTACTATCGGCTGTGGAATTGAGAAATTGAAACATTCGGAGAATAGAAGTTGAGAAGCAAAGTGTACTCAGATATACAGGTTTAATATGTAAACTTTAATATATATATATATTAATATAATTTAATATATAATTGTGAAATATGCAAACTCACCTATCATACCCGTCATAACGCAACCGATATATTCGGTCAGGGGAAACACATGAGTGACGCTGGATGCATCGAGTAACTTGTCCTAGAAGTCAGAATCACGTTACAATGTACTCCTCTACATAAAAACACACACAACATAAATAATATTATTTAGCCCATTCTTTTATGCTAAATGGGCTACACTAATTCAAGAAAATTATGCACATCGAAGCATAAAAGTCTTGTATGTGTTCATATGCTACGGTATATATATAAATTCCTCAAACTAGTGCAGCCAGTTCAGCTGAAAAGAACAAGCCAACTCAGAATCGACAGAGCACACTGAGAACGTCGGTCATGAAGAAATTCCAATGGAACATGAAGTGGAGGTCTCCTTTGGAGGTTATCTTACTGGCACTTTCTTCTGTGTCGCGAAGACCGCAGTATCGACACCCTTGACGGCCACGGACGTGAGGCCACCCTGGTTGATGGCCTTGAAGGCATATTCTGCAGAAAAATTTCGGAGAATGACAGTGTTTATAAGCTCGAAGGTGGAAGACGCCGAGTCATCGACGTATACGAACAAACGAGAAAACGGTAGATCCGGACGAGTGACCGCACGAATAACATAAACGTCGTTGGCGACGTCGCGTCGGGTATCCCTGCGATCCTTACCCACTTGGTAGAGCCGGCCCTCCGGCGAAAAGATCGTGATGTGCCTGTCGAAGCCAGCACTGCTGCCGCGCGCCATGTTTGTCGATACGCGAATCTGCAATCACGCTGTCGAGCTAACGTGAAAACGTCAAATCATGTAAAGGAAGAGAGAACCGAGTGCAGTTCAAACTACACTCGCATGCACTTTTCGCGTTTCTGACAAGACAACCGTAAATCACCGTGTTCGAGGGAGAAAGAAATAGTCGAGCAATCAGAAAGCGATGGCGAGTAAAATAAATAGGTCGATATTCGCAACGTTTGTCTCTTTCTTTGAAGTAAACTGCACTTTATGCACTTAAGTGTACTACATTTGAATGAAAGAATCGCAGAGATGTAGGAGGTGTAACCGAAAGAATAGGTTCGAGAAATTGCAGCGAGAGCAAGAGAAAAAGTCGGAGATTCAGTAACATACGACAACTCCGGTAATCTCCTTGATAATTGTAGGATAAATCACGAAAGAATCGACCGAGTTTGACAGTGACCTCTGTGACGACACAGGCGATTGGCTCGTCCATAGTACCCTACGTGGTATTCGTCGGGATAAAAGTTTCTTGTCTCTCATAGGTCGACGTACAATGCAACTGAATTTAAGTTCAAATAAAGGAATCGGTTTCTGTTAACTGCCACCCGGCCAAGTCTTGGGAAGAAAGGAAGCCGTCTCTGGCCGTCCTGCTGGTTCTACCCGCATCTCTGCTTTCCATTTGAGAACAGCTGGTTAATCTTTCGCGAGAAAACTTATCGGTTCGTAGAACGAACAGACATGTCACTGACGCGCGAGCATTAGGTAATTGTACGATAAATAGTTAATACGTAAAGGATTTACTTGTGTTGAGACTGTGTGTGCTGCGACTGGAACTGAATTTATTATTGTGAACTACGAGGTTTGTTTTTATATTAGTTTGTTTTCTATTATTTTATCAAATTTCTTTCTCCTCTCTCTCTATTTCTCTCTCTCTCTCTCTCTCTCTCTCTCTCTCTATATATATATATGTATGTATTTGTTTATTTATTTATTTATTTATTTATTTATTTATTTATTTATTTATCCTCCAATTAACCTGAAGCTCTATTTCTATGCAAAAATTGAACATTCAAGAACATTCAAGACCTTGGATAGCATAGTAAGAATATTTTCTTATGATTCTTTAATATGATTTTTTTCTCTTTTGCGTGAGATAATATTGTTAATATTTGATGCATGTGTCGAGTGTGCGATGTAAACTTTATGTAAATTAGTTGACGATGTTGGTAAACAGAGCTATTTAGAATATAGTATATAAAGTTTTAATTAGCAGTTGCTTCATTGAGTGACAGTATAAGTTGTATGTATATTCATATGCTGTTACGTTATACACATTGAGTGAATTCTCCACAGCATAAAATTTGTATTCTCCTTAACAGATGGAATCTCGTTTACCAAAACCAAAAATTATATTGAAAAAGACCATTAGTAGTACAACGGATATGAATAGTAATAATAATAATAACAATAAGCAACAGGTAGCTAAGAGTGGAGAGAATGCTATGAGATCAACAAGTACAAAAACTACGAATGAAAACAAAGCGTTAGTCAAGCCACTTCTAGTCCGTTCAAAGACATTCTCCACGATTACACAGGCTAGCAGTTCAAAACCTGTTAAGAGAACAGCTACCACTGCGGTTGCCAATGTAACTGAAGCCAAGAGACCGTTTGTTAAACCTAAGGCATTGGCGAATAGACCCAATGCACTGACTAGTAATGCGACGAGCAAGGTGGCTCAGAATGACACCGGCAAGATACAAAAATGGGACTTGCGGGGTCGTTTGGCACAGGCGAGCGATAAGCTGTCGGTTGTACAACAGAAGAACAAGGATATAGAGACAAAGTACAATGAGCTCCAAGGATTGACGGCTACTCTGAAAGCCAGTGAAGCCGCACATAAAGTTAAGGCCGAGAATCTTGAGGTGTCCAACAAAGCGTTGAGCAGTGAACTCGAAACTCTGAAAGTAGAAATGTCGACGATGCAACAGCAGCAGGAGGATTTAATGAAACGTTTGAAGGAATCGGAAGAATCGTGCGCGATTGCCTCTCAAACACTGAGGGAACTTCAAAAGGAGCACATCACGCAAGGAGTATTGCTCGCCGAGCAGAGTGGGCAATTGATAACGCTGAAGGCTGTCTTAGAGTCACAGAAGAAGATAAACGAGGATTTGAGCACTGCGAAGGATGAGTTGCAGAATTTGACGCACAAGATGGATAAGGAACGTAGATTACTGCATAACAATATACAAGAGTTGAAGGGCAACATCAGAGTCTTCTGTCGAGTTCGCCCGAGAACTTCCAAAGAAATCGAACTGATGAAAACGTAAGTAAATCTCCCAGAGTATTAAATAAGTATTAAATTAGTTTCTCCCAAGCTTGATCTGCAGATCTGGACGAAGTTGTCTGTTTTGTTCACAGAACGTGTAGCATAAATTTCCTGGACGATTGCACAGTTGAGATAGGCAAACTGGATGGCTCAGACACGACGAGCTATAATGGGAAGCAACGGTGTACTAAACAAGAATTCTCCTTCGATAAAGTATTCGCACCTAACGCTTCGCAAGCGGATATATTCGAGGAGTTGTCCCTTCTTGTTCAATCCGCACTCGAGGGATATAACGTTTGCGTATTTGCTTACGGTCAAACTGGTTCTGGCAAGACATACACTATGGAAGGAGATTGTGGCTTGGAAACTGAAGGGATGATACCCAGAACAGTGAGTCGTCGCATATTTACGATCGCACTATTAGATATTGATAGAGATTTTTCGATGTAAGCAACGTAAAACATCCTGCCTTTTTATATTTTTGTAATTTTTAGGAGAAATTTATTGTGTTGAGTTGATGATTTCAGGTACGACATATATTCAAAGAGATGAAGCAGTTTGAGCTCCTCGGCTGGCAATATCGGATAGAGGCGAGCTTCCTGGAGATTTACAATGAGCACATCGTCGATCTGCTCGATTCTCAACCGAAGAGTCACGAGATACGAATGGTCGACAGTAAAGGGCAGGATTTATACGTTAGTAATCTTCAAATAGAAGAGATCAACAACCCGGACAAGTTGCACGAATGTCTTCGAACTGCACAACGCAATCGAGCTGTTGCGGCTACCCAATCGAACGAACGGTAAGCGTACCTTATTTTCATGTGAGAAAGCGATAGTAATAGTTAAGTAATGCAGATTTTACTTATCAATATACTTGAAAACTGCGCTACTTAATCTCATTGTTATTTATTTATAATGGCTCTTCTTTTATAGATCATCCAGGTCACACTCGGTTACACGAATACGATTAATCGGCACGCACACCACCAAGCAGGAAGTGTCGGTGGGAAATTTGAATCTGGTTGATTTAGCCGGATCCGAGCGTTTAAAAAGTGAAGAGGTTGTCAGGACCACGGAAACGAAGAATATCAACAAGTCGCTGGCGAATCTTGGTAATGTCATATTGGCACTCTTGAAGAAACAGGAGCACGTTCCTTATAGAAACTCCAAACTGACCCATCTACTCATGCCTTCCCTGGGAGGCAATTCGAAGACTCTGATGTTGCTTAATATATCGCCGATAGATGAATGCTACAACGAGACGTTAAATTCGTTGAGATTCGCCAGCAGTGTCAACAGCTGTAAGACTGGTAATGTTAAGAGGAGTCGAATGCTCTTAAATAATAATACGAGTATTTAAAACGGAAGGACAGTTTCTAGCTCCGGTAAGAGTATTCAGGAGCTTGCATTTTACGTAATATCCGATTTTTTTATTATTCTGATCGTATTTTATCATTTTTATCCGCGTGTGATGGATATTTTTCTACAATTGTTATTGCAATGCCAATGTAAATAATTTGAAGAAAATATATTATTCTTAGATGGCCAAAGCAACACGGGTATATTCCTTCGTTTTTTATTTATATGCTAGAGCGCCTTTTATTACGTTAATATTGGTACAATAGATTTAAGTAAGAAAAGATATTTTTCTTACTTCTGAGTTCTATTTGCCTATATATCCAGGGCGACCTGGCCTCTCTCATATGCCTCTGCGCGCACGCTGATTATACACAGGCATATGGGACCTACAGTTTAATGCCGGTTCCGAACGGCAAATTTATTTCAGAGCTTTTTTTTGGCAAGGATATCTTAAAAATTCTCTGTGGTTTGCCATTGCCTTTCGAGCGTAAAATTTTAGCTTTTATACCGGGATCGAACCCGGGACCACCAGCGTAGTAGACCAGTACGCTGCCTGTTATGCCACGCTCGCGCTCCATCAGAAAAGATATAACGAATAAAAATGTATAAATAATATAAACTTACAGTCCATCATATAAAATTACCTTCGAAGAGAAAGGTGTGTTCCCTTTCTCTCTCAGCTTGAAACCAACGCAAATGTCTATCTAATCAGCATTTAAGTCGAGCCATCTGATGCTTCAGATCGACTTATTAATTTTTACTACGACCTCGAGTCTTTCCGTCAAGAGATCGATGGTAGAGACTTTGAAAACAATTTTCCACTCGCCCGAGACTCGAACCCATCGAGAAGCACGAGCTTCCCGGCGGCACCGTTCGATGGCGCCGATTAATCCACCAGTCATCGCACGTGAGCGCGGGATGGCGCCACGGAGGCGTTCATAATCGCGTATCAACGGGCAAGCGGATCGGCTGTGCCGGAGTGTGGTTGACAAAGTCGGGGCGAGCGCGTCACCGAGCAGCGATCCGTCACGGTCCGTCAGCGTTGTGCCGCGCCGTATGACAGGCAGGCTGGTCACGTTTCCGTAGAGCGTCCGAGTGGTTGCCGCGCGGAAGGGAAAGCGAGCGAGCGAGACAGAGAGAAAGAGAGAGAGACACACAACAGCCGCCGCAACAATGGCGATGGGCAAGGGTTTTCGCATCTACGAGAAACTAGACTCGCCCAAGCCGCACTCGCTCATCCTCGAGCAGCGGAATCGCAAGGAGACGCTGCTCTTCGAGTCCCAGGCGGTCGCTGTTCTCTGTAAGTGCCCCGTATCTCGCCGCACCTCGGCCGAGTATCGCCGGCGACGCCGTTCTCGCGGATCTGCCCGCTGTAACTGCACTCACGTGCACTCTCCGCGTTTAAAGAGCGAGACAGTCGTTCGGGAAGCAGGAGGACCGAGAATGACATCTGAAAGAGGCCGACTTGACAGCTCGGCATTGTTTTGCCGGGACACGAATCCGGGCTCTTTCCCACACTCCGCTGTCTCTACGCTTATCTCCGCGTTAGCGCGATGTATGGTTTCTCTGATGAAAGTTCGCGATAATAATTCAAATAGAGTGACGAGAGAGAGAGAGAGAGAGGGAGACGATCTCGAGGAATTTTTCGAGCGAACGCACCGTGTCGGAAATCAGTTTCTCTCGGAGATAATCAGGTAGTTTCTCTGAAAAAAAAGTGGAGAAGACTGTGGTATTTGTCGAAGGAATTGGGAGCGTCATGAGCCAAGCTGAGATAATGCCGTATCTCTAAGATCTCTCCTTAGTGCTCTGTGAGATAATATCTCGTTAATACAGTTGTGTCTTACTTGAAGCGTTACAGAAATTTTAACATTGTAGTTGTACGTGTTTTCATATTTATAAACCGCTTAAATATCTGCAAAAATTGACCATAGTTATGCAAGAAGGGATCATTACACAAAATTATTATTTTTGAGATTTTTGTTACCGATGGATTAATTAAAAAGCAGTTTTTGTTTTTCACTAGTTGTGCTATTTTTTTCCAGTTGCGTCTTTTCATCCATTTTTTAAGGGTTAAGCTTGTCAATGAATATAAACAGAAAAAAATGGAGTATACTTGATTTCTTATACGATTGTGAAAAACCTCATCGTTATTTATACTTTCTAAATCATTTGTCAAATTTTCATCTCTTCATTTTTCTTGAAACACATTCCACGTGGACTGGATCCTTCTTGCACGACTGTGGCTAATTTTAGTTCTGCCCTTAAAACATCTTCACAAGCTGCAACAATTGTAGGCAACGGAGCATTCATAATCATTTATTTAAAATCATTTGTTTCAAGAATTGCAAAGGAAGAAGGGGACTATCGAGAGAAAAGTGGTCGCACTATATACTTTAAGAGTCGAGAATTCCAGATTCTCATTGATATATTGTTTACAGCCAGCGAAGAGCACGAGTTCCTAAAGCCGAAGTACAACAAGCTCCTGGATGCCTACGGATGCCTGGGTGTTCTACAGCTAAACGCAGGGGAGAACACCCTGCTCTACCTGGTTCTGGTCACCGGCTGCTTCTCCGTGGGAAAGATCGGCGAATCTGAGGTCTTCAGGATTACACAGTCCAGTTTCGTGCCTTTGTTTTACAATCAAGGCGCCGAGGATCGCGTGTCTGAGGTCAGGAAGGTCCTCAATTCGGGCACGTTCTATTTCTCATGGTCTGCCGGGCAGGAGTCGCTCGACATCACTCTGAGTGCTCAGAGGAGATGCAAGTCCACGACCACCGACAACAGGTTCTTCTGGTCAGTAACAATCCCGTTTGGGAGCTTTCTCGAACGATCGGAAAACCGAGCCGCAGCCGCTTTGTTGTGCAAGATAGAAGCAGAGGAGAAAAGCGTGATCTTCTCAACTGTCCCTTTGCAATTACAGGAACCGGATGCTGCACATCCATCTGCTGAGATACGGCGTGGACACGAGCCAGTGGCTGTTGAAGGCGATGTGCGGCAGCGTGGAAATCAGAACCGTCTACGTCGGGCACAGGCAGGCCCGGGCGGTGCTCATGTCCAGGTTAAGTTGCGAGCGTGCCGGCACTAGGTAAGACGAGTGTTTCAGGGAGGCATCAGGAAGAGATACGCTTGATCGCGCCGATGCGCTCGAAAATAGGCGCTTATCTCCTCGTGTGTCACGAAATATCGACATTTGATAAGAAGCGTTCTCGGCACATACGCATCGTAACACTGTCCAAACATACGACCAATATGCGATCGTTGCGACTCCTGATAAGCAAAATCCACTGACGTACACATGGCTCGGTGATAACGATTACCAGCGTCTCGTTATCGCCTGCCGTATTGTTCTTTCCGGATTGTTGCTGAATTTCTCTTGAAAATGGGATCTCTCGTGATCGCAGGTTCAACGTGAGGGGAACCAACGACGACGGGCACGTGGCGAATTTCGTGGAGACCGAACAGGTGATCTACATAGACAACGAAGTGACCTCCTACGTGCAGACGAGGGGCTCGGTGCCGTTGTTCTGGGAGCAGCCCGGCATACAGGTCGGCTCCCACAAGGTGAAGATCTCGCGCGGCTTCGAGACCTCCGCGCCGGCCTTCGACCGGCACCTGGAGATGATAAAGAAGCGCTACGGCCAACAAGTGATCGTCAATCTCCTCGGCTCGAGCCTGATCGGCAGCAAGGAAGGCGAGGCGATGTTGAGCCAGCTGTTTCAGACCCACCACAACATGTCGGAGCACAAGGACGTGCCGCACATCTTGTTCGATTACCACCAAGAGTGCCGCGGCGGTAACATGAAGAACCTGTCGAAGCTGAAGGCGAAGGTCGAGAGGTACCTGGAGTCATTCTCGTTGTTCTACGCGGTCGGCAATACGGTGATCCTCGAGCAGACCGGCACGATCCGGACCAACTGTCTGGACTGCCTGGACAGGACGAACTGCGTGCAAACGTTCTTCGCGCTCGAGCTGCTGGCCAAGCAGATGGGCCTGCTGAAGCTGATGGAGAAGCAGCAGATGGTCTCGCGCTTCGAAGAGGTCTTCCGCCAGATGTGGATCAACAATGGCAACGAAGTCAGCAAGATCTACGCGGGCACCGGCGCCATCCAGGGCAGCTCCAAGCTGATGGACGGCGCGAGGTCCGCGGCCAGGACGATACAGAACAACTTGTTGGACTCCAACAAGCAGGAGGCGATCGACGTCCTGCTCTTGGGATCGACGTTGAACACAGAACTAGCCGACAGGGCGCGTCTACTGCTGCCCTCCAACATGCTGCACGCCGCGCCGAATCTCCTGCGGGAGATGTGCAAGCGCTACAACGAGTACGTGACAACGATGAACCTTCGGGTCAGCGTCGGCACTTACAACGTCAACGGAGGGAAGCATTTCAGGAGCGTAGTTTATAAGGACGTGTCGTTGTCCGACTGGTTACTCGACGGGCCGCGCAAATCTTCCTGTGAGTATCTTCTCATTGGACTCGCAGTCGGTCACTGCGAACTTCTCTTTTTTCTTTCTTCTTATTATGTGCGTCATGAAATATGACTATATGTACACATATGAAATATCGATTTCTCTCATATTATTATGTAAAAAAAATGTTAAGGTGACGTTATCGAAAAGTGAATATTTTGTGAGATATTTCATATCTTGTACTGAAAAGTGTCAGAATAAAAAGTAAAATATCTCGGAAAGTATTCTTTATCTTAATTTTACTTTATTTCTTTATTTTTAATATTTCTTCAATATATTTGTACGCAACTTTTCTCACCTACATCATATTCACAGCCTTAGTGACTCTGGAGCATCGTGACGACGTTCCCGTAGACATATTCGCGATCGGCTTCGAGGAGATCGTCGACCTGAACGCGAGCAACATCATGGCCGCCAGTTCGGACAATGCGAAGGCTTGGGCCGAAGAGCTGCAGAAGGTGTTGTCCAAGGACAACATCGAGTACGTTCTCGTGACGTACCAGCAACTGGTCGGTGTGTGCCTCTACCTATTCATACGTCCCGAGCACGCGCCTTACCTGCGGGACGTGGCGGTGGATTGCGTGAAGACGGGATTAGGAGGTGCGACCGGTAACAAGGGTGCCGCGGCAATTAGGTGCGTGCTGTACTCCACCTCCTTCTGCTTCGTCTGCGCGCACTTCGCCGCCGGTCAGTCCCAGGTGAACGAGCGTAACGCCGATTACGCCGAGATCACGCGGAAGATCACTTTCCCGATGGGCAGGACCCTCAACACCCACGACTACGTGTTCTGGTGCGGCGACTTCAACTACAGAGTCGACATGGACAAGGACGAGATGAAGGAGCTGATCAAGCGGAACGAGCTCGATCAGATACTGCAGTACGATCAGCTGAGGGTACTGTACAATTACCTAACACTCGTATACGAAATCTGCAACATCGAAAATCATGAAAGAAATCTTGTTTCTTTGCGCTCGATGGTGCTCGAGACCCGTTTAGCAGAAAAGCGATCGGTATTCACGGATACTCATAGGCCGAGTTCGTAGTGACAGTAAGCCTGACCGAGTCTCTCTCGTACTTCAAGGTTCAGCAGGAGCAGGGTAACGTCTTCAAGAACTTCCTGGAGGGGCCCATCGCGTTCGCGCCGACGTACAAGTACGACCTGTTCTCGGACGACTACGACACCAGCGAGAAGTGCCGGCAGCCCGCGTGGACGGATCGAGTCCTGTGGAAGCGGCGGAAACAAGTACCCGACATCGGTTGGTTCAATTCTGTTCACACTCGCGCCTTCGATACCGTCTTCGGCACGGTCGTACATTCAACGATCACTATTTCTCAGACTCTCCTACAGACTGGAACCCGGGGAGGCTCCTCTATTACGGACGTGCGGAGCTGAAGCAGAGCGACCACCGGCCGGTGATCGCGACCATCGACATCGACGTGCACTGCGTCGAGCCCGAGAAGCGCGAGCGCGTGTTCAAGGAGGTGATACAGGACCTGGGGCCGCCGGACGGCACGATCATAGTCAAGGCGGTGGAGGACGTCGAGGACATGGACAGCGTGTTCGACAACAACCTGATAGCCGCGCTGATCCAGGACCTCTCTCATATAGGCGAAGCGATCCTGGTGCGTTACGTCGGCGAGACCATCTGGGTGACGTTCCGGGACGGTCAGTGCGCCCTGGCGGCCGCGAAGAAGGGCATGACGCAGGTGTGCGGCCAGACGCTGAGGCTGTCGCTCAAGTCGCCCGATTGGGTGCAGCTGATCGAGAAGGAGATCGAGATCTGCAGCAACACCACCATCGCCCAGTTCACCGCGAGCTCGCCGCTGCGCAGTCCCATGCAGCGGCTGGAGCAGCTGGAGATCGCCGAGCGCGTCTCGCCCAGCCGGAGCAGCCCGAACGACGTGATCCCGCCGCCGAGGCCGGCTCCACCGGGCCGGCCCACGCAGCCTCCGAGGAGCCCCGCTCAAGAACGGAAGCCGGGCCCCCGAGCCGGGGTCTTCAGTGTGTTCCACAACCAGTTCGCGCCGCCAACGCCGCCGTCGACGACACCGGTGCTCGCCGACCAGCCCGCCGAGGATATCCGCCAGCAGGACGGTAGCGGCCGACTGTCGCCGGACTCCGCCATCTACGAGGAGATCCCGGACGGCTCGCCCAGCTACCCCGTGCCGAACCGACCGCCGCCCCCGTTACCGCGCATGGACGGCCCGCAGGAGCCGCTGAGTCGACCCAGCCGGCCGCCCCCCAGCTCGATACCGCCCTTGTTGCCGCACCGGCAGGCCCCGCCGCCGCCGCCGCCGCATCTCCCGCCCAATCTGCCGCCGTCGAGCGTGCCGCCGCCGGTGCCGGCCAGGACAGGCGGCGGGCCGCCTATCCCGGCTAGGAATCCTCATTAAGGGCGAGGGGGACGCGACGAGAAAGAGAGAGTCCAGGGTATGTCCGAGCGCGTCACACCGGCACGTGTGATTATTTATGAAAGAGCCGAGACGAGTCTTCGCTTCCACCTTCGCCGAGTTCCGGATATACGTAGCGTAGTGAGAGAGAAAGAGAGAGAGAGAGAAAGCTCTTCTTTCTTCCTTGCCCCTCCCCCCTCTCATCCCTCCTTCTCCTTTCCCCGAATCTATTCTTCTGTGATCGACTGCTCCGAGGACGATGCTGGGCACAGCCGGAGGGTAATCTCGAGATCATTCTCGATCTCGCAACGCGATCGCAGGAACGATTTTGACTGTGTAGATTTGTATTTATACAATCCCCCTCCTGGATCTGTAAAAGCCGCGCTTTATCCCGTTCGCGGTGGCAGACCCTGTTGACCAGTTCAGAGAGAATACTAGGGACCGTTGTTGTTTCCGCCACGAATGTTCAGGCAGCCCGGGAGAGATAGTGTTGTTATTGTCATACCGACGAGATTCGATTTACGCCTGTTGACCGTGACGTACGAGGTGATATCAGGCACACTTTCCTGTTCCGGAGTGTCATGTATCCGAACGAATTCCAAAACAATTCTTCCTCCTGCAAAATGTCACACGTAGTTTGGTTTTTGAGCTATAAGGATAAATTGTTTGGCTGTTTCGGGTTGGGTATAGAAAGTAGGCAGAAGCGGCACGTATACGTTGGGCGTCTGATACGATAAGTTCTGATCGATGCATCTGATAACACTCGTACACGTATTCTTTTTTTAATTTTCTTTAATAATCGTGCATGATCGCAAATGTTTTCAATTAGTAGGATAAGATTATGATGAGATATTCGAGGATAAAAGTATTACAGCTCTTCGTTCAAGAATGCGGCATTTCAAGAACAGGAAGTTGTTCCGGATCACCTTGTATGGAGAGAGATTTACAAATGTATATTCGAGATCCGTTGAAAAAGGAAGAGAGAGAGAGGGAGAGAGAGAGAGTGAGTGTTGTAAAATTGGGTATACGGCGCGTTGATACATCGTGAGCAAGCCGATGCTCGTCGAGGAGTTCCGAACGACGAGACATCCGCGGCACAATGTTACAGTTTACCGTCACTGTGTATCTCTCCGCTTCTATTGTATATTAATTTAAGGTGTAACTCTGTCGATGTATTAGACGCGCTTTTGCGACTTAGGAATCCCTATGGACATCTTGATAGTGTAAATGTACCGAGAGAGAGAGAGGGAGAGAAAGAGAGAGAGAGAGAGAGAGAGAGAGATGAAAATGTGTAACTATGTAGCACGATACTGCACGAGGAGTAAGCACTTAAAGTCCTGACTTAATTTTACGCGTAGTGTGCGAGAGGAAAGGTGGTGGATGAGGATACAGTATGTCCTCGCGATCGCACAGTGGAGAGAAGGGACATTCAACACAGTCTTTCCTGGAATTTCTCCGATTTCCTCAACGACATGCGCTCGTCATTGATCGTCCTAAAAGAAGGCTGCTAATTTTAAACCTTAGATCATTCTATGTGATGTTTATTTTCGTTCGTCACTTCTTCTAGTTTCGATGTTCCTACTTACGTCTTACCGTCGAACTCTGCGACGTACCAGAAAAAGAACGACCGAACCGGCCTGGTATAGTCGATAATTGTTGTAAAACGAAACGTTCCCAACATTGACACGACCCACCCAAGTTTACTATTGAATTGATATCTTCGGCATAGGTAATACGTACAAGGTGGAGAAAGCTTTACCACCAGGCCGTTTTCTTCCACGCCGATTCTCTGTCCGGTGTGTCGTCGAGTTCGCTGCATCGTGCACATTCCATCGGAAGCGTCCGTCCGAGTGGTCCAACGGTTCCGTCTGAATTCCTCCTTCACGAGCCTCGTCCTTCTGTCCCCCGGGAGATTCACACAACATCATGACCCTTACATTGTACTTTCATCGGTGAACAGACACACTGGTACTTCGACTGGCATGGTGATCCGTAACACCGAAGTTACTGCTGTGTTTCCTTAAAAATGCATGAGCATCGGCCTCGCTTTACACATTCGCTGCGTCACACATGTGTGACGCACGACGTGAAATATCCGATCTATTTAACGGTTTTTTTTTGTGTGCCGGTCAGCTTCATTTCTTGAAACTGTACAAAAAAGTCAACGAAAAAGTGTCTTGCCGAATTTTTTTGCATGAAAATCCTTTAAAATCGTTCTGTCAGTACCAACAAATTTTTGTCGGTATTGTGGAAATTTGAAAAATAGAGCTGATCGGTTTTCGCACCAAATAGAACGTTGGCAGAAGCGATTCAATTTCGATTCGAGTGCGGTAGCGAACGTGTTACAGATGCATCATCATGTGGAAGACAAGCCTGTGTGTAGTCAAATGGGAGATCAGATTCTCAGTTACACGTATAATATCGTAACTCCCAAGGAAACACGGATGAGTCGCGTACAGTCGAAGTACCGATATCGTTACAGATTGTACATACTTCTCTATTTATCCCACTTTCAATTTTCCTTCATCGCCCTCAGCTCACTTGTATCACAAAAGTGGCACTAATCGCAGGAAAGTGGACGCCCATGATACACATACGTGTACATTAGTATAATATAAAAATGTCTTAGCAATGTAAGAGAGTAAGAGAGAGAGAGAGAAAGAGAGAAAAGGGAGCATAGTCCCTGGAAATACAATTACAACAGCTTCATTCTGTACCTCGATGACACGCGTTAGTCTCTGCATCTCGCTAGTTTAAATGAACCGATAATGAACCGATTCGCCTGCGAAAGATGTAAAACGCGTGTGCGTGTGTATGTATGTATGTATGTATGTATGTATGTATGTATGTATATATACATACATGTGTACCGAGTGGTCCAATAAAGAAAAAAAATCGGACGGGAACAGAGACAGCGTCAGCCTTTAAAAAAGAAATTTCGTTTATTGATCTAAGTTGTATAAAGTGTTTGATTTTTCGGCGTCTTGTACTAACCTCGTCTTTTCATCCTTTTGACAAATCGTGAAAAAAATGAGAACCGGGGGAATCCCGTTTATATCTCCTAATAATACGTGTATATCTATATATATATAAAAAAAAGAGAAAAATCAAGCTTGTACAAAAGTTGGCTTTTCCAACCGAATCCGTATAAATACATATACCGTCACAATAGAAGTACACAGAGAGCTGTGTCCCTCGTTGAAGAAAACAGAGAAAGAGAGAGAGGGAGAAAGAAAAACAGATGCGAATTTCTTTTTTTTGCAGCGCGAATGGATCATGAACAAGAGGGGCGGAAGGGTGTTTCCACCCTCAGTACATAGAGAGTCGCTTTTAGTGAATAAATTATATACAAAGAGATATTACACTAAAATTAATAGCTAACTAGCTCCTGGTTAGTAAAATTAAATACATTTAGCAAAAATGAAATAACTTTTCACTCGCACGAATTTCATCTGAATTGAAACGGATACTCGACATTTCGCTAGTCGTTTCGCCATTATTGCCATTATTTTCTTCTTTTCCACGCAATATCCGAAACGAACTCGAATCGTTCGTTTTTTTTTCTAGGAAAATAATACTTCGTTTTGAGAAATAAACTTGATTATTGCCGCGCCCTAGTACAGGTAAGCCTTCAGCCTGTTGCTCCAAGTACTAACTTTCAATGCAATTTCTAGCAAGAAGCGTTTCCAGACGTCGTAATTGCTAAGACTGAAGGGTCATTATGACTCTTGGCAGCGCGGGAAACGTCTTTAATTAGAAATTACATTACATTTTGTTGCTCAGAGCAAAAAACTCAAGGCTTACTACACTTGTTGTAGATCTGGACGTAACGTTCAATTGAAGCTCACGAAAGTACGACTATACAATTTTCCGCAAAGAACTGCTTGACATTGTGGACAGTGCGTAAAAAAAAATAATCTCTGGCGATAACGGGAAACGATCATCAATGTAAAATCGAGAAATTAAATAACGATATCACTCGTATTGACATTTCCGATGTGTACTTACGTCGTACAAAGAGAAGATAAAAACAAATCGAAAACCCAGTAGAACCAAGTGAAAAGTTACACGACAGTAAAATATTCCAAGAGCCTATTTTTTTTGTGAGTAAAATTCTCACATAATTGACGCGTATTCGTGTTGTACGGAACACGGACACGGGGTTCTGCGAAACTTCCGATCAGTCTCTTGTTTGTTCTTGCCGTCTCGCGAAGATTCGCGACCTACGTTTGTCTCTCGGCGTTCATTGCGAAATACGTTACTACTTCTTCCCCTTTCCTTCCCCACGTCGTCGGTAAGTTGGGCTCGCTGGCCGAGCATTGGAATGTTTAACTTAGCAATCCGCAATTACTCAAGTTGTTCTTGATTATCACGTCGGTCACGGCGTCGAACACGAACTGTATGTTGGACGTGTCGGTGGCGCAGGTGAAGTGCGTGTAGATCTGCTTTTGATCCTTCCGCTTGTTGAGATTCTCGAACTTCATCTGGATGTAAGAGGCGCATTCCTCGTACGTGTTGGCGCCCTTATACTCCGGAAAGCAGATGGTGAGCGGGCTCCTAGTGATCTTCTCCTCGAACAGGTCCTTCTTGTTCAGGAACAAAATGATCGACGTCTCGACGAACCACTTGCTGTTACAGATAGAGTCGAACAACTTCATCGATTCCACCATACGATTCATCTCCTCGTCCTCCGCCAGCACCAAGTCGTAGCCGCTCAGAGCGACGCAGAAGATGATCGCGGTCACGCCTTCGAAGCAATGTATCCACTTCTTTCTCTCAGACCGTTGGCCGCCGACGTCGAACATTCTGATAAAAAGGAAACCGATGAGATGCCTGGTACAGTGCACGGAAGAAAAAAGAAGTAGCTCCCACAGCTAAAAGCTAGATTTCACGAGTAAAAATTAGCTGTCCCCTTAACTTAGTCAACTACGACTAACTAGGAAGTCAATTTAAGAGAATTAAATATTTATATCTCTCGTTTCGTTGACTTCACATTTTGTGACGGGTAAATTAACGCGTGAGAGATATCTCGTCTGTAATAGTACAAACGGAGACAAACGACGGGCGCTTACTTGAAGTGTAGGCCCTTGAAGGAGAAGTGCGTCTCCACGATACCGGTGGTTTTGACGCGCGTTCGCAGAACATCCTGCTGCGTCGGGATGTAATTATGCTGCGCAATGCGGTCAAGTGCGTTAAGGTAGTACGCTGCCGAGTCGTTGATGTGGTATTCCCTGCTACGCGTGAAACAGAGCTGCACTCCCGCGTCCTGCCACAACCGCTTCATCAACAGCACCAGTTCCCCGGTCAGCTGGCCCTCCTCCGCCGCCGCCGAGGCTAGGGTGAAAAATTGCCGCGCCATGTCCTACAATATAAACACGAAGCTGATTATCTAATACGTACGCTGACGCACGAGGAAAACCGGCCAAGTGCAATTGATAACGNAAAAAAAAAAAAAAAAAAAAAAAAAGAATCATCATCCTCTTGAGAGTTTCGTTTCGAATAAAATTTGCAGATCTGAATGTTCTAAAAGAGGGATGTCCAGAAAGGATCTGTTTTTCGAATGAAAAAGAGACTTGTTGACGTTAATCACGATTATCATTGGCTCGAGTGGTAAATAATTTCCGACGTAATTATTCCCTCCTTTCTTCTCACACCCGCACACTCGTGCAAGGAGAACCGACAAGTTGCAGTAATTAGCCACAAACCAGATTGAATTAGATTGAATGATCGATATGAATCGTTATTTTAATAATTGGATTTCATACATAAGAAACAAATGCTACCCGTGAAATTCGCTAAATAAAGATAAATCTGAAGGAGGAGAACGGAGGAGAAGTCGTTCGTGACTCAACGTACGATCCCGTTTGCAATTTTATTCGACAAACACTACCGCAAACTTTTACCATCTACCAAGTGGGAAGGGTCACGAGGAGCTTACCGCTTTATTGGGATCGGCGAAGTCGATTCTAAGCTCCCCCATGGCTCTGATTATCGCCATTAGACTCTGTATCGTGTTGCTGTATACCACGGGTTTGTATTGCTCGCATTCTTCCTTACTGTAGCCGGTCTCGTGGATGATTTTCATTTGTTTCACTATCGTGGACTTGCCGGACTCCCCAGCACCTTGAACGTCAACGTATATTTATATATTTCATGTCATTATGGTTCTCAATCGTATCGTTGGCGCATCACGCATGCTGCACCGTTTCTTAGATGAAAGCGTGACTTTCAGCATGACTTTCTTTACATAAAACGCATAAGGTTGTAAATCGCTAAAGTGACTTTTAGTGATTTTTTTACTTTTACAATGGTTGTAACTAGGTTTTATAACTAGGTCATATAAAGATTATAATGGTTATAATAGTTTCAACCTTGTGTGTACACACAGAGAAAAACATTCTACTGTTAAAAAAGAGAATTATTCAATTTTATTTTTCTTTTTTAAGTAATAGTTATTTTCAACAAAGAATATTTTGTTGACAATAGTCTTCAAATATATACTGAGAAAAAAGTATTTAAAAACTTGTTTGTGATAAGAAATAAGATTTCTATGGAATAAATTTTATATCTCACAAATAATTTTTTAAGTACTTATTTCTCAGTGCGCTCATTACAAAGTTTAAAAAAGCTCATTATTATGTACTAAAAAAATAAACAATTTATTCTCTTTATAAGAATATTATAAATTTCATCGAAGAAAAGTTAAATTCGGTTAATTTGAATAAAGCACAAGTCGAAGCTTGTTTTAATTTAATATTCTTAATTGAAGTACTAAACTTACCAAGATTCAGAATATATTTTGAATAAATTTGATGTTTGAATTTAAATAAATTTGATATTTATGATGAACTTATGATATATTTGTGGATATATAAACTTATCTGAAATACTTGAAATAAATAATAACATTTACTTAAATACAGTATATATTTCTTGTATGTGAAAGGTTGAAAATTGCGTAGTAGTAAAAGGTTTCAACCTAAGGAGTGGTAAAATACACATGACGCCTACTGTATTGTCAATATTTGTCAATACATAGCATACTGAATGCGATCGTCAATATTACACGTAATTACTCAATAAACACCAATTAACATTACATCGATGTTATAATTTCCCGCTCAACAATATAACAATTACATTCAACACATATTATATTGTTACATTATTACACTTACATTGTTAAAAATTAAATATTGAATAAAAAATTATAACATTGATATAAAGCTGCTGTTATTTGGTGTTTACCGGGTATAAACTTCAAGCAATCTATAATCTACGACAGAAAATACCGAAGAGTCGGGATTAGGTGGTGTAGAACGTAGCGTATCTCCATGTTCACGCATTTCCCGCATCACACAACATCGTGACGGGATTATTCTATTCCCTGTCCCCCATCACAAATTAGAGATCGCCCGGAAAAAAAAAACTGGTTTTTAATGATGACAAATACGAAGGATCGGGCGACGTAAGATCGATCGTTGCTCCAGCGAGAGCGCGACGGATTTACGAGTCTTCCTCGACACGGTAATTAAAACCGCCGTCACGTAGCGCGCATCGTTAAATGCTACATATTCATCTGACGCGCGCGATTCGCGGCCGTCCGTTCGTCGAGTCGACGCGAAATCGAGCGCGAGAATTCTACGATGACGACGCGCTCCCGACACATTCTCACAGCTGCGAAAATGAACCTAATTAGCCGATTAATCATCAACGTTTGCCTACGATCGATTCGATCCTGCGAATCATCACGGAGAAACGACAGCACTCGGTTTCCGCCGACGAGGAACAATGCTTTTCTCTCCCCGTGCGCGCTAGACAGAGATAGTACTCGCCGATCTCGCCGGGACGTAATCTTCTCGTGATTCACACGCGGCCGATGATTCAAGTTTCCCGTAACACCCGCCGCTCGCCTTCTACATCCGCGATTGCGTGATTTTTGGTAAAAAAAACTCGCGGTTGAGCGTCTCGCAAGACCGTAAATGACGAGACATTTATTGTCCGGCGACAATGACGAAAAATCGAAAAATATTAAAGCCCGGATTGAGATTGAATTGAAATTTGGCCAATCGAGGCGAGGTTCGCTAAATTTCTTGAGTTTAGTGAACTCTGACTGGTCGAATTTCAATTCAATTTCAATATTGACGCACAGTTTGATACGAGCTTGAAGCCCGGTTGCATTGAACTCCGATTGAGTTGAGCGACGATTAATTTATGGGTTGAAACTGAAACTTTCTAACTTCTCTTTCTTAATATATTCTACAACCGAAATTTCAGAGTCGGTGACTCTGTCACTAACCTGTAAGTCGTTAATCGTCACTTAGCTTAATCGAAATTTAATGCAACCAGGCGAAATCTAATGCCCGTTTCTACCATCGTGATTTAAATCCAATCGACGATTAACCCGATGGGATCGACCAATCACATTGATCAGTCCGGCTAAGTAGCTAATTGGTCAGTGCCGTTGAATTAATCGTCGATTAGATTTAAGCTATGATGGTAGAAAAGGACATAAATTAACTTCACACCGTTCGACATTCTGCGCCTGAAATATACATGCGAGAAATTGTTATTACCGAGTAAACGAAAGAACGAAGTATCCCTTTGAGAGAAAAATTCACAATTGAGAATTTCAAAATAAACTGAGAAACTATAAAGGGAGATACGGGAATAGTCGAACACGACGGCGTTTCGGAATCACAAACAGGTCAAATTTATAATTTTCAAAGTTAGATAAACAAACCGGTTTTTCCTTTCAATTTTCCCGTGGATTTCTTCGGTTTCTGTCCCAAAGGCACACAGAAATGAAACGGGTAGATTAAATCAACGGTGGATATTTTCATACATAAGCAAGAATATTATATTAATTAAATGCAAGTGATGCATCAATGCAAATTTTATTTGTACAGGGCTCAAAATTTTCTAAGAAGATCGTAATATTCTCGCTTATATACGAGAATATTCATCACTGATCCGAGACTAATTTTTCTTCCGTGTAGAAAAATTCGTTTAAAAAAAAAAAACCTCCCATATTCGGTTGGAACCCGCCGTATTTACTTTTCTCCGTAAAGAAAATAATCAAATGGACAAATCCTCGGAAAAATTGGAAAACCCGTTTTTTTCCGGGGCTTTTGAAACTACAGTCAAATTGCAGGCTCGATCAGTTCGATCCGCGAATTTCGGCTGATGGACGACCCCCTTGCCAAGGGCTTCCTCGTCCCCGCGGAGGAGCGGATCGCGCGCTCGCTCCCGACGGACGCGGAGCGCGTCAGGAGAGCGTGTACCGGCGCAATTAAAACGGCGGACCGCACGATTTCGTGTCTGTCGAGCGAGCGAGAGCGTGCGTTCGTTCTACCATAGAAGGAACCTGGAACGTGACACGGAGCAACAGCGCGGGAAGAGCGCGACGCGAGAAAGAAGGAGGGACAGACGGACGGACGCGAATTCGCGCGATCGAAAGCGTATCTCCGAAACCGACACCCGTCGCGGGAGACGGCGAGTTCGTGGTTGGGCAACGCTCTGATGCTCGCTCTCTCTCGCTCTCTCTCACTCTCTCCTTCTCTCTTTCTCGCCATGAATTTTTACGCTCGCTACTGCGACTTCTCGTTAACCGCACGATTAGCTCTTTCTTTTCCTCGTTGGGACTCGTAGGATCCAGGAAGAGGCGAGTAATCGCGAAGGAAATCCGAGCTCGGCGATCCTCTCAGCGCGTGGCCAAGGAATCGTTCCTCCCTCTCTGTCTCTTTTTCTTTTTTCTCTCTCGTTCGTTCGTTCGTTCGCTGGCCCGAGACTCTCCGCACGAGTTCTTCGTGTTTTAAAGCGAAGTGAGCGTTTAGGGAACTCTGCAAGCGCAGAAAAGAGGAGAAGTAACAAACATCTACAGGTGGTGATGATAAATGTGGTTTTCCCAAATTCACTGCCTGTACTAAAAATCTACAGTTTGTATTACGTGTACTATATTTCGGTATATTGACGGTGCATGTTCGGAACGCAGTCGATGATGATGATGATGACGATGACGACGGGGAAGGAACGTTGGCTCTCTCGTTTGTTATCGGTTCCTTTCGATTGACGTTTACACCGTTGTTAACGCGCCATTCATTTGCAAAATGCATGCAAAAATTGACCAGTACAATAAGGGCTCGCGATAGATCTCTTCTTCCGCGCTCCGCCCGGCAATACCGAAACTACGCTCGGCTCGGAGGAGGAAATGTGGGAACCTTCACGGCGGCAGGAGAGGAAAGGCAGGAAAGAGACGGAGTGACTATTCGACGGATTATTCCAGGAATTCTGCGCGGTTGACGCCACCGCTCGACTTCCAATTCTACGGACTCGACGAAGCGGATTACGCGGCGCCTTTAGGCGCGTGCTGCTCGATACGCGCGGTACACGGCGCGAGCGGAGAAAGAGGCGAAGAGACGGAGAAAGAGAGAAAGAAAGAGAGAGAGCGAGACGGAGAGAAAGAGGAGATCGTCAGTGTCGGTATAGGCGCGTCGGCGAGTAGGGGATGCAAATGTCCCGAGAGAACCGGAACCGAGGACCAGAGGCGGAGGATCGGAGCGCTCGCGGTAATGAACGCGCGCTCATCGGAACATCCGTTCCCGAAGACCGTCCGTCTGTCCGTCCGTGCGTGCGTGCGCGAGTGCATGCATGCGTGCGTGCGTCCGTCGTCGTCGAGTAGCACGTCGTGCGAAGATCACCTACGGACGGGAGACCCGAGCACCAGGGTGACCCGTGGAGAAAGAGAGAAAAGACACTTACCGAGCAGCAGTAGCTTGACCTCACTGGCGGCGCGCTCGCCATCAGCCCGGAGGTCCTTGTCGATCTTCTTGGACCGCTCGGCGGCCTCCTTCTCGCCGGTGCTGCTCACGGCGCAGCCCATCCCGCGCCCTCGCCGGTCCTTTCAGCACGTCGTGGTGGTGCGTGATGCGGTGACGGTATCCTTCGCCGTCGTTCCCGTCGTAGCCGATCCGTCTCGCGCGCACCGATCCGACAGCACCATACACACGGCACACCGCCGTGCCCCGAAACCGCCGAGCGTTTCCAGCGAGAACGAGAAAGAAAGAGAGAGAGAGAAAGGGAGGGAGAGAGAGAGAGAGAGGACGCTTCCACCGCAACCGTCTCTCCTGACACTTGTTGCACCGACACGACGTCGTGTGGGAACCGCCCGCACGCGGTCGCACTCGCATACACGGACGCGCGGCGAGACCGCCCGAGCGCTCGCCTCGTTCTCACACGCGCACACACGGCGCACACTCACACGCGTAGCAACTCTCGTACGTATCTCGCGCGCCTCGTCTCTCGTCTCTCTCGCTCTTACTGACTTTCGTTCCGCCGCGCACGCAGCTGCGCGGCCGCGTTCCCGGCACTGGCGCCGGCGTTCGCGCGAGTTCACGCCGCGAAGCGGACGGCGAGCGAGAGACGGAGAGGTCGTCGTCGAGGTAGGCAGCGGGGTTACACGAGAGAAAGCGAAGAGACAATCCGGGCACCCTCCGCCGTGGAATAACGAACACCGGTGTGCGCGCGCGCTCGCTCGCACGCGCTCCTCCTCGCGCAGTGGCTCGAACGCCGTAACGTCGCCGAACGATAATCGCGAGCGAGTCGCGCTGCCTTCAAACTGATGGCCGCCGGCCGGTGGAGCGCGCGCGACGATTCGCCGCCCGTTCTTGGGCCCGCCCGGCCGGCCAATCGGAACGCGCGACGCCGGCCAATGCCAGCGCCGCGCGCGCGCGCGCGAGAGAGAGAGAGAGAGAGAGATCGGTATTCGATGAGTTTTGCGATCATCGATCCTCTCTGTCGCTCTCGCGCTCACTTCTTGCTGCAGCTCGCCGTGAGGTGGCGCGGCGGTCTCTCGGTCGCGGGCGTTCGAACGGGAGCCACGTCCACGCGATGCGAAGAGCGAGTGATCTGCGCCCTATTTATCGTCGAACGCAAGACTCCGGAAGCAGACCCGGTTCTTCGGAACGTCGCAGCTCGGAGACCTCGGCGAGACGAACGCGTCTTTGTCTTCCGTTTGGTGTCGGTCGCCGCTGATACTTGCGCTCGAATGCGCGGGCGCTGTCGCGCGCGCGCGCGTGAGAAAACATGGTGGAACTCGTCGCAATTGTTTATGAATACGGCGAGCGGGGGAGGTTGAAAAAGCGGGCCTGTGCAACGCCGTCTTCACGAGCATGTCCGGGAACACCCGCAGCACGAGTGTGAGTAGATGATAAGTGAGGATGAACATAACGAATACACAAATATTATGAAGTAGCACTGATAACAAAATCGCAAAATACTCTTTTAGATGCTTTCGCAAGAGGTCAATAGGTAACTTTAGTCCCGATCTACAATAGATGCTTTGAGTTCGAGTCTTAAGAAATTGACCAATCACAGTGAATCTGAAATCGAATGCGAGGAAAATAATCGACTGTGATTGGTCAGTTTCCTAAGGCTTAGAGCTCAAAGCACTTATTGCAGGCCACGATTTATTTTTCCGACAAGTGTTCCCTCCCAGATCACATTAAGACGTCTTAAGACATCGTAAAGATGCCTTTCGACAATAAGACGTCTGTCTTTAAGATGTCTTTTAGGCTCATACAACATCAATGTTCAAGAGATATCCCAGAGATGTTCGAACATCTCTGGAATGTCTCTACGATGTTTTTTGGACATTGGTGCTACATGGTGACATACGTATTGTTTGGGCTGTCATCTTTTTCGTCAGCGCTATATGTAGCTGTGACATGACGAATAACAGCACGTAGAATTTTTACGCCTCTAATTACGCGGATCTAATTCGATTCAATTGCGTAGGCTATTTATAAGTTACGTTATTAAGAGAGAAAAGTCCATTTCCGTCTCCGTCGCGCGCGATACTCGGCAATTGAGGTGTTGGGAACGATATACGTCTAATCGGCGTTTTATCCGAAAATAGACACAAGTTACCAGAGCTGTTTAATCCTGGAGCTGTTTGGCACTTTTCTTCTCCATCTCATATAACAGAAACTTCTAAGAGACATCTTACCTTTTTCAAATATTTTTTAGACATTTTTATGGCCCGTTTATTCAGATAAATTATATGGTAATTTATCTAAAAATCACTGGTCTACTATTGAAGAATAATATGAATATATAACTTATATAATTTATACAATTTTCATAATTTATTTAATTTATCTAATTTTTTTTGTATTTTTGCTTATTTCCATACAAGAACCCAATAAGCAAGCAGAAATCATTAACACAACGTCATTACAATGACGTCTTATAACATAAAACGTTTTCAAATATGTAGTTCTTAGTATTGTCACAACGTCATTATTGACATTATTTTATCCAAACATTAAAAATAATATTTCTACACTATAATTTTAATATTTGGAAATATTACCAAGGGACAATTTGAAAACATTTATATAATATTATACCAAAACGTTTATAAAATCCATATATAAAATCAGTGTCTCAGAAGATTAATTTAATGTTTCTTGCTTATGGGAAATGCTCTTTAGGTGTTTTTATCTATGGGGTAAACTACCACGTAGTTTATCCGAAGATGGAACAACTGACCCTAAGATTTTTCTAGAAGCTTCCGCTACCTGAGCTAAGTCGGTAATTTATTTCTTTACGATCTGAATTTCCCTTTCATTCTCCATACCTCGGTTTGTCAACCGTGAACAACAATAAAAATAATCGAAGGACAATTTCACTGCAAATTGTATTAAACGTTATCGGCGAAGCAGAGATTTTCTGCAAAGTTGCCCCATCGAAAAATGACAGAACATTCAGAGCCTAAGGAGCCGAGGTACGAATATTACAGTGTTACTTAAATATTAATAATATTAATTTTACCTGCAATTTGAATTTTACCTTTCAATTTTACCTTGCGGCATAAACAACACACATACATGTGCGATACCTCGTCGACGTTTGTCGCGTCGTGCTGTTCGTTGAAGAGCATCGCGAAAATGCGAAGCAGAAGAAATAACATGCGCACACGCTCGACGATCGGCCGGCAAAGTTGCGAGGAATCGTAGACACGTCGCGATACAAAAACAAGTACCAAAAGTGAAACCTACCAAACCTGTACCGCGTCCTTAATTTCTATTCTCCTCTGACGAGATCTGGCGATATACAAAAGTACATCTATAAGGAGACATGTCGTGTGCGCGTACACGAACGCGCCGCCGGCACGCGTGCCAGTATACTCGCGTCGTGTTGTTCTGTCACAGCGACGATCAAAATATTCCGCTCTCCTGCCCGTCGCTCGACGTTTATTTCCATTGGTGATTTCTACACGTTGTGACTCACCTCATAAATCCTTCATGAATGCAAAAATAAATTCATGTAAAAAGTTCGCAAACAAATTCTTCACCTTGCACGATGTTAATTAGTTCGCTTTTGTTTTCACTGCGATATGCGATATTTTGTATCTCTCTCTCTCTCTCTCTCTCTCTCTTTCTTTCTCTCTCTCGTGCGAGATATTTAAGCGAATGTCCTAATTAGTGACAAAACAACCTCATCATGAAAGTAAATTAATAAATTACTATAATACACGTGTTATACATAACATCTATTTTGTCCGAATGTTTAGATATTTGGGATTTTTACTTGTATTAGGCTTTTTTAATTTGTGATGAAATTCTAATTAATTCATATATTTTCAAAAATGACGGAACCACTTAATGATATCGGTAACTGTTCGAACTTCAAACATTAACAATAATATTTCTACATTATGATTTTAATATTTAGGAATATTATCTTACCAAGTAACAGTTTAAAAATATAAGATATTATATTATGTCAACATTTTTATAAAATCTATATAAAATCGGTGTTTCAAAAGATTGATTTAACGTTTCTTACTTGCTTATTAAGCTGTCACTGATTGGAACATTCACTTTAAAACTTTTAATTTTGAATTGAACATGCCCCATCGAAAAATGACAGAACATACAGAGCCTAAGGAGCCAAAGTACGAATATTACAGTGCTATTTAAATATTAATAGTATTAATTCTACCTACAATTTGAATTTTACCTTTCAATTTTACCTTTGAATCTAGATTGCTTAAAATACGGGAGAACGTTTGTGTTGCCGTCGACTTGATCACGGCAATTGATGCGCGCGTGGGGACGATGATTCCCGGAATTCGCCTCGTCGAATTATATACAATTGCGATGTTTATTTACTCCTCGTACTATGTGCCTTACAAGGATCCTTCGAATATTATGAGCCGCTCCCGAAATTCCCTCTCAATGTTCGCACAGCTTCAGCCGCGAATGGATTCGATCGAGACACCGTGATCGAGATTACAGATACCATGAATCTAATTTTTCTGTTTGTGAGTATCCGAATGTTTTTCCAATGCAAATTTAAGTGGGGTATATCACAGCTATATCCAAAATGTAGCAGGGATTTGATTCTGTCGAGTAAGTGTTTGTAATATTGTAGCTGGCGGGTTGCGCTTTCGCACAATTGTTCCTCTCGCACGCAGCGGATCTGGACGCGTACCTGGACGAGAAATTGCGGCAATCCAAGATAGAATTCATCAAGATTCACATCCAGAAAACATGTCCAGGTGAGGTCAATCAATTTCATCGTCAGTTCCATTTCAACAGTCAATTTTTGCTCTTTGCTCAAATGAGTTTCTCTCGGAATTGGTCGTACTAAAAATTCTTCCGCGCTTTCGGCATACGTCGTGCTGAAAATTATCTACTCGAAATGTTAACATGAATAATAAAATGCTTCTGTAATAATATTAATTAACCGAGACGCGAGTCTCGACGTTTTCCTCTCGTTGTCCGACAAGCGACAAAATGGCGTACGTTTGCCTTGCAGTGCAGGAAAAGTCGTACAGGGTACACTGGGACAAGTCATGGCGAGTGCCTTTAACGAGCGAGCATCAGCCGTTCACGATAAATATATTCGACAGGATACTCATCCTTGACGGTAATAAAGTGATAGTACCCCCTGTTAACGAGGCCCCCTCGAACGAGACCTTGGCGCTGCACAAATTCGGTCTGCTCAAACGCGTCGTGAAATTCGCCAGGGTACGTCTTTTCGCGCGATATCTTCTTCATTTCCTCGCGGAATATACTTTCAATGATTATAGTTTTTTCTTTTATTTTCATTATTCTTACTCATTATTCTTATTTATTTATTTTTGGCTTGTTTATTTTTTGTTTGTCTATTTTACTTCATTTATTGACTTCACATATTGATTTACATATCACACAATGATGCGCGCTTATTCGTATCATCGAGTTCATTGTGTCTAAATTAAAACGATAAACGAGTTAACGTTGATCGTACTGTTGCAGAGCATCGTGTGGAAAAACACCGCCTACATGTTGATGTGCTTTACCCACGAACTTTGTAGTCTTCACACGATCACGCAGAGTAATAGACTGCGATTCCGCCACACGATCAGGCACCGGGGTACTCCCGTGGACGCGAAATTCTTCACGCAACGCCGTCGGCTCTACCTGATCATCGCGAATAACGGCAACAAATCTTCCGTACCATCCGTGTGAGTATGATCACACATTTATATCCTGAAGAAAAAAACATTACAAAGTTAAAATCGCACAAAACAGACATAGCACAATTGAAATTGACGTTTTCCGCTTCAATTTCTATTTTATATCATATTTCTGCTTGCGAGACGATGAATCTCGCGAGAAACCGATCGCCTGAACTGCGTGGAATTCTGTCCTGTCAGGATCTACCGATGGAGCGGCACGTATATGGACGTTATCAGCGAGGTAATGGCGGTCGGCGCGAGATCAGTCACCGCGTTCGAGCACCGGCAGTCGACGATCATCGTGTTCGCTCAGTACGACGCCGAGAACCCACTGCTGGGCTCCGAGGTGTACGAGTTCAGAGGCAAGGACATCGTGAAGATACAGCTTTGGTTCACCGCTCAGCCGGTCGCGGTGCATCACTACGTCCATGGCGACTTCAACTTCATCCTCATGATAAACGAGCTCGAGCCGAGCAGCTTGCTATGCTGGGACGGTCGGTATCTTTCGTCTCGGTGGTCACGTTGAATTATCAGCAGATACTTGAAAACATTCTGTCGCTCATTATTCGCTTGAGTTTCCTTCAGCGGGAGGCTGATGTACACGTACTGTTGCAGGACGAGAACTGCTCGATTGGCGCAGCCTCCCCGCAATCGAGCCGCGTAGTCTGATAAATATCTTCCACATGGACGGCGACACCTTCGTGGTCGTTGCGCACAACGTAAGACAGCTGATCTGCTCGATATTAAAAAAAAAAGCGTAACTGACAAATCTATGCTTCACTTTTCCTACTGGAAGATCTAATGGTGAAATACGGCTCTTTCAGTTCTCATGAAGTCTCTCCCATAAAACCAATTCTTCACACAGAGAAAAAGATTTGTTGAATTAACGTGGCTATGAACGTTTGTACCATGCACGTTTTTATAGAAAAGAGGAATTTCTTTTCTAACAAATTCTGTCTCCTTCAAACAACACATGTGGTTTGTTCACAGTCACGTTAATTCAACTAATCTTTTCACTTGCGTAATGTACCAGTTTCTAAATTGATTTTACCGAGGCAATAATATCGCAACAATTGATTTACAGAATACCGTTCAGCTGTATAAGTTTCACGGTACGTCCGACTTCAAGAGAGAAGACACAAAGAGCTTCAAGAACGGTCAAGAAATAGTCGACATGGCGGTGTCGTTGAACGCGTACACGATGATTGTGATGCTGGTAATTAAAGAGGGAGACGTGTACTGGGTGGAACAATGGGAGGCTCAAATAACTTCGGTGCCAATCGGTACGTAATTTTGATCGATGTGACTTCTTAATCCACCAATAGAAACTAATACGTTGATGAGGACAAATTGCAGACAGCTCCATGATGGACACCGATTCGAAGAGGGAATGCTTGTTGGAGCTGATCGAAGTGCTACAAGCGAGGATGTCGGTCGTAACGAAGGCCAAGGCTTCTTGGAAACTTCTCTTGCCGTCCGCGGAGAATTTAACCATATCGGAGCCGGTGAGCTTCGATAATGTGATCCTACAGGCTGGCACGGTGGACAGCATCGAGGTCGCCGCCGAAAAGGAAGAAGACATCCTGCCACCTCATCAAATCGAGCAAGCTCTGAGCGAGCTCGATCGAAATGTCGACAACGTCCTGTCGAAGTGGCAGGAAATGGTGGACGCACACATGTCTCACGTGCTGGACGGCAGCATTGTGATTGAGGATGCCTTCTTAGAGGAGCTCAATATCGACCGGATGGACGTGGATTTCGTGAACGACGTGAAACAGAAGGAGGCGATCCTGCCGCAGGGCGAACAGGAATTCGTGAGTCCGCTGCGGGCGGAAAGCATTTTCGTTCAAACCCTTGAAGCCGATTCCCTCTGCGGAATACCATCCCGATGTACGTTGAATAGAGATCGAGTGACTTCCGTAACTTGTGTTATTGATAAATAGAGATAGATAGTTTCGTTAGATTCAGCCGTTATCAGACTACGGTATCGGTGTATTCTCTTTTTTTTGTTCCGCGCATTTGTACGCTGTATAAGTAATATGTTGCAGATTGGACGTTGCGAAATGACACGACGAATACGTTGACCACCGCGAATGGTCAAGTCAAGTACTCGAACGATACCGTTACTGTGCATTCCGATTTGACGGTAGAAAAACTAAGAGCCAACAGCTTGAACGGAACAGTCATTGGTCAGCTGATCGACGACCTGTTCGTTATAAACGACCGTCAGGAAATTCAAGGTTGAGCGTAACTTAACTTCGAGTATCCAGCTTGTGCGGGAAATCGGCAGGAAGAGGTGTTTTGGTAACGTCGTGATGGCGTTTTGTCGCAGGTCAAATCACGTATAGCAATCTGCTAATTGGAAATCTTACGACGCCGATGTTGAACGGCGTTCCAGCTGATAAACTCATGACGACCACGACGAATCAAAGCTTCGACAGCTTCTTAGCGAAATATTTGGAGATCGGCAATCTGCATGTGGAAACGGTCAACGGAGTGCCTGTCGAGGAAGCCGCGCGTAAATCCCGTGAAAATTACATCAGAGGTAATCTGCCGGCAGAGAAAGAGAGAGAATACAGTTTTTGACTTATTACCATTATCGTATGACAATTGATGTGAACTATAATTAGTGATATCATAATTTTCCAATTTATTCTCTTTATCCTTTCGTTGAGGTGAAATGACCACTTATAACTTATAACACTAGTCGATCGTTATCATTCCAGTTTCTTTGCCTTTTCTTTTTCATTAACATTACATTACATTTTGTTACATCATACATAATTTTTTATATTACATTTGATTACATTATGTTATATTAATATATATTAACATATATATAATCATACGTGTTACATTAACTCCAACATTCACATACGGTACAATTATGTGTCTCGTGAAACAATATTTCGTGTGTCATTCAAGGTAAGGTGAATATGGGGCGACTCGTTATCACGGAGGACTTAACGGTGGATATGAACGCGTCTCTGATAATAATACCTAAGGAACCGCCTCTTCAAATCTACCAGAACGTCACGATACTGGGCGACCTGAATGTTCAGAACATCAAGATCGGTCCGTCGGCGGAGGTCTTCGTGGCAGACACTCGGATGAACACGAGCGACATGTTTACCGGCTTCTGGACGAAATACAGTAACCAGACGATCAGTCAACATGTCATTTTCGAGGATGGCGTGTCGATCGACAACATCAACACGAAGTATCTCAACGGTTTCATGGAGAGCGACTTCCTGTACACGACTGTGGAGGAAATACCGAACGAGTTCACGAATCTGCACTTCGAGAACTTTCATGTGAACAATTTCCTCCGGGACAGCCAAGACGCCGCTTTCTTCGACGTCAATTCAGAGAAATCCTTACAGATCAACGAGAAATTGCACCTGCCGAGTCTCCGGACGGAAGACATCATCACCCTTGCTTTCAACGGGATGAACGTGGATAACATAATGAACGGTAGCGTGGCGAACTTCACCGGAACCGAGGAACTTCCCGCTATACGAGCAAGCCGAGTGTCCGTCGACAACCTCGCTATTCGTTTTTTCAACGGCCGTAAGGTGCAGTTCGAAGAGGGGCTTCGCGTCGACGACGATCACCAACTGGCCGTCTTGAAGGTGCCCGAGTTCCACGTACGGAGTTTGGAGGTTGAAAGGCTGAACGGTGCCGAGATGAGTCTACTGGCACGCTTTAAGAACCTGACGAGCTCTGATTTGAGCAGAATCGTGATCGTAGGCGATTTGACGGTGAAAGATCTGACGGTCGACCGAGTAGGCTACCAGTCGACCGACGCTTTCTTGGAGGAACTAACGCAGAATGAGGTCGTGATAACTACAGAGAAGAAAATCGAGAACTTGACTGCTCGAAACGTAACGCTGAGTTCTCTTTATGGGCGGAACTTCGACGACTTCGCCGACAGTGTCCTCACGAAGTCGACGACCCAAGTGGTGCCAGGAGACTTCTCGGCTCGCATTGTCATTTCCAACGTCACGACCAACTTCTTCAACGAACGGAACGTTTCGCAACTGTTGTGGGTGGACGGGCCTCTGACCATCTCAGGAAACGTGACGTTCACCGACCTGTTCGTTGATGGCGACGTGATCACTTCTTCTTTGAATGGGCAACAAGTGAGCGAGGTGAGAATAGGATTCAGAGAACATTAAGACGTTCCAAAGATGAAACACAACGGTTGAGTGAGCGCTTATTGTCATTGGAATATTCTTTTGGATTTACCGTGGGTCTAAAAGGATCAATTGTGAATCAATCAAAGGCGATAATCACTCGACGGTTATGCAACCGTTGTGTTTTCTAAACGCACCCATTATTAAATTGCTGGAAATTATCTTTAGGATGTGACAACCATGTCGCTACTCGTTCCACGCTTCTCCAAAGACACGACGTTTCTTCCATTTTATAGCAGCTCTTTGCTTTACGTTGCAGATGTACGACATCTGCGCGCGAGACATCGATCTGCTGAAGGTGAACGGAAGCGTCTTCTGGGACACATCGTCGTACAATTTCACTTCCATATCTTACCTACTGGAGAAAGCCGTGACCAAGGATGAGGACCAGATCATCACGGGCGAAGTGAGGTTCGCAAAGAGCGTTAACGCGTGGACAGTCACCGGCCCGTTCCCGGTCACCGAAAAAATCCGTGATATAATATCGGACGCCGTGATCGATGACGGTAATGTCGTCGAGATCAGCGGACGTAAGATCTTCGAGGAGGATTTCATCACGGACAGGCTGACAGTGGACGGTGACCTGGGCGTTCGCAGGATCAACGACGTGGACATCAGGCAGTTCAACGACTCGATCGTCAAGAAGTATCGCGAGGACAGGATCACCGGCCCGTTGATCTTCGGCCGAGACGTCAAGATCGAAAAGCTGCGCGTGAACAACCCCGATTTCAACGCGTCGATCGACGGGGCGGCGCGCACTGTCGACGGTCTGCCGGCCAACGTCTTCTTCGAGAACCTCGTGGTGACGGGTGACGTTTATCTGAATACTCTGGACGGCGTGGAATTCGACAAGTTCGTGAGAAACCGCGTTACGCTCAGCGGGAACCATAACGTCAAGTGCAGCATGAGATTCAACGAGCTGCTTACGGTAACAGGTAAAGCAACAGTTGCAAATTAAATCCTCTGATAACATAATCCAATTAGTTACAATAATCAAAATTAATCAAAATTATAATCGAAAGGTTTGCTATCTTGAACGTAAAAATGTTAAGAAACACACGGAGAAATTCAGCTTCCGCTTCGCGATGTTTCAGGGAAGGCGAGTATGAAAAAAATCAATGGAATCCTCCCGTCGGATTTTCTTCTCAATGATGTCGACGAGATGCAGATCATATCCGGCGTGAAAATCTTCCAGCAGGATCTAACAGTTCAAGGAAACGTTAGCGCGAAACGAGTCAACGATATGGACATAACGACGGAATATGAACGGGGTGTGCTGACCGACGAAGACGTCGACGTCTATGGAAATCTCGTGGGTACAATGTTGGAAAGACTCTGGGCTTCTATTGTTCTGCCGTTTCTTTTGTAAATCCACAAAGCTCGGAGATTTCTGAGAATCGCAGACGCAGCCGCGATCAATACGAACCACGGCAGTTTCTCTTCCAATTTCTTCCCCATTCTTTTCAATTTCTTCTCCTCACCAGGTCTTCAAGGCAGACGTTCGGATTCGCGAAATGAACACTTCCGGACTGGTGAACGGTGCGGACGTACGCTCTATCATCGGCGATCTTAAAGAGAAGATTGATAAGACCCTCCAGAGTCTGAACGAAAGCAAGAGAGACATCCTACAGGACATCGCCTACTGTTCCCAAGTGCTCCAGACTTCGCGTAACGTTTTCTTCTACCTGGAGCTGGAGGAGAATCCGATGGTGTCCGTAGTCAACGTAAGCAACGTCGACGTGCTGTATTTCCAGCAGACGACTAAGCTGAGCGTGAACGTCGAGCAGCCCGGGAGCCACTGTGGATTACCTGACGATTGCCCGTGCGTTAGTCAGTTGGTGTTCGAGCTCGCGGACGAGATTAAGTTAATACAGCGAAGAAAATCCGGCGAGATCGTGAAGCAATTTTATGATCCGGACGGTACCGTCGTCAACGTGATGTCGGGTGTCGTCTCGAGCAGCAAACAATGCACCTCGACGACAGCCAAAGAGAAGTTCGTTACGATTTCCCTGAATAAGTTTAAAAACGGTGAATTAACGGTACCGTTTTTAGTTGAGTTTGATAACTCAACGCGGATCGTGTCCTCCATCGATACGTCAGACGAAGTCGGAGGGTACTGGAGGGACGCCAAGATTTTTAAGCACGATGGTAAGACATTCAAGACGTTTAAACAGTTTCTTAAAAGTGAAATCAGGGGTTCGAAGTGGGGAAATTGATGCGATGATCGATCCACAGGCGATGTATATGTAATCGTGGCGGTGTATTATAACAAAGTACGAGAAACGCACCGCACGAACTCCCTGCTTTTCAAAGTAGACGTGGCGGGAGAAAAAGTATCGATTCACAGGTTTCCCACGAACAGCGCTTGGTCCGTCGAGGTCCTCAAGATCGATCAGGACCAAGTGTTTTTTCTCATCGGTTGCTTCGGCGAATCCCCCGAGTCCCTGTTATACAGATTCAACTCGATTAAGCAACAGGTATCCGTGATTGTTCAGATATTGATCATTGAAATAGAATAATCAAATACAGAACAAAAACTAATTTTTATCTCTTCAAAATAAGAGTTGTCACTGACACTTCTCGAAACTGATAGGTCAAACTTCTCCTACCATGTGAGACCGAAACTGAATATTCTATTGAGAAATTTTAAAGAGACTTGTTAGTGTAAAATAAAATATCAAATCAATTTTATTTCTCCCCACAGCTCGTGCAGATTAGGAGGTTTGCGAGCAGAAGTCGTTACGTGAAGAGCCTGTCGCAGGGAAAGGATCATTTTATCCTGCTGGACAATCCCGATACGAACGCTGTGGATATATACAAATACGACTCGGTGTTCCGCAATTTTTACAGCTACCAGAGCATATTTCACGATCGTCCAGTTAACGGGATCGAGTTATTTTACATCGACGGTATTACAGTATTTTATGTATTGAGAAAGCTCATGAAACTAATATCGCGTAACTTTACCATAATTCTGTGCGATCATAATTCACAATTTATAATTTACGATAAAAATATTAGGATTACGATTTTATTTGTGAGTTGTCTCCTTGATTTATATAATCGGTGCTTTTTTGTTTTTCATAATTTTATAACTTTATGATATTTTTTTATATTTTTTATGCATTATAATATATTTTTCTGCTATTTTTCCAGATTTGGACAATAGCGACGTATTTGTGATCGTCACAACGAATAGTGGACGGTTCTACGTCTACGAATACATGTTTGCCGGGGTAAGTTCGTGATTCGTTAAGTTAATGAGACAGTCGTTCCACAGACGTGAGATAATTTTCGTGATTGTTCTCAGAAATTCCAAATGAGGCTACAACACGCCGTGAACGGTTTACGAACGATAGTGCCATTCTACCACATGAATCGTCAGTATATCTTTGCCGGCACACACGGTGACAGCATGATTTTCCGAATTGTGCAACAGGGCCCGCGTTATCGATAGAGATCGATAGAGAATCGTGAATATTTCTATCTGTCGAGGATTAACGAAAATATTATCGCATCGTTCAATCATTTGCTGGTCATTTGATTGTAAACTATGGCGGTTTATCGACCGCTACGATTGTTTTCTGTTTATTTTCTGTACTTTACATTCTTTGTTTATTTCTCTCATTGTGTATAATTATTTGCTCATTAATACAAGCGTTGTAGTATACAATATTATATTATTTGTCATGCCACATAAATAATATAGTTCAATTAATTAAAGAGAACAAGTCCAGTAGGATAGATACTTTTTAATCGATTGAATATCACAAAAGTCTTTATATTAATTTACATATTATAGTTTTGAAATTTTGGAGAAAAATCCGTTTTTTCTCAATTTGCTTCGATTTCTGTCTCATACAAAAATTTGTTTGGAAAAATTCACGTATATTTGATTAAAACCAGATTTATTTTTTCCCGCAAAGAAGAAACCAAAAAATCCACAGAAAAATCGAGAAAAACCGGTTTTTTCCGAGAAAAACTTTAAAACTATACAATAATATCAGTGAACAAATATTCGTACAGCAGAAGCTTTTCTCTATGAGAAAAAATTATATGGTCGATCAGGAAAAAAAGGGTGTAACATTTTTCTCTTATACGGTTTCGGAACGCACCCGTCCGACAGAAGAATTTGTTATTCTAATCATTCTCAGATACATCTTTCTATGGAATACGAGATGTGTTGTGAAACTCGAACGAAAGAAAAAAAAAAAAAAAGAAGAAGTATTGTGTGATCTTCTCGTGACTGACACTGTGAAAAGGTCGATTTATACAAAATATATCGTCGTGAAGATTATCGATTCGAGGGCATCGCACATAACAGTCACATGCTTCGACGTAAAATCGTCTGTCGCAAGTTATCGACAGGCCAATACAGGCTTGAAGAAGTGCGGCAATTCTTGGCCGCGCACGCGCACCGGCACGATTTGAAAGTATCGTCGCCGGACGCACTCGGGAACGCGTGGGGAATTATGATGAAAACCGTGCGAACGACGACGCGACGTCCGCACATTTTCCGGAGACTCGTCGATACCCTCTCGTCATCGTGGCCAAGTTTCACACGCGGAATTGCGGTGTAAAATTCAAGGTCTAAGACCGTTCGTCCAATTGTCCGTCCGTCTCGTCACGAATCAAACGCTTACGTGACTCGTGCTTATTGGCCGTGAAATTTTCCGGAAAATTGAAGAATCGAGGATTCTTCTCGCCGGTCGCATCCTCAGGCACGGCCGTTTCGCGCTGACTTCGCGTCACAATTAGTCCGGCACGCGTGTGAAGTTGCCCCCCCACGGCGGAAACTGTTGAAGTTCGCCGCTTTCCGCCGGTGGTGCGCGAACAGCACCGAAGTCGTCGACTTCGAAGTGCTTCGAAGTGCTGCGTGCGGCAGTACCGGAGGTTCCGTTTCTCAGCTTGCTTTCTCGCTTCTTCTGTTCGATTTCTTCTATCGCGGGTGGATCGTCGATCGCAAGGAAGGTATGTACCTCCGTCTCTCTTTATCCCTTTCTCTATTCACGACGTCTGATCATTACAACTCTCGTTCGCGTCCGTCCACTCGTTCACGCGTCAGCTGTCACGTCGACCGCGCCAGAGAATTCACCCGGGGAGCTTTATTCGCGAGATCTTCCCAGCGACCTCGTCGTGCTCCTCGTACTCGACTTCGGGTTCTGTGAGTGACCTCGCGACGAGGTCGCGAAGACCACTTTTCGGCTCCTCGGGAACGTCGGCGAAACTTTTTGGTTATGTCGGCCGACAATGAATTAGCGTAAACCGATTAGTCGTCCACCACGTTCGGCTCTTTCAAGATCGCCACGGGCTTTCTGATGAAATGCATACCTCGATTTCCTTCGTCCGTTTCCCCGTGACATCCCCACGATGACACACAATGTGAACGCACAAATCGCACGCATATATATACATACATATATATATATGTGTGTGTGTGTGTTATATTATATATATATATATATAATATGTTGTACGCAACGATGTTGTATATTTATACAGATATATTTCGTCTTTGCAGCAATACAGTATCTCTCACTAAGCACCGATGGCTGTCAAGGGGCTAGTAGCAGCGATCGTTCAGTTTCTGACCGATCAGTTGCAGGACGGAGACATGACGGCGGACTCCCGTGAAAGTTTGGAAGTGGCGATCCAATGCCTGGAAAGTGCTTACAGTGTGCAGGCCTCCGACGCCCCAAGCAGTTTCAATCTCTATACCGTTTATAAGAATTCAGTGGAAAACGCTGAGTTAGGACCGGAAGCTACACCAGAAGCTAAGGCTGAGGCAGAGAGATTGAAGAACGAAGGCAATGCGCTGATGAAGGCGGAGAAGCACAAGGAGGCACTCTCCAACTACACAAAGTATGTATATAATTCTTAGCTGTGAGATCTGCTACAAAGTTGTCAGGGAGAACCTGGGAAAGTCGGGGAAAGATGTGAAAAGAATCTGGAATGTTGAACTTTGCACAAGATTCTTAAGGCTCCTGGTTCCTCGCTGCAACTGTTGCTTGATGACATCAGGAAGAACGTCAGGAGATCGAAATCGCATGCCAAAATATATTATACGTGGAAATAAAAGAATACATGCATAAAATGACACGTGATAGATTCAGTGCATTTGTAAAAATGTACTGAACAATCAACTGAATGTCTGAACAATCTTTCATTTAACCTGAACAATCAATAAATAGCCGTAAAACTGATGTAACAGAAATGATGAGGAAAGATAGATTAAAAATGTAAGTTATATGTTACATCAATTTTCAGCTATTTATTGATTGCAAAGGAAAGCGTCCGGACATGTTTACAAGTGTGCTGAATCTGTCAAAAATGCCGTTTTATACACACGTTCCTTTATTTCCACGTAAACGATAATATATTTTAATATGTGATATCTCGCTTCTGACATTATCAAACAAAGACAACCATAGCGAGCTTTAAACGCTCTCAACTGTATTTTCCCGATACTCACTTATTTTTTGTTGGTCTGAATTTGCACTTAGGATTACATCATATTACTAAACCCTTAAGTTTGTGTTGCTTCTAACAATATAAGCTACCTTCCCTACAGTTCCTGCCTCTAAACGTTCAAGTTTAAGATCACATATTGTTTATGAAAAATCCTCTACTGTCTAAAAAACACGGAAAAGTCGGAAAATTTCAAAATTCATTTTCTGTGGCAGCCCTGCTGAAGGAAATCACCGGTGACTCCGCCTCTGATTAACTCTGTTCTTTCAGAGCGATAGAGCTGGACGGCCGCAACGCGGTATATTACTGCAACAGAGCCGCTGTTCACAGTAAACTTGGTAATCACACCTTAGCCATCAAGGATTGTCACACGGCGCTCTCTATCGACCCCTCATACAGCAAGGCGTACGGACGGTTAGGCTTAGCGTACTCTAGTTTGGAGAAGCACAAAGAGGCCAAGGAGAGTTACGAGAAAGCGCTGGCGATGGAGCCGGATAACGAGAGCTATCGGAACAACCTGCAACTGACGGAGGAGAAATTGGCCCATCTGGGCGTTAATCAGGCTCTGGTGGGCGGTCTACCCGGCATGGACCTGAGCGCCTTGCTGAGTAACCCGGCTCTGATGAACATGGCGCGTCAGATGTTGTCGGACCCGGCCATGCAGAATATGATGTGCAATCTTATGACGAGCAACGTGGAAGAGGGCGGTCGCATGGAAGCGCTCATAGAAGCGTGAGTTTAATGCTTTCCCCGATAAGCACGAGTTCTTCCGGCTTCGGCGAGCTCGTGCCCATAAAGATATCACACTCGCGCGTGATATCTTCACGAAAATGAAATAAATGCGCTTCACTCAGGGTCGCCTCATACGTGCGTGAATTGTTTTTCAGGGGCCATCAGTTAGCGCAGCAGATGCAGAACGTGAATCCCGAACTGATCGAGTCGCTTAGACGGCAAATGGGCGGCAATCCGAACGACCCGGATCCATCGCAGAAGAATTAAAACGTACGACTGACTGTGTGTGTGTGTGTGTGTATGTGTGTGTGTGTGTGATAGAGGTGGACACTAATGTTATGGGACTATTAACTTTACTGCTGACTCTCCTCGTTCGTGTAGCCACAGGACGGTGTGTCGCATTGTCGTTTTCTAAGAGACGCCGCTAGAGAGAGAAAAAAAAGGAAAGAAAAACGAGGCGAGACGATCCTTATGGCTTTCAATGATCTTTCATTCTGACATCGCGCTTCAAGCGACGCTGTAACGCGCGTGCTACATAGAATTCGTTTATCATGAGCTACATTTACACAAAAATCTGATTATCTTTGGTTTGGCAACAACTGTAACTGGTGAGCTCTTGCGTTTGATTGGTATGTTCTTTTTGGGTCTAAAAATATACTACAATTAAATACGATAGATCACTAATTAACGGTTGTTATTAAACCGGATTAAGACTTTTGTATATGAATTGGCGTAATTGTAAGCGTAAGACGTAAACTTAAACTGAAGAATCAATTAGGGTATTAGTTTAGGATTGTGTGCTTTAGAAGAAGATGGAAAGTGTAACTAGAATTTCAACCAATCATGAGTGAGTAAGTGAGTGAGTTTTATCTTTCTCTAGAGCATATAAATGCAAAGCAATATACCGATTGATTCTTCAGCCTAAATTTACATCTCATGTTTATGGTTACGCCAATTTGCATGCGAAAAGCCTTATCGTTATCGTGTAAACGTAGTCACAGATTATTCATCGAGATTACATACACTCACACGTGAGAAATACTGCGTCTTCTGGGCCTTCGAGGTGCGGGTCTTTTTTTTTTTTTAACAGCACGCACAGACAGTGGACAACACAGAAGTGTTTACATATTTTCCTCATTTTCCCAAACGACACGACGATCTAAGCGTGCAGCGATGCGACATGCCATTTAATGCAACAATATCATTAGGGCATTGTTTTTCTAGCTTAAACGCGCTGCGAACGCGCTGCGCCGCGCATACGAGACACACACATGTAACGCAATTACTNCCCCCCCCCCCCCCCTCTCCTCGTCAGTACGTAACGACGTTTTACATCGACATCGTTTATATATTACATATATCGAGAGTATATTGGACCACCAGTGACATTTTATCGTTTATTACACCCCGAACAGAATCGAGAGTATTCGATTCGCGATCATGAGAGCGAGAGCGGACTTGTATGGTCGG